GTATCTTTGAAGAGTATGGAAGCAACCGCCATGGCCAGAAGCACAACCACAAGTCTCCTTGGAATATTAAGCTGCCTTGTTTCCCGTAATCTTCTCTACCAATAGCAAAGGAAAGAGAGCGTGGCGGGGCCATGCTTGCCAACGGGAGCGCATACCATGAGGACGAGGTAGAGAACCAGGTCCTATTTGTCTGCCAGACAAAAAAAGAATGTAGCTGTCATTTTTTAAGCCTCAATAGCCACCTCTATTGCATGGCGTTTAGGTAGGAAAAAGTCACTATGCACGGAAAACAGAATAGGTGCAGAGAGTGTATGTATTCATCCGTGATAGATGGTCAAGAACAAGGCAAAAGGGGAAGGCGGGAAATAAGTTCATGTAGTGCTCCCACGCGACACGGGAAAACGTTTGTTTTCAAGACAATCACTTACGACTAACTACAGGATTACATCACTACACACTTAAGTCAGAAGTTAAAAGGACGGCCCTGGAACGCTGTTTACTGGCCCCTTTATATGGATAACTCGGTTTTGGGGGTTTGGTCACGACAGTCAGATTGGAGAAACGCAAAAATTTATGGCAACCAGACAAGATAATATTTGGTAGCCCCTACCCACGCTCATTCTTCCCAGCTTGCATAAAAACGCATACAGGAAAGCTAAAAAAATAACACCATCGACCATCTATCTCAAACACACAACACAAGAACTAATCGCAAAAAAAAGATTAAATAGATTTCCGCGACCTCATAAAACACCGGGAAAAAAATTAAGAGATCCCTTTCCTATCCCATACTAAAGCACAATTGAAAAAGAAAAAAAACATGCTCCTTCCCATCCTCCACGAATTATCAACAGTTGCTACGGACGACGGGAACACAGTTGCGAAGAATAACCACATGCCGAGTTTCTACTCCGCAGTGGTGGCCGCGGCGGGTGGAGCAGCGGCGGCATTCTTGGACTTTAAGCCGAGCTTCTTCATGATCGCCTTCTTACTATTTGTTGCGAGACACGTTAGCTAATGCTCGGACCAACACATTTGTTTTTTATTCTCGTCACTTCTTGGGATAATAGAATAATAGACTTACAACTTCTCGATGATGCTGACCTTCTCAGCTGACGCTTTGGGCTTGACCTCGTTGCTCTCGGTCTAGTAAAAGAGTTAGAATTACCAATACAACTGATATCATGATATCAAAACAATTATGCACTGCTTTGGGATAAGGGAGGAAACATACGGTGGCAATAGGAGCAGCGGTTGACTCGGCAACGACGGTTTCAGTAGCAGGGGCAGACATATTTGATGATTGAGGAGGATTTAAAGTTATTAAAGGAGGGGATGAATGCCTAGTGCAGTAGGTCGAAGGAGCGAAGAAGAAGATGAAGTGAAGTGGACGACGATGGTGGAAGACGAAGTGAGGAAGGAAAACAAGAGGCTTGACAGTCGGAGTATATAAAGGGTAGGATGCAAAGAAAGGGGGCCAATGGTGACGAGGCAGCAGTCGCACGGCCTGAGCACAGAGGGGTGCTTGGGAATCAAAATTGGCAGCAGGGTCAAGAAACAACGAAGAGTAGGTAGGCACTCCGAAAAACAAAGGAACGTAATGCACCACCTTCGACGAACCATCTAGATCATCCAGCCACACACTCATCCTACTCTTCACAGCCAAGGTTCAAGCTGGGTTCACGAATGACCCGACCTTATCGGCTGGCGGCATTTATTATGATGTAGGTATCAAACTATTGACCACTCCGAAATTCTCCTCCTCCCCCTCCTCCTCCACCTACGCACCAGCATCCAACTACATGGTTACTTTGGAGTGGAGAGGGTGGTGGAGGCGGAGGATCTTAATTATGTGGAGAGATAATAATATCGACCGATGGTGGCACGTTCAAAACCATCCAACACCTGATAATAATTTCACAGCTTATTTTTTCACACTAAAAAGCTCAATAAACTCTAGATATTCCTCTAGAGTTAAGCATGATGCTTTGTGAATGTGGGTTTTGAAGAAACGCCTCATCACTGATCGCCAGTATGGGTTACGAACGTTCTGATATGCACTTTTTAGTCTTCCCGTTTGTCAAAATGCACCGAGCTCGCTTGGTTAGCCACTTTTCCTAAAGCGAAAGTCGCAGGGGTATCCATGACTTGGGGCGCGGGCGCATGAAATCATGTGCACGGGCTTAAACTGACCGGTATCAGTGTAACATGAAGCTCTTTTTCACCTGTGATATTCTGCACCCTCTGACCTATCAACATCTATGATCACGGTAAATCTTTCATTTGCTGTCTGCCCGAGTATACAGATCTTAAAGCTGACTTGGGGATGCCTCATGATGCGTAGGAAACGTGTTTTAGGACAGGACTAACTGGTATTAAGGCATGGATGGACGCGTACGTATGTGTATCTCCCCATCATCATCATCATCATCCATGGTCCAAGACACACACATTACATGCATTCATATTATTTCTCTGGTGGTTGCTTCGGGGGCTCTGCTCAACCCTGTATCTACACTACATGTACTCTGCAGAGTGTTGTGCAGCGCTACTGGTCTCCACTCTACCTGACCGTATTTTAAATAAACAAACTTTGTAATTCGACAATCTTCATCTTGCCTGCGCGAGAGTGACGGGTCGGGTATTACCACATTCGATCGGAGTCCTTGATCAGGCCTGAAAGAGCTATGCAGAGTAAGTGAAGTGGGTATGGGCGCGGGAGATGCAATAACGTGTGTCACATAACATATGTACCCGAAATTACGTTCACGACCCTAACCCTGATCTACAAAGCCACTTCCTGTGCCGGCGAACGCTTCTGGAAGGGAGGCACGGAACTTAAAGTCTCGGAAATCAACCTCCTTTTCTTTGCCTCCGCGCGCAGCCCTTAGTTTAGGGCCGGGGGACACGGACAGGGCATGTTGTTCGGCAATTTTCTCTGTTTTGTGGAAATTAGGAGAGTGACAATGGATGGATCCATGGAGTAAACAAACGCGCTTCGGACTACTCGTTCGGATTTGCGTTCGAATTTTGGTAAACATACCGCGCATCTCGGCGACACCTAGGAATGAGCCCCTTAACTAGAGTCAAAAATCGTCATGTACTCTAATCCGATCATCATCAGCACAGACTGGCTAAGTAAGACCAACTAGACTTCGGAGCAAGACGAAGAACGATATGGGTAGTCTATCGAGGGTATGTATTTCGAGGTCTGGTCTAGAGTTAGGAAAAGGGTTCTTTGATAAGAGGAAGTTCAAAATTTACGGTCATCCTATCTCATTGGGGTTGGTACTGCACCGTTGCATAGAGTAGCTGCACTGCACAGGTCATCCTTTTATGCATTCTTCTTTTCTTTTCGTGCTTGCGGGCCGAGAGACAGGTTTCTCGGAACGCGCGCAACTAGAGTACATGAATGTGTTTCTCCGAACGGGATAATTCCAGAATATTCGTGAAACATGAAAAACAAAATTTGCTATTTCCCGTCAACCGATATCACATCTTCAAATCCTAGAACTCAGCCTTACGGCTTCAACGTTGAATGTAGGCTAAGTAGGGCTGAACTCGCGGTGCCTCCTCGAATCCAATGTGAATCGGTGCAAGTTGTACCGAAAACCGAAGTTGAAGTGTCGAATCATAGGATAATCATCCCGGACTCGTATCAAAGCCTTCCTTGATCTATAACCAGGATCCCGGGATTGCCAAGAAGCTTAGAGTTGGAGGGGTTTAAGCTTACTATGTTCTCTTGTTAAAACCGGGTAGTTGGTTGGGTACAGGTACTGGATGTAAATCGACGCGCTCCCGGGGCATGGAGACACGGAGAGGGGAGAAAATGATTTGGTTTGTCCTCCAGGAGAGCTTAATATGCAGAAGTAGAAACTTTCACACACCTGCAGTTCCCCATGCCCCCGCAAACGCGTCTATTAATTGTTTCCCCCCTAACCGTCTAGGTTTATGTTTGGGCCTGGACCGTTATTCTGCAATAGATTTCTGTGTAGCTAGCTCATAAAGCTCCCGTCTCGTCAAAGGTACATGTAGGAATAATTCCCGAAGTCCGAAGCCAAGGAGCGTGCTGATGAGCTGGTGGGCCTGGCTTTCCCTAAGAATGAAGTTGTATTGTCAGATATAAGGTATACACTGTATATTTAGGTATCCAGAATGCTTAAATTCTTGTAGTGGATACCCGTATTTAAGCTTAAGTTGACGTTGGGGTGGGGAGGGGGGAAGAGGGAAAAAAAAGGGGGGGGGTGGGCTTCTCCCTAGTCGAAAAATACATCTATCGTAGTAAAAATTTCGAGGAAGAAGTGATGGATTATGGTGGATATAAAAGAGTATTTGACGTGAAGATGGGGATCCCCATGTTGATGGCAGTTGGCATGATGTCGTTGATTTCGTTGCCCTGAGGAATTAGTCCATGGGCCATCACTCGACATGCTAGGTCGTGCTTGCCAAGAAAATGTACTAGCGCCCACTCGCTAGACCTACATGTACCTCCTCAACTTTCACCTCCAACCACAAATTACATCTTCAGTATCATCTAGTCATCAACTCTAACATCTCTAGGGTCATCTCTTCTAGTTACTCCCGCAATCACTGAGCAAGAATCGCGCCTCCAGTAAGTGAAGATCTATGTCCTTTTCCAAGTCCAAGCAATTAATGTCCACCGAGAAAAATCACCATTTCCCCAAGCCCCACCAAGAACCTCCAAAGGCCTGTCGCACTCTAGAGGCCGGGAGATATCTCTTGTTGTTAACTCTCCTCAAGCCAGTGAACGAAAAGGGTCTCACTGGCATATAGAAGATATCACCGTAAGTCCTCTCTTCATGAGCAAATACGGCTCCTTCTCTCTATTCCCCTCGTCTCATTGATGCCCTTAAAAACGTTTGCAACGTAGCTATCTCTGTAACCGATGATACAGGAAGACGATGAGATGAATCCTGAAGATCTTGACTAATCGGTTTTAAAGAGTAGGGTCGAGGACACTTCCTTCTATTGACGTCATGATGAATAACCCTCATCGATTTCCTCGTCCGCCAACTCTACCACAGGCGAAAATTCAGACCAAACTCCAACGGGATCCAAAATCTGTTGATACTGTTACCCCTCCTACCTTTGCTTCCATGCTTGGGCGAAATCTGGGCGGGAGCACGGGGGTATCCGGCGGGGTGGAAGATCCTGTTTCCCCTGTAGCTTTTACAACCTCATTTGATTTACTTTCAATTGCAAAAGTGATACCGGCAAAGCAGAGGCACGTCGGTAACCCTGTCTCTATTATCGAGGATCAAACGTCAGACAGAAACGCTTTTGGCGAACCGTCTGCGGAGAATCAAAGTGGAGATTGGCCAAGATATATGCCTTCTGCTGTAGGATTTGGAACTTCCACACCCTCTCAGAATCAAGAAGTTCCTAAAAGCATGATATTCCGTCGTCATGGCACTACTTCTAGCGTTAAACGCTCTATCTCGCACTATCCTTCTGATGCTATTCCTCAATTCAACCGAAGCGAAGACAGCGTAAATGATGGTCAGTCAAAATTCGTTGGAATCCACGCCGAGGAGAATGTGAATTCTTATAACGGAACTAAAGAAAAACCTCTTCCAAACATTTTTACTGAGAAAGAGACAGACAAAGACTTCGAAGAGTCAGAAGATTCCTCAATGATCGAATCACCTCCCACCCCAGGCCCGTTCGATTTTGACCCACAGGGAGGTTCGGACACGGAAAGAGAGGCCGAGCTTCAAGATAGTCAGAATCCCAAAGACGAAATAGCAGGCGTTACTGGAAGTAAATCAGAATCATTGTGGTTTATTGAGCCTAGATCTACTGCTGGAGCTCAAGCCCTAGAGCCGTCCATTTCCGATTTTTCTCACATGACTGCCACGAAGAATATGAATGATGGGGGAGCTATACTTAGAGCTGCTGCGAGACCATTTGAACCGAAACAAGTGAAAAAGGATCACTTGTCATCACTATTATCCAACACGGGTATCGATGAAATGTCTCGCAACAAATTACAGCCCGAGAATTTTACGAATCTTTCAGATAAATTTTATGGGAAGACCTTCAACCCATCGGGAGAAGCCCCAGACCTACCGTCAAAGGAACAAAGCCAGTGGTTCATTGAGAACAGTCACCATAGATTACAAATGGCGATACAGAACTCCGGTAACGGGTCTATTGAAGGTTCTTCAAGGTTAGGGAAAAAGAGAGCTAGTCTCAGTGATGCCGCAATTAGTCAACTTTGGGATGTCCCCGAGAGTGAGGCGAATTCTACAGATTCTTTAAGTGAGTGTTACCAAAGGTTGATGGTAACTGTCTTCGTTACTAATACATGCACCTTTTAATATTAGATATCAATCAATTGGACAAGAATCCTCTTGGTCAAGTTATAAATGATAAACCAACAGCACCGATTGCGAGAGGCACCCCCGGCTCGGCGCTTCAAACCACGGAGCGCTTGGAGTTAAGAACACTTAGTAATACAGAGAGAAAGGGCGATATTACCCACAAATTTCATGAGACCTTAATCGATAGCTTCCTACAAAAGTCAACAACCGATATTAATCCTACTCCAGAGCTCGAAGGAGCAGGGGCTGCTAGTATGAGAAAGACAACAATGGATGGGTTTGTCTTTTGTAATTCTGATGACGGAACGTTCAAGAGGCCAACTCTGGAAGCTCAAAGAAAAGAGTTGACAGAGGCAAAAGGTGGAGAAGGGTCGTGGAAGAGTTTCCTGGAACCGACTAGTGATATCGAGATTCGAATGCGGATCGAGGGCAATGGTTGCAAAGAGGCCGAGAGGGGCTGGCTGTATCCATACCCGAAGCCAGAAGGCAAGGAAACAGTTGCAACCGAATTGACTCTGGCACTCTATCAGCAACTTTTAGGCTACCTTATTCCAGCAGTATCAAACGGAATAGTATCTGAGAGTAATTACTGGTCGTTTGGAGCAAGGAAAACTAACTGCCGGTACTTTTCTGGTAGGGAGCCGTGGTATACCAGAGATTTTACCAGCTTTTTTGACATGAGTTTCGGCGTGAACCCCGGCAATCGTTCTACAAAAGCCACCATTAATCCACCACCAGGATTATCGTTGGTCCCGGAGGCACAGCAGAATAAGTTAACGTCGGAGGAGTCTGTCGGTCTTAGAGATCTCGTGGAAAGCTCAACCCCCGACCTTAATAACTACATTCCAGGCAATTACACAACACGTGACGCAAAGACTCTTCAAGAATGGAACTCAACACCAATCAACACCGATATAGATACATCAGCAAAACCCAATAAGAGCGTCGAAATACCAAGAAAGGGCTTAATAAATTCACCACCCTGGAACGGGAGTCATGGGGACGGGAAAGGGGATAGTGGTATAATCAGAGGTCCGAGCAACCCAATCTTAAACAGGGAGACCCCAAAATTCAAGACATTGGTACAAAGCCCTGGGGTCGGTCCAAGGGATCCTATTGAGTGTATGCTCAATATGATGCATACCGATGAAGATTTGAAAGGGCTAACGGTGCAACAAAAATTGGATGTGTTTGGTGGGGCGAGAAAGATGGGGAAAATAGTGTTTGGTAGTGATGATGAATCTGTTGCGTAAAAGGATAGCAAGAGGTGGGAATGGCTTGATCCCACATTAGGGTCAGGTTACTAAAAGGGCTAATTCTACATAGTTGTTGCCCCTTTCAACACCCGTTAAACTTATTCTCTTTTCGTTGGCGGTTGTTGGGGGTTAGGTGATTGCGCTATAGCCAAAGGGTATCTTTCTAGGTCGCTGGAAGATGTCATGGCGCTATGTCTTACCCCGCAGCGTATATTGTTATACTGCAACTTGATAATCATATTTTAGAACGAATTGTCTATTTTTGTAACGAGATTTAGAATGACTTCATACGCGTTAAGATACAAAATGAATACGTAGGGCTGGTTCTAAAACGCTACTATACACCTTAGGAGGTTTCGTATTGCTTTCTCGGGATGTCTCACTCCTAATACCAGAGGGCTGACCCATCATTAAATCCGTAAATATTATTGGAGATATCTGAAGCGTGTACATGAATGTTTATGTCTTGAATTATCTTTTCGGAAGGATTTCTAGACCATAAGTTGATGTGTACTAGCTGAGGGACGCACAGTCTGCTCTTGTGATGGAAGCTGTGTTACTAGAATTCTGGCACCTGACCAAGGGGATAGGCTGGAACATAAGGTTTGATTCTGAACTAGGTGGAAAGTCCGGGGTGAGAACTATATATCTACATGTAGACAGACGACATGCAGTTCTGACCTAGTCACTATCTCTACATGTATTCACTACTTGTATTGTTAGTTGATCTGTGGTCCCTGTTGGTATCCCTAGATCCATGGAGGTGCAACACCCATGTGAATAGAACGGCGGTGCAACGTCATACAAGATCTCGTTATGTGCGAGTGATAGTACATGAACCACACATCGCTAAGACTTTCTTTTGGTGTCTTTGTAACTTTGTAACAACTTCCGTTTTTGTTCATTATGCAACTTCATATACATCTTGGGTATTACATATCTCTACATACACGTAGGCTTAAAATTACAGTTTATATGCATATCCTCACACCCGCTTCACTTCTTATTAAGCTTCTCCACCTTCTTGACATGATCATACACCAACGGCTTCGCCTCCGCATCATCCAGGTAGATTGTGAACCCATCATCATCTACAAAATTAAGGTTAGAAATACCGCTCCCTTCCCGCAAAAAAAAGAAACCATAGGGGAAACTTACGGTTACGTCCAGTCGCCCACCCGCTCCACCCAAACTGCCAGAACTGGTCGCCGGCAAGCTTGGAGTCGATGCTTGCCTGCTGCCACTCGCCGAGGACCTCGAGCCGTGTCTCGTTCGACACGGTGCCGAGGTTGGAGAGGCGCGCGGCGTCGGTGAGCCAGCCGTATTCTTCAAAGACGACGGGCTTGCCGACTTTGTTTTGCGCGGTGGCGTGGTCTTTGATCCATTGTCTGCCATTGAGTTCCCGAGTCAGTATCAATCGATCACCACTGCATATCAGAAGTAGAAAGGAGAAGCAACTCACGTCCCCCAAGCCGAAGTCTTGCTCCACCAATCCGGGTACAGATGGAACGTGCCATAATCAATCGTGTCCACCTCCAACTCCTCATAAAAGTCACCCCCATCCCCCGACGAATACGCCCAATCCTCATTATCGGGAAAGTTAAACTCGCCCTCCCCACCCGTCGTCACCAGATGATACGGATCCACCTTCTTAATAAACGCCGAAATATCCTTGACCCAGCTCGTCATCATCGCGGCGCCACACGCCTCTGACCTGGGGAGGTTTCGGACGGAGTCGGCGCCGCAGCGCGGCTCGTTGGCGAGCTGCCAGGCCATGATGGCGGGGGAGGACTTGTAGCGCGAGACGAAGGCCTTGACGTAGTCCTTGTAGGAGGCGACGATGCGCGGGACGTGGTAGAAGTCGTCGTGGTATTGGCCGCCGAGGTTGGCGGTGGACACGTCCATGCCGCCGTAGTCGGCCCAGTTGTTGGTGAGGGGGACGACGAGCTTGAGGCCGAGCTTTTCGGCGGCGCGGACGACGCCGTCGAATGCTTGGAGGCCGGTGGGGCCGTAGTCTGCGGGTGGGTGTTAGTATAACTTTCATATATGTATATGTATATATCACATATATGGGGATATATGGGATGCATATATATAGTGGAAGAGGCACTTACTGATCTCCACAGTCCCATTCGTCCACTTCCTGAAATACACCTCCGACGGGCCCGCGCCCTCACCGCCATACTGCGGCAGCCCCAGCGGGTCAAACGTTGCATTCTTGTCATAGAAGCCCCACGTCCGCACCACCTTCAGTCCCGCCTCCTTCGCCGCCTTCAGGCCGCGGTATACATCTGTTGCATTCTGCACCACCAATTAGCTTAAACGTTTGAAATAGGAAGGAGAGCGGAGGGAGATATACGTTGAGAAAGGGAAGGTAGTATGCGTTAGTCCCCGCAAAGTAGAAGTCTTTGCCGTCGAGCTGGAATTTGGGCCCGTTGGTGGTTACGAAGCCTTTGGGAACCTTTGGCTTTGGGCTGGCGTCGACAACGCCGGCGGAGGCGATGAGGAGGAGGGAGAGGAGGGTGCTGGGGGTGAACTGCATCGTGAGAGACTGCGGTGGGACTCTGGATTTTTGAAGAGCTAGAGTGCGAGTTTATCGGTGAGGAACAACTTTGGAGACACCTGAGGGATCATGGACAGCAGGATGGGGTCGGGGCTTTATAAACCCCCGGATTGCGACGATCATCGCATCTATACATACAGGATATGCAGAATAGAGAGGGAGAAAGACTGAGCCAGGTCAGTTCTGCCAATTGGACCTCATGGGTAAATTGTGGGGATTGATTTAATTAGGAACATTTAGACAAGCCGGAAAAACTTCTAGATTAACGTATATAGCCCCCAATATCCGTTTTCCAGGGAACAGCACTGCACTTCACTACACTTCTACCGTATGATGAGCATGAGATGCTCATCACTATACTGCATGCGGTGTGTTCTAGACTGTGGATTTAATAGCCTGGAAGACTCTTGGAAGAAAACACGGTCGAACGGCTGTCTCAATATGGAAGAAAGGGAGATTTTTTTTATATTGCAGACTCAGGTACGAGAACTATAGTATGATATGCCTGTATATATGTAGGCTGTAGTGGGCGATATCGCGATATACCCTGACCCTGAATTGATCCTGAGGTAAAAGTGTGTAATATGGATTGTTCCGCTGGAATAACTAAGGCTGCGCTGGAAATGATCATTCATCCAGTAACTAGCTAGTCAATTGATCGATCAATTGGATCATAAGGTCTTGATTTGAAATCAATTATCACTGACCAGAACCCTCTATGAATTGAAGTATATACTGTCCAGCTATGTAGTCTCGCAGCGCAACCTGGAAAAATAACGTCAGTAACTCGGGCGACACAACACCAGATCTCCTCGGCTGTCCCTGACGGCATCTTCGAATCCCCGGTTCAAGCTTAAAAAGGGGTGGGCCTCTCCCCCTCCAACCCTCCCACCCCCCGCATCGGCCCCGCATAAACCCAATAGACTTGCGGGGTAACGGCAAGAAATCCCGAAATTTGGTCCCAGCAGCTGGCCAAGGGGGAGGCCGATATGAGGCAGAAGTCGAGTATTAACCGGAATTGCCGAGGAGTGGTGATGGCAGAACGAGTTTATGGGCAGAGGGTGGTTCAATGTTTTTGGCAGAATGGTTTTGGTTGTGGTTGTGGGTTGTTGCGTGAGTGTAAGTTACAAGCTACACCTACCTGCCCTGGATGGTCGAATGATGGGCTGTGATGGCTAAATGCGGCATCCTAACACAGAGCAACCCACAAAGCTTAACTGGATGTGGCGAACAGACCCTCGCTTCTTGTGCCTGTGCTTGTGCGACGCTCATAGCGTGTGGTTGTGGTTGTGTTGCGGTTACACGATGGATGGATCAGTTATCACGGTTATCTTCACCCCTTGATCGCCCCCTGATCAATTGATGTTCACGGAGGGCAGCAGCGACAATGACGTTGTGGCGGCCCCTTGCTTGGCGATGGAAGTTAAACTCTTGGAATATATACAGTATCTACTTATCCTGCGGTAGTTAGAGATAGTTAGTTTATCTGGCGATACGAAGAGCCAGACCTACACAGAACTCTATGCAGAATACTGAATATCGTGAACTCTGTAAACAACCTACCCACACCCTCGATCCACCCAGAACCCAATTCGATCCAACAACAGCACATAATGTAACACCCACTAACACACCATCCACCGCCTAGACCTTGCAATCAACTGAACATACGTTCAATACGAGAGATCAAGGGGCCATCCAATCTCCACCTTCAGCTGAAGAAGGTTGATAATGATAAATAAACCACCAAAGGGATATAAATAACGTTAACCCCCTCGGCCTGTACCACCGGGCAGGGTACATGCATTCGCTTGGTGCCACGCGCGAGGCGAGCGAGTGATCTCCCGTGATAGATTCTCGCGAAATAACTCCGTAAGTGGCTGCCTCTGTATAACGAGCGCAATGCGGGACGGGAGCATTTAAATCCCGCGAAGGGATGACACGGCATCTGCTGTGTATGGACCGGAGGACCCGCGGGGGGGGTTCTTTATAAGGGACTTAGTACGCTGCTTAGGGGGAAGTTCTTTACCTTTGGTTTGGAGAGTATAGAGATAGGTAGATATTGTCTATAAATCTATATACTCACGATGAGGCTTCTACACTCTACATTCCTACTATCCGGGCTATTGGCGGTCAATGGCGCCGCCGTCGCTCTCCCGCACGAGGGGGGTATCGATGCACGGTCCTACTGCTCCCCGCAGTACCGCAACACGCCCCAGATATTCGAGGTAAGCCCCGCCCCTTCCACCATCCGTTTACCTCTATATTTCCCCCCCCCTTCATGCTAATATCTTCGGTCTTAACTTTTACTAGTTCGACAGCATCTCCGTCTGCTTCCGCGGCTGCCTCCCCTTCAAGATCCTCAACTTCGGCTCCCCGCGCGGTCTCGGCCGCATCTTCTACGGCGACACCACGGCCGCCGAGCCGCTCACAAAGCCTATTCTCTTTGAGAATCAATACAAGTGGGGGGTCGTTAATTGCGAGACTGCTGATGCTCCGCTGAATGGAGGAGTTTGTCTCGCCTCCTGAATGAATGAGTGGGTGACGATGGTAGCTGACAAGTGACAGTGCGGGAACTCCACAAAAGCGCTATACAATGCCGGCGGGACGGAGTCGAGGCGGCCGAGGATTGGTACGACGGCGTACCCGGGGACGTATGCGGTGTTTGCGTTGAAGAGCTTCAAGGTGTGGACGCCGGATGCGGTGGCGAACTGTCAGCAGAAGGGGTGCGAGGTGAATTTGGTGGGGATCAAGACGAACGGGCAGAAGGTGTCTTACAAACAGAAGCTTGTGGTGGATGGTAGCAGGTATGTTTGTTGGTTGGTTTGTTGGTTGAGGGACAATGCTGATGTAGCGACAGAACGGATGTGACGGGGCTCACTGCAAAGGGCTTCTCAGAGCTCACAGCTCTCGATGTCTGGGTGACGTCTAAGAAGGCCAACAATGATACCGGACTACCCTTCACGATTGATAGCTTTGCGTTTGACCAGTATGGCCCTCAAATTCCTCATTCTGTGGACATGTCGAATTAATCATTGACACTCCCAGGATGGTCGATTCCGCTGCCTGCCCTAGTCCCACAACGTCGACGACCACAGGCATCAAGGGTCCCTGCACACCGCGCCCAACCGCAACATCGACTTTCACTGTAGATGTGTGTAGTCTCTTCTACATCTCCTTAGACTTGGTATACTAACAGGCCTGCCTACTTAGCTTGACGACTTTGTCTTCCAAACAACGACATTCGTAGGTCCCCCAGAGGTCCCTACCACGACAGGACTATATGCCCCGACCCCGATCCCAGATACCAAGCCCTACAAGTCCCTCTACTGGGACACCGCCTTCGCCGTCTCAACAAAAAACTCTGGGTCGACGGAGCTGCACCCAGAGCTTGCGGGCGTCACGATCCCGTCCGGCGGGAACTTTTTGTTTATTAGAGGCACCGGTGGACCCAAAGCGCTGATAAAGGCGAATTCGTACGCGGAGAGGTTTGGTGTCAAGAGCTTGTGGGTGTTGTGTGGCTTCCCGACGGATGGAGATAATCTCGGGAAGAAGTGTGTTGGTATGTAATTTCCCCCGCAGTGGCCTAGAGGATGTGTATTGACGGAGGTCCACGGTGTAGTTACGTTTTATGGGTTCAGGGATCCGTATGATGGGGCGGGACTCCCAGAGCAGGTCAAGGCTACTGTGGAAATTGATGTACCGGGAGCTGGAGGGAATAAGTTTGTGTATGCATCTCCATTTCCTTTCTTAGATCGGAGGGTATGTGACTTACTTACCGGGTTAGACACATTGATCTTTCGACCATCACGACTCTTCCTGGTGCCTTTAGAAGGCTATCGTACTTCTTCATGACAGCCGCAGTAGGAAACGATAACTTCAGACCATACTTCGTATGTCCGCCCCCTCGAATCTTCTACTTCAAAGCTAACATCCCGTGCCACCACTAGCTCGACAGCATCGTCTTCACCCGCGAACTCGGCGAGGGCACCAGCTGCCGCGTCCGTGGTAGTGAAGTCATCAACGTAAGACCCTCTCTTCCCCCCCCCCCCCCCCTCAACATGTCCATGGCTAACAAAAACCTCAGTTTGACCGTTACACCGTGACCACAGCGCCAATCCCCTTCCCATCAAGCGACAAATTCATCCTCTCTCCCAACTGGAGCATTACTGGCCGCTCGCTATACGCCGCCAATTCACCAGGCTGGATTGCCTCAACGTCGCCCAACAACGCCGCCTACGCTCTCGGGTCTGGAAGTGTAGATACATATGTTGGCCCCGCGCCGCCTATCCCGTTGGTGGATGTTGAGTCATTTGATATAACCTTGGACGCCACAGAAGCGCAGCTTGCACGGGTAGTGGTCGAGCTTAGTTTCACAGACTCATGCGGACAGTCGTTTGGCACGAACGTGGCAGGATTTTATAGCCGGAGGTTCACGCCAGGGACTCAACAGTATTCATTTGCGGCGCCGATCAAGGCGGTGAGTGCGGTGTCAATTTCGGCCTATGATGTTGGCGAGAGCGGGTTCGATAGGACCGATGTAGGGTTCTGGGTGGATAACGTGACGGGGCGGAAGAGCAATGAGAATTTGAGAGGGTGTATAAACTGTGGAGTGAGAGGGCTCCAGTGGTGTGAATTCAACGGATTGGTCAGAGTTAGTGAGACGCCGTAATGGTAGCTTGTTGGCTAGGTAGCATTGCGGTGGAAGTATGGATGGGTGTTATTACCTGTCTAGTTTAATTTAGTGTTCCATTCTAGTAATTTTAGGATTTAGCAATGGCTGATCCTGTTGAGAGTTATAATTTTGATTTGGTGAATAGATATTAGTACATCGTTAAAAATATATAGTTGAATTCCTGTTGGAGTGGTATGCACTCAGCCCCTAGCTTGAGTGATGTGTAGACTTGTATGTAGACACACAGAATCACTCACAAGCCAAAATGGCGCTAGTAATAATCCAAGTAACTCCCAGGGTTAGGGCTTTCTAACAAATTGTAGCTGGCTGTCGGCTAACGGCACACTTTGTAGCTAAGTGCCAATGATCGCCTTGATATTCTGCGCTGAATCCTAGCGCCGTCGAAACACAGGCTAACTACATGGACCTGAGCGACGTAAAACTGTAGTGAGATTCCGGTCTTGCAATAGAATGTCGGTGAAGAGGGCTCTTTACGCCGCGACACCGCAGGGACTGGAAATGTACAAGTAGTGGCTACAGTTCTACCATAATTTGAATTCATCCAGTCAACGAATCAATCATAATATAATGTCCGAACCACAGACGTTCGTCTATTCGACGGTCAACGAGTGTGAAATCCGCCTCGATCTCTACCTCCCCGCCGCGCACGTGTCGCAAGTGGCGCCTCTTCCCGTAGTACTGTTTTTCCATGGCGGGGGTGTATTCCGTGGAAGCCGTAAATCCATACTTCCCGAACTCAAAGGTATCCTCCCACTATCCATTTTTTTTTCTTTCCCCACCATTGAGTCCTCCGGCCTAACAAACACTCAGATGCAGCACTATCAAAAAACTGGGCCTTCATATCAGCCGACTACCGCCTCCTCCTCCCCTCCACCGGCTTCGACATCCTCACCGATATCGCCGCCCTCTGCACCTTCCTCAGCACCCTCCCCACCATCGACACAACGCGCATCCTAGTCGCCGGTCACAGCGGCGGCGCATATGTTGCCCGCCAAGCCGCAATCCACGGGACCCCCAGGCCGCGTGCGTTCTTCTCTGTGTCGGGCCAAGGCGGGCACCTGCTGAACCCAGCGTATTTCACACCAAAGCCATATCTACAGAAGAAGCTGCTGGGTACCTATAAGAAGTACTCGACGCGCAATAGCGCGGAGTTCCTGGGACTGAAGGTGTGCAGTGATTTTCCGTGGGATTGGCAAGAAAAACGAGGGAAGAAGGCTACGGGTGAGGTACCAGAGATAGGCTCAAGGACATGGTTATCGAGCATGGCGTCGGTGACGGGGGCCCGCCTGGATTTCTTGACGGGTAAACAGGGGTTTTCGAAGATGCTGCTGGAGGCATATAGTAAGGATAATGAGGTGGATCTGGCGGCGTTGGTGCCGCAGGACTTGAAGATATTGTTTCCAGAATTGATGATTGGGAAAGAGTTCCCGCCGAGCTTTGTACTCCATGGGACGGGTGATAAGAATGTGGTGATGAGAGAGTCGGAAAAGACGGTCAAAGAGTTGGAGAGAATGGATGTCGAGTGTGAGTTTGTGGCAGCAGAAAATTGGGGACATGGGTGGAGTGCGGAGGTATGGAAGAGGTGGGGGAAGGATATAGTACCATTTTTTGAAAAATGCATTATAGACAAGACATAAGCCTAACTTGTAGAAAGTTAAGTCTAATTTACCTCTCTCTATGCGCTCATCAATGGCTAGTATCTGTTGATTAGCTTTCTAATTAAAAATTGTAAAATTGATCAATTGGACTGTAGAACCTGTATTGATGAGCGTCATGATTCCGATTGCTGAGTGATCATTTATGATCCAACTTCTCACAGGTATCGTTATCTCTAAGCGTCACCACATGTGCAGTTAGATGGTTGGTTTAACGCCTTTATACATACATCGACCTGCATGGAACTTACTCGTACGTGGAGACCTGCTATGAGCTGGATTATTTTGGACCGGTTCAGCGCTACTACTTGTTGGTGACTGTATACGGGGCCATCAATTATTGTAGCTCTGCGGCGAGGTACTCTATAATAATTTCTGGGACGAAACGTGATGAAAAGAAGCTGTTTTATGAAACACATCCGAATATGGTCCTCAGACATGTGCATAGAAAGAAAGTAAGACAAATGGCAAAGAGATTGTTCTCTATAGTTAACGGCACATTTGCGATACGCGTCATGACCCTATCATTATAGCCTATAGCTCTAATTACTATAGCCCTTGATCTCATAAAGGTCTTATTCACTTTTTGGGTCACGAATATTTCTTTCTTGCACTAGAAGTTGTTTTTTCTATCCGGTTCAACGTGACCTGGGAGATAGGCGAGTTCCCTCGATCCTCAAGATTTGCAATAGAGGATTTAGCTGCACGGTTTGGACAGAAACTCATGCCCGTTGCAAGCAATAGGAGTTGCATGAGTTTCTGTCCGAATGCCCCAAATCGTGTAGCTAAAATCCACTAAGCACTCGAAAATTCCAAAGGATGACCCGAGAATCCAATCCATCGTGCTATATGCCAGTTATATGCCTATATTTGAGGGTCGTAAGCACAGGATAGGATTCCGCTGTCCGAAGAACAAGCGCTTCGATTAACCCCACTACATGTAATTGGGCTACACATTATATAGAGTATGTTTCTCCGGAGAAGCACCTACGATTTGGAGCATTTGGACAGAAGCTCCTCCAAGTCCTGTTGGTTGTAACGGGCATGAGTTTCTGCTCAAATTTCTGTCCAAACCGCGCAGCTAAAAAGCCCTATTTCCGATCGACAGCTCATCAAGCCCCCACCCAGAGCGGCTATGTAACCACGAGGGCTAATTTGACGCCATGTGCGGCTCAGTTGTGGCTAAGACCGTTTCAGCCAGATCGCAACCGAGGAGTGGGGTGGGGAGCGCGGCCGGCTTTCAGCTTTGAACCCTGCCACTTTTTGCCCTTTGACAGGTGAAATAAACTTTACACACAGTCAGCTCTTTGGTGAATGGTGGGGGCTGTTCTGCTTGCTGCACGTTGCTGAGTCTGGCTGTCGGCTACAGTAAGTACTGTATGTACATACATACGAAGTGATATAAGTACATTCGCGCTAACGTCTGGTATGTAGAAGCTTACTGTGCAGCATGCGTGAGGCACCGGTGAGCAGAGTCACTAACAGAGTTCGTTTGTTATCGTGAGAGGAATGAAGACCCAGAGTGACAGTTTAATATGGTTTCGAGCTTAGGTTTTGATCCGAATGAATGTGAAAGTTTCACCATCATGGTGAGTTAAGAGCAAGGCTGGGGAGGGTACTAATGTCCTACTGCGCATGCCCTTTGCCTTAGGCTCAGCAAGAAGGTGCTTATTCCAGACCCCTGTCCAACTTTAAAAGTGCAGATTAATACACAGCGCTTGGGACTGTTTGGAACTTCCTAAACACAGCCACGGTCAACCCAAGGTCACTATTCCAGTCCTCACAAAGGAAAGTTGCCGTGCCGGTCTGCATATGTAATACCCCAACCTGACTGGGTAGGTTAAGTATGTAGGGCTGAAATGAATCCAAGGGCTGAGAAGCTCGAGATCTTACTTATTCTGTTGTTCCCCTCCCTCTTCTTCCTCTCCTCATTCAGCTGTAGAGTTAGAGGAAAGTGCGGTTTAAGTAAGTGCTCTTTCTGTGTTGTGAATACTGTGCTTACCCTTGCGATATCTCACATATCTAACACTATATCTGTAGTATATATAAGGGAACGTCTCTCTCTCGGCCATTCATCTGTTTAGCCTTTGATCCGGGACCGAATCCCAGCTTTCAAATATATCGCCAGTCCTATAATAAAGTCCACAATAATCACCCACAATGAATCTCATATCACTTAGTATTCTTCTCGGGGCCGCCGGTATTGCCAGCGCTGCCAAAATCTCCGACCACGAAACAAATTATCCCGCTATTGCTGCCAATGACCGCTTTCCCTTTGCCTCCCAAATGGGTCCGTTCGTTTCAGGCGCCTCCGTAAACAATATGGGCGAGCTGTTCGCTGTAAATCAAACCGCCTTCATGTCGCTCCGCAACGGTGACGTCGACCCCGCCAAACCTCTCGTTCACGCTGCTATCGATGGCAGCGTTTCATTCACCGATTCGCGCTTCACTAGACACGGCAGTGCATCACAACAACTCATCACAGATGCGGCCGGCCATTCCGTATGGTTGAACATGGGGGCGAGTAAATTCCAGAAGAGGCAGCCAAATTGTCGAGGCCGCAAGAGAGGTCTGGAAACCCCACCGCCGCTAGTCAAGAGGGATACGACACCGCTGTTTGTAGAGGCAGACATGATCCAACCAAACAGTATTGCGCTGCATAGTGATGAGAGACATATCTATCTTGCCGGTGGCCTGGGAACTAGTACGACGTCTGCTGGGGTCAGTGGTGATCTCTGGTGGTATGATGCTCAAACAGAGATTCTACAGAAGGTGGATATCAACGTTATGAAGGCCGGGGGAATTCACAGGGTCAACGCCATAGAGGTAAGTAATGATGATAAGTATCTCTACGTTACAGCGGGCGAGACAGAAGGAAACTCCATCACAGCTACAAAGATCTTCCGTTTCGTAATCAATCCTGATACGTTCGCGCCTGAAGAACCAACTCTGATCTTGGATATCTATGCTGCATTGACGGAACTTGGGATCGATGGAAAGCACTATGGAACCGAGGCGATGGGCTTGCGGTCTGATGTGGATGGAAACATTTTTGTCGCTCTCAACCGTGGCAAGGCGATATTGAAGTGGAAAGTTGAAGACCCCGCAGCAACAGCTGAGTTGATGAACTTGGCCAGTGTGGCATTTCCTGTTAGTTTGGAGCTCGGTGGAGATGAAGGAAAGACATTGTATATCCTAGGGAGGTGCAGTGGGGGTACGACGAGTTGCGTGGATGTGTATAATCACGATGTTCCTGGGAGGGCGTGGGCGAATCTGAATGGGAAGAACAAGAACGCCAATACGATTGTCAACGCAAATGAGATTACTCCTCGTAAGTTTAAGATTCCATGTCCTTCTCTATTCCTACGCTTGAGATTCTAACTTTATAATATTTAGCTTCACAACATGAGCAGCCACAGCACGAGCAGGAGGGAGTTGTCGGCGACGATGAACAGAGTAATTTCGCTGCCAACACAGACGGGTCTTCTACCGCTACAGCTACAACTACAACTACAGCTCACAGCCCTCACAACACTCATGCTGATCAGTACAATCACGATATTCTCGACCCGGTTGTCCAGGCGTTTGCGGAGATCTACGATGAGATGTTTGGTTCTGGTTAAATTACAAATTCCCTGGACAGAATAGATAAAATTCTCCCTCTTCCTACCTTTCCCCTCTTTCATTTATCCCGCTATTCTCTACATTAGATGGCAAGATATCTGTGATGTTTTCTTTTATTCATAGTGTCTTTTTATGTGGGTTTTATTTATGTTTTCCCTGAATTACGGGGCGGCAGGCGTTTTTCTCTCCTTGTTATCATTATTTCTTTTTTTGTATGGTATGAGAGAGGCGAGGATGTGAGGGGTCGTTAGGGCAATGAACTTGAATTACCACACCCGAAAAGTTTTCACACACTTTCCCGGTCACCTGCCGCAACACAGTCTACACCATAGGATCTGGAGTTGACACAAGCGGGGCTGATTTTGCATCTCACTAAGCAGCCAATGCCAGCCATAAATGCAACCCATTACTTAATCCAAGTGCATACATACAGTAACGTGCAATCAGGGTCTTACCCTGTGCGTCGGTCTGTGTTGGGGCTGAAGGCTATGGCAAAACATTCCAGCGACTAGTGAGATAAGGTTTGAATCTCAATTTTCGGATGGAATCGGTGATGTAGGTGTGCATGTTGAGTGGCAGGGCGATGTTTCATGAAATATCACTCGCTTATTTTCCCGGAGCAATTGATTGATGATTGAAAATTCATTGAAAGGTCTTGGATAAAGGTTTATTCGTTTCATCTTGTTATATATGGAGTTTTAAATACACATTATACCATTGAAGTACTACTCGGGACAAGTGAAAACAGCTGGGCCCCTATTCACCAGGAATAATTCAAGTTAGAAACGTCTCTCAAGGCTTGGGGGCACGGTTAAGGCTGAAGACTTACGGCATCGGGTAGTATGTATACGGCAAGTTTGTGTTGAACAGGATTCCAGGGTCCGTTGGCTTATAGAAACCTGTATTACAGTGTAAGAAGTCACACGAGAAAATAGATCAAGGTCAAAGTCAAGCCTACCTGGAAGTGCATATCCTGTAGGGTTAACCGTGCCGTTGCCCACCACGGTAACTTGCGCGCAACTGGGCTAATGAACGTCAATATCAAAATTTAAAACCGGCGACAAAAGTGGTCTTCCGAAAGTACTTACATAGAACTGGCAGCCTCCAGACTTGTAGGCGTCAGATAGAGCGATGATCTCATGACGGACAAGGTATTCTCCCGGCGCTAAGCAGGCTGGGACTATAGAAGTCCAGGTATTCCCGTCGTCGAATAGTTTCTGGGTAGCCCACTGGTTGGTCACGTTATTGTAACCTTGTTCGTGGATCTTGAACCAGACTGGGCCTGTAGTTCCCGTGAAGCTTCCACAGTCGGGGTCGCATTTGGCCATGTAGGTAAAGATAGGCCCTATTAGGGTTAGTCATTACCAAGTCTGAAGAATGAATATATCCTTGAAGAAAGATACCTTGATGAGGCCCTGTTTTTGATATCCCAATTAGTTTCCTTTTCGTCTTAACTTTTGTTTCGGGTGTTTCTAAAAGACTTACACTCATTCCAGTAGAACTTTATCGGCGATCCTGCATCGACTGCTCCAGTTCTTCCGGGAATAGGTACAGCATCCTGGTTACATGTAATGTTTGCCAGGAGGGGGGTCTTGATCGGACCATCACCAGGAATTTTCCTAACTAAATACCAGTCAGTTAACTGTACAAAGACTCCGTGTCTGAAACATATATACTAACCAATGCTAGGAGCATCAGCTGTAAAATCGGGCTTGGAGATAGGTAGGTATCCAATATACTGAACACCGTTCATCTCGTGAGTCTTGACATGTCCATGACCAGAAACGGTACTCGCCGCGGCCACAAATGCGACCAAGATTGAAGAGAAAATCGCCATTGTTGTCCTTTGTTATAGTTGACTTTGATCTGGCTTAGTCTTCTATCTTTGCTCCATCCTGTGGGCTTTATACATAACGTATTTCGGCTTTCGGTCGAGCGTTTTCGCGGAGTCTCCCCTCCCCCACGCCCGTGTTCCTTAATTTTATATTGATTGGACCCAGTACTTCGGTTGAGCCCGAAAAGTAACTGATGATTGTCGGAGAGGAAGTATCCCGATAAAGTACGGAGGAAACTCCTGAAGTTAGACAAAATTCTTCCCGGCCCTGAAACCCTGAAATTAAAACTGTTTTCATAAGGAAATCATTCCTGAATAGTATTCAATAGGCGAATGCGGATTAATAAATCTATGCTGTACTGGTAAGCACCTGAAAGTGTTTATGAGGAAAAGCGACAATTGCGTATAGTTTTAGTAGGAAACGTCGTCCGTAACACCTCACGGATTTCAAAGTTGGGGTGAGAATAAACTTGTCTTGGTTGCAGCTTTTGACGTGTTTTCGGAAGATCTGGCCGTTGAACCACCATGTTGTTTCCCGGCAGGGTAGCACCCGTTGTGGTGCATCCGTGCATATTATATTGCTTCAGGGTGACGAACGACGATCTTGAGCTCCTCAGACAAAGGTACCCCCAATCCGGCTAACTCTATTTTATTTCGGTATTCACTACAGCGAGTGTTTGACATGGCTATAGTAGATGTATTTCAACATTTGATTTATAAAGTTTATTGGAATTCCGGAGTTCGTATCGGAAAACCGAAGATATGGCATTTGAATTTATGTTGGTAATCAATCCGTGCATAAAAACGTTACCTCGTGCTCATCCTTTTGAAAAGGAAAGCATTGCCTAATAAGGTGATGTTGTGAGGCCATGCGCAAGTACCTGGATGATTGTCATCTATAGGTAACGAGGATGTATATGATTAGCGGGATTATAATTATCATAAGGGTTTAACTCCCATACATGTCTATGCGCCATGTATCTTGATATACGGCTTATTTTATCTGGCTATATGTACATATTAACGTCACCCCATTGGATGTAGTAGACTGCGTATGCCCATGGAGACCTACCTCCCTAAAACACGCTAACGTACGGTGAAACACTAGAGGCCGCACTCATGTCAGATATAGGTCATTGTCATAGATGGGTTTATCTATTAAAAGTGCAAATAACTGCTTTTGGTTTTGCGGCACTGGTTGACCTTTATCTCAACCTGATCTGACAAATCATAGTGAGTGAGAGATCATGATATGAAGTATATTGCACCGGGTACGTGCCCTGGACTCAACCTCGCTAGCTGAGAGACTAAACTAAAAACGTTTTCTCGGCTTATATGGGTTCGATCTCCCATTAAATCGTCCAGCATTTGTAGTTTTTGGGCCATTAAGCTTACTCTCATAGGATAATAAATATGGTTTACCTCGATACTCCCGTGCTAGTGAATCAACCAAAGAAGTTATTAATAGAGAGGCCAATGCGTTCCTAACAAATAAAGTGGGGTTAGTAGTATCATGCATGGTTTTTGCCAAGACCATGCTACTAATCTCTCAGGCGTCCGCTAACGAAAAACTCACTAATGAACGCCTGAACCTTCCTGTTTTCAATCTTCGCTACTGCATCACTACATCGTCGATGCTACCCCATAGCTACATGGACATACAGAGCTCGCGAACTCATTGTTATAAAACCACTTGGGGGACGGTCTGTCCCGCATGCCATATTGCCCTTCGCTGAGGTCCTGGCCTATTATCTTTTCCGAGTATGACCCAGCGTGAAGTGGGCTTTGCAGAGTGTTTTGCTTCGGGTCTTCCTTCTGGCAAGAGTGAGAGGGATACATTGTCCGATCGGATTTCAGTGAAGTGGTGAAGCCGTTCGATTATACAGAAGAAAATTTCTCCACCCATTCCGATTTATGGCTAGTATTTTACCTCCTTACTCGCCCTCACCTATATATATTGCCCCCTACTCCCTACCCTTCTTTTTTGATCCTTTCTTCCACAAAGCCCCGTAGGCCGTCTTGGAAGTTTAGTCGTAGTAGATGTAAGGCCAGAAGAAGAGAGACCAGACCGCAGGTTAGGCCTTGGCATCAGCTTGAACGGAAAACGTTGATATTTTGTTTTTTATATCCTTGGCCACTTTGCTCTGAGACCGTACGATCTTTTTTTACTCATTTGAACCTCTTGCCGTGGCCGGTACTAGCCACATGATTCCGTGCACTCGGCCTGATCCTGAACGTTGTTAAGCTTATCAATACCAATCGCCCTCTAGCCTCGCGAGATTGAAAACTTCTTTCCTTGTCCTATCTTATGCAAGATCTATACTTCGATCATATTACAAATGCATTTATTTCCATCATATTCAACTGTGTAAACCATATCAGATAGCAATCGAGAATCCTGGCGGAAATGATTGTATAACGGGACTGAGTCTCACGTGATCACTAACCCTCTGCAATTCCGTATTTAAGAAAAATGTAGCAGCATTTCTGAACCGCGTCTAGCGGCAGGACGACTCCACAACAAGATTTCTCGTCTCGGTTTTGTGGTTTGCTGCACGAAAAATGGGTAAAGAAGCTCCTCGATCTGATCTGGCGAGTTACAGAACCATTGAGTCGTGATACGTTGAACTTCTCGAGGTCTCCTCTAGGTTGATATGTTGGATAAAACGACTATTGGAGAAGTGACAGGTATGATTAGGTTGAGCAATAGGAGGAGATCGGGAACTACGCCGAAGCCAGTAAAGGGGGTAGTTTCTGGGCCACTGTCCGCTGAGTGGGAAGGAATTGAGCGGACAGAAAGCAGTAAGGTCTATGACTCTGTACTTTATGTAATCTCGCATAAGGCATCGTTCAGGCACAACCTAAGTAGTGTTATATTGGAAGCGTATCATGCGAGACTCGGTTTAATGCAGGAGCATAAGACGAGGCTCGCTGGACGAACACACAGTGTATGTATGTGAGGAATCAGAAGATAATCCTAAAACCAGTGAGGAGGAAAAAGAAGTGGTGATGAAGGTAGCACTTTGTAGTACCCATGAATACTGTATCTTTATGCGAGGTATGGAGTATATCTGCAGACAGGTTGTCATCAACTCTGCAAGCCTCAGTTAGCTTTGAAGTCTTCGCAATTCTTCACTTTGGCACTGGTTACCGTGGTCTTTGCAATCCATGGTCCCAGTGTAAAACACGGCCGGTGGACACATGATTAGAACCAGTGATCATCGCAGGCCACAGTTATAGCTATATATCTACATGTACGTGTAGATCCCATCTTCCTTCTAGATATTACCATCATTTCTCTATCTTGAGGTCAGTATATCTCCATTTATGACGGGAGCAAAGGCCACGTACATTATCGACAAAGTTCACCTCAAATCCGTTGTCCGCCTTGGGTTTATTCCGTTGAATTTACACAGTATGTATTCCATCGACGATCTCAGTTCCTCGTCTAAGACTGCACCAGCTGAAGCCTGGAATCGAAACTGGTTACCGCGAAGCACACACACGGCAAATGGCACTTTGGAGAATAACGCAGATAGGTAAAAGGTGCTGAAATGCGGCCTAGAACACCTTGTTGTCTTTATTCGTTCGTTGGTTAACTATGTTCTCGTCCAAGTTCTTTATCTGTTGTTCTTTACCATATATGCATTGCTACCTTCTGCCATTGATTGATTCATCGCCTATTTCAATCAATCAGTCGTGCCATGCTATTATTAGAAGACGCAGAATCATGAAAATTCCAAATATCTTGGATTCCAGGAGATCAGTAAGTATATGTTGGTACGTACATACACTGAGGGTTTGGCATGAATCTCAAATTGCCAACTGCATCCTCGGCTGTGATTTTAGCGAGATTGGCGAAGTTCTCTCACTCGTCAGCTCGACTGAAAGACTACACAAATTCTCACACAAGGTGCTAATGAAGAAGTGCTTTTAGCTGTTCGGAGGATTATTTCTACCAGGGTTAGCCCTGGTATTACTGGATTCGGAGCCAAGACCGTGCCCGCCGGCCACCACGGCCCTCGCCTATGACCTCCAAATTGTTAGTCAGTTACTTGCCCTTGTCTGATATATAGGTCCAGAGCTCCCGTCCGCTTCAACTGATCCCACATCACAAAATAACCACCACATCTAGCGCCACGTTCGCATGTCCGAGTTTCGCAGCTTTATCAAAGCAAAGCAGCACCGATAAAGACCTGTTGTATCTGATCGTAATAATTCTGCGTAATATCCTCTCACCTCTCCTTTCAATTTTCAGTTTTTCAATTTTTTTTTTTTTTTTTTTTTTTTTTCCTTTTACCCGCTGCATCTGTCGATAAGGTGTCATTTCCTCAAATCTGCAAAACCAGAAAGAAAAAAAAATAAGAAGATAAAAAAAGGATTGCGACCATTTCGCTCTTGAATTTCGAGTTGATTGAATACTGCGAATCCCTCCCGCAGAATTAATGGCATCCCCCGCCGTTTCGCCTGCTGGCTCAGATACCAGCAGTAGTAGAGCCTCGTCCTCAGCAGGGAGCAGTGTAGGATTCTCACTGCCGCCCAGATACCGGCCAGTGGCACTTCAGCAACGGCCGCCCGGAAATAACCCATCTTCAACAAAGAGTACCAGTTTTTACTATGATGGAAATCGTCAAGTATGCTTTGTGGATTTTTCCACAGGCGCATCGTCATCATCAGCATCAGCGTCAGCAGCGTCAAGTGTTGTTTCTGGCACTACTACCACTGTACTACCGACCGAAAATAATGTGCGCCAACCACTTCCCGCACGGCCTCGGTACACCGCCGAGGAGGAGGCGTGGATTATTAAATACGCGAATGAAAATCCGGAAAAGACCTGGCAGCATATCACGGATGGGTTTAACATCGCATTCAACCAGAAGCGCACTCTCAAGGGAATGCAGATCAAGGGATACTCTCTCTTTGAGGCCAAAGGGAAAAACGGGTCTCTAGGAATGCCGGCTGGGTTGCGTCAATTGCGCAAGAAAGATGAGGTAGAGGAGGATAATGATGAAGATCAAGATGATGATGAAGATGACGAAGATGACGATGACGACGAGAGCGAACAGTCGGAGCAGAGCGGAAACAACCAGGCCGCGTCTGTTGGGAAGCGCTACACACGCGCACAGGAGGAATGGCTGTTGGCGTATGTGGCCAATACAGCAAAAACGGGCAGGCGCAAGGATTGGGTCAGCACTGCGGCGGCCTTCACGGCGAAGTTTGGATTGGAGAGGGCGCCGATGTCGCTTAACAACAAGTGGACGCATCTTAGCAGGCAGTCGTCTGCGTCGTTTCAGGGGAAAAATGAGCAGGAGGCAGACGACCAAACGAGGGGCCATCTGCACAGCAGAGAGCAAGATAAGATGCAGTATCTGCAGTATCAAGAGCATAAAATGGAGGGGGGCGGAAATGGGGCCGGCCAGTTGATGTAGAAGTGAAAGGAAAAGGAAAGGAAAGAAAAATAGAGAGTAATTGGGAAGCATAAGAGATCAAACTATCATTGCGTGCATAGATCATAGAGTATTTTCGTTTTTTTTCTCGTTCCCCCCCCCCCTCTTCTTGGATTGTTTAGATTTCTCTTTCTCTTCTTTTCCTGTAATTGGATATCTTCTGTTTTCTCTTAACTTATATACCTCTCTCATCATGATCACGAGCGCGTTAAAGCTCCCTGAAATAAAAAAAGAAGCCTCCCTCCGTCATCCGATATATATTTTCAGAAACCCCTCCCTCCGTGTCATCCGATTTTGTTTTCAGATACCCCTCTTCTCTTACAAAAATGCATACCCCTTACCCCAGGCACCGATAGCAGTACAATCGACCTGTAAAATTGTATGATAGAACCTTAGGATGTACTAATATCAAGAGTACCGGTTCTGACACTTTTCTTGTCTCAAAAACACCGATAGAATTCCAGAATAGAGATTAGCGAGCGCTTTGACCTCAGTATAAATGTGCTCATATAATTATAACTACATGTAGCTCCGAAATGTGAATCTGGTTAGCGCGGGTGTCTGGTAAGCTTCATCAGCGTGTACGCTAGGTCTCTGAACAACTTCAGAGTCTAGGCTTTGTCTGTTTCACCCCTTCCCCGCAGAAATTTAGCTGTTTTCGTGTTTTCCACATTAAATGACGGCCCGTTTAGGTAAGTAACAGTTATGTCATATATACGTATACCTAAGAGAGTAATTACTGTTTCCTAAGTACTTGGAAATCACTTTATACGTATGTAAGACAGACAATACGAAATGAGCTATACTGTCGTTCACGGGGTATTGGCGGATACTGGGTATTGGCGAATTGCAGGTAAAAGTTGGCTTGGCTGTCTCTTTTTTGCCCTGTCCGCCATCACCCAGTATCCGCCAATACCCCGTGAACGACAGTAATGAGTACGTGCAGAGTACCTACGTGTAACCATACCTATGAGTGCGTATGAGTGCATGTACTCAAAGCTGTGCTAGTGGTGGAAGCCTTCCGCGGTAAGCGAGGAATATTAATCTGTAGGTACGCGAGATGCGCGTGTGAAACCTTAGGTGGGTTAACTGTCCTAATCAGATCACTAGATAATCACGGTATATGATATAGCTGGTGCAATGCGGCCTCTAGCTGCAACTCGAAACTATTACCATAAGGGCACACAAAGCTTGGGATTTGGGAATGCTACATGGGATACTAATTGATGATTTGGCTTCAATATAAAACGAATAAAAAGATGGCGAACATGAGCACCATCCCAAAGTTCAATGTGGGGGAGCCTCTATAGATCTAACCACCCCATATCCTCTAGCTCTGGTAGAACAAGCGAAACCCTCCCTAGTAGCGACAAGGTCTGGAGAAAGAATAAAAATGTATTTGAATGTAATTAAACTTCGCGATCGAATACCCTAGAGGAATTTTCAAATTGGAAATTGACATTCAAGATCATCATGGGACTAGAATGTCATAGCTTACGGGCTGCACACAATTAATGAATTATCAATCATGGGGCTAGAACACTACATCAGTACTGTACCCCGCCTCTAGTGGTAGGTAGTGGTGAGTTTTAAAAGCTTGTTAGAAATGCAGACGGGTGTTGGCTGCTTTCTTGACTGCTTAATTGACATGAAAGATACATGTACATGTATGTTTCTTGTATGCTCGACCACAGTATGTATATCTAATAAGTATATAATTATAACCTGCATATGCATGTGCATTTAAAAGCTCCTGATTGGCTCATTGAGAGAGGTTTTGTTTCATTTGAAACATGTGTTGGATATGAACATATGATATTGTGCTGAGTGGTGTTAGATTGTTAATAGGTTTTCTACTGGTTCTGGGAATCGATTAGTAGTTCGATTTTAGCGGCTTGGTGGCTGCTAAAGGGATATACTTGCAGCTTAAACTGGAGAAATTGTCTGACCTGTCCACTGATATATGGAGGATATCAGAAAAGGCACATATCGACCAGAGCAGATATAGCAATGGACTTTGCCTATCAGGCAAATAGAGAAAATAAGCCGCAAAGCGGCTTGCCTGTATATTGGACTGATTGATATACATGTAGTACCGGCCGAAGGCCGGAAACCACTTGTACATATATATAATTCTTGATATACCTGACTATCCAGCTGTTGACATCATCTACATGTGCTATTGACACCATAGTGGCATATGGTGATTCGTGGTGACAACCACATATTTGATCCTAGGCCCAGAAGCCATATTTCAATAAAGTTTCGGCTTATGGCGAGTGATAGTATGTGATTAAGTTCCAAATTATGCGGCATGTGATTTTTGCCGTCCGCGCGAGGACACAGTTTTGGCCACGTGCCAAAAGACAATTACACCGTATTATAAACGTTCTAAGAGGTCATTAGGGATTCTCCTCTAATACAATCATCAGTCATACTCGTACTTGGGGGTTGCCCTTACAGTTCGGACTTCGGGCTAACTACAGTGACATTGTAGATACAGTGAGGAGTGGGAGGGAGACGTATTCATTGAAATATTGATATTCAACATCGGTTTGATCAACTGGGAGTATCAATTCACTATGATACGGTAATTATAAAGCTGAAAATCAGAGGGCAATTAGTAGTTAATCAATACACCTGAAAATCTACAGATACCCGGTGAAGAATCAACACCCTCACAAACTACACAGACCTCTGAGTATTATCCATGGTACCCGGTTCATTTGACAAAGCTCTCAACAGCCAGAGCTCACAGAACAACATCTAGGTCTACTGGTCTTCCATTTGAGGTTTGAATTCAGTAAGATAAAGTTCAAGAAACATAGATACCGAAAAGGAGCAAGAAACGCTGTAATCCTATGGTCCATGGCCACTCAATTGATCGTCGCTAGGCTGCTTTGAAATCCTATACTTTCACCCCTCCCCTGGATGAAATATATTGTTCAGTGGCATGTAATAGGTTGGTCAATGTCCACCGAAGCACCGAACCACTGTCACATGCAGTACATTAATTTATCATACTCATAGGACCGGAGGGATCTGGAGAAGGGACCTCCACTCGAAAGATAAGTGCTAACCTATATATAAGCAAGAGGAAAGACCACGACTGCTATTACCACGAGCATCAGCTTTTCTTGTAGAGAGCGTTAATGCCGAAGAAAGCATATGTAGCTGAAAATAAAATAAAATAAGGGGAAAGAGAAAGGGCAAAAGCCAGCTAGCTCCCGAGTCTGAATACTTTTGCAGATTAGTTGGAGATGATTGGCATAACGATAGGTTTGATAGATAAGAAGAAACGGGAGAAGAAGGGGAAGAAGGAAGGGAGAGGGGGAAAGGAGAGTAAATTTTCTAAATCTTCTTCCCACATGCGTTACATACCAGATACCGATCTTAGCTAAGAGAGAATTAGAATAAGCATACTTAGGCCCCACGCATCAGCAAGCCTATGTTTCAACTTGATTCCAAGGTAAAGCTCCATTAAACAAGCCGAGATCAGTCTAGTATAACAGCTCCTTCATCCGTACCCGGCCAGGTCATGACACTAAATCTCAAATGCCCCATTAACCAGCACAACAACGCACAACGCACTCAAGATAAATACAATGGCGTGGTTTAGGCATAAGGGCTAGATATAAAAATTTGGACCGTACTGCGGCCTTTTCACACCGCGCTCCCTACGCCGCGTCACAATCAAGTTGATACTTATATTGTCCAATTAAACAGATATTACATTATGGACCGGATATACTGACTGGTAGAGAAGCTGCTCTACACGTGCCTACATACATGTATGTACCATGTGTACCTGCATATTAATGCAATTGCTTTCATTCGCCGGAAAGTTGTACTAGCATAGCATGGACGCGTCACTACTGCGCTGATTATGTGAGAATCTCGTGATAATTCACACAGGGCAGGTTGGTGTGCAAATTACTACAACTGGTACATACATGCAGACTGAGTATTCGAGAGTTTAGCATGATATAGGACTGACTATGCCTTCTCTAAAGTACCTTCAATATATAGTACTTACGTGTATACGTACTCCACTAGCTACCAAAAGCCTCTCGATTAATCTCGCTTGACTACGATCGATAAGCGCTGAGCTCCGAGTCCGGGGAAACCTCCAGATTAGACAGCTCGCGACGACAGGGGTAGGTGCTATTTCCTTCCTTCCTTCCTTTGATGTGAACATCTTTTTTTCTGTTTCGTTTTTCCTAGTAGGTAGTTCATCTCACTGTCACCTGCAGCTAGTTTCGAGTCCCCACCTTTCTGGCCAGCCCCGTGTTTTATGGCCCTGGCGACGTTTGAGACCTGGCTGCATCATAAGCTATCACTCACCTGTGAGTACCCGTCGCAACCATTGGCGGACCAGAAACTGCGCTGTCTGATCAGAAAGGCAAGCAAAAGGTCCAAAAGCCACATTATCCTTCGCTTTATCAACATCATAAACGACAACCCATTATGAAAAAAATGATAAGTTGAGTGATGACGTTGCCCCCCTATATACCATTTCCTTGGCATTTCCCACTGTTTCAACCTCATCCTGGTTTTTGCCTTTGGATCCTTGCGGAACTAGATGGAAATTAAAAGCTCCAAAGTGCAAATTCGATTTGCTTCAAGGTAGAAATTTGTGTGGACGTGCGTTCCCGGGCTTTTAAGCATGAGCCAGTTAGGGTTAAAATGTGGTACGTAGCCCTGCCCATGGCGCTTTATATGTAAAGTAGTAGAGCTTTCACCCTAGTCCCGGCTCTAATGTTCTAGATCTGTTAACTATCTGCCTGCATGAACCCGCATATATCTACATGTAGGTCCCCTACTCCACAGGGCAAATTCGGTTTCTTCCGAGGCAGGCCAGGCCAGGGCCTTGACGTTTCACGTACATACATACATGTAGATACATGCTTTTTGTTCCCAGTTACCTATCCTGATCCCCACTTCCACGGAAATTTTAGCTACCGAGGCGCATAGGGTTGTTTTTTTATAATTTAATCAACGATGATTGGCCGGCTCTTTGTGGGCAGGACTAGAGTGAGCCTCCTTTCCAATTTGGCCCTTTAATCTTTTGGAGACGCGCGTTCGTGGTGCTGGTGGAGAAGGCCCTCAGAATACCAACCTCGCAGTATGTTTCCTGGTTATTGTGTTCCTGATATATTCTTTGTTGCGTGTTCATGACTTGGCAGGTTGATATTGTTTTGCTGCAGTGTCAATGATAGTTGGTGCATATATAGGGAGCTAGATATCGTGAATATAAACCTCCGATATCGCCCCGAACCCAAGACCACTCAATTCCACCAGACCAGACCAGACATCCACAACATCACTCCTTTACCACTCCAACTAATACAGCATCCATCATGAGAATTACAGAAACCCTCTCCCTCGCCGCCCTAGCGGCAACAGCCCTCCTCGGTGTCGTGAGCGCCCACGGAAACCCCACCACTGGTGAGCTCGCCGCCAGAGATATCCGCGAAAGTCGTGCCCGCCGCTCCCTCGCGCAGTGCTCCGAGAAGCTCCGCGCCAGAGACCGCCTGCACAAGAGGTCCTCGAAGAGGAATGCCCTTGTGGAGCGCCACCTCTTGAAGAAGCGTCAGGTTGGCGGCGGACAGAGAGGCGGGCAGGGTCAAGGTCAAGGCCAAGGTGGTCAGCAGCTGGGTGGTGGCCAGCAGGGCGGGAACAACGGTGGAAACCAAGGTGGGTGATATCTCTTAATTGAGCACTCAATGTGCGTTTGGATCAAGAACTGACCGTGAATAGGGAATGCACCGGGAGCACCCAGTAGTGTAGCTGGGGGAGCGCCAGTTGCAACTTCCACTGTAGTTGGAGGAGCCCCAGTTGCGACTTCCGCTGCGGGTGAGGCGCCGACTACATTGACTTCAGCTGTTGAGGTCCCTACTACTGCCGCTGTTACCACTGCTACTAGCAGCGCTGTTGACGCTGTCGGAACTTCCCCAGCGAGCTTGTTCCCAGAGGTCCAGTGTGTTTTGACGCCCGAGTTAACTGTCGGACCGTACTACGTCTCCGGCGAGCTCATCCGCGAGGACATCAGAGAGGACCAGTACGGAATTGAGCTCCTCCTTGACGTCCAGTTCGTTGATGTCAACACCTGCGAAGTCCTGACCGACGCCTACGTCGATTTCTGGCACTGGTAATTCCCCTCCTCTTCTCAATCTGATACCGCAGCCTGCTAAAACCCACAGCAACACCACCGGTACCTACTCCGGCGTCGAAGCCGACGGCACCTTAGGAACCACCTTCCTCCGTGGCATCCAGCCCACCGACGAGGACGGCATCACCCAGATCATCACCACCTTCCCCGGCTGGTACAGCGGCCGCGCCACACACATCCACGTCGCCGCCCACATCAACGGCACCGCAGAGGCAAACAGCACATACACCGGCGGCAGCACATCCCACATCGGCCAGATCTTCTTCCCGGAGGAGATCCTGGAGGTGATGGATACGCAAGACGTGTACAACACCAACTCGATCGTGCGCTTGACCAACGCCGAGGATATGTGGTTCCCGCAGGGGAACACGAGCGAGTATAATGCTCTGGCGACGGTGCAGTACTTGGGTGATGTGGTGACCGACGGCCTGCTGGCGTATATTACGATTGGCGTGGATACGACTGTGGATTATACGGAGGAGTTGTTGTCCGGTGGGGGCGCGGGCGGTGTGGGCGGTGCGCCGGGCGGTAATGGGACTTTCCCAGGTAATGGAACGTTTGCGGGTAATGGGACGGCGCCGCCGAGTGGGGCGATTCCGAGTGGAGCGGTCCCGACGGCGACGCTGGTTTAGAGAGCTAGAGTGGTTGTGGATGAGGAGTTGAGGTTTTGCGTGGACTTGGTAGTTGAGGTTTGGTGCGGACTAGTTGACCTTGCGCGGTCTTTCTTTTGTATTGAATATGTGATGTAGTTGTATGTATTTTATGTGAATTGATATTGGCTAGACGTCATCTACTATACTATATAAGAAAAAGTTTCACTAAAGCCTAACCCTATATCCGGCCCTGTCCATGGGGGAGAGGGGGGGGAGACCGGGCCAGAGATCTGATCGATATCACACTTAACATACGTACGGGGAGGAGGGCCAATAATCTCCAGAAAAATGTCAATAAATTACAAAAAGTCTTGCTGGAGAGTATGCTTTTCAGGGGGGTGAGTGCCAATTTATTACACATAACGCCAGTATAGACTCCCACCCCTCGGGATTGCACCCATGACCTACTGATGGTCATGGGGACTCAACCCGCTCGGTGTCCTCCGTTGACGAGGCGTCTACCACTAGACCACGCTCGCCCACACAATTTTCAGTGGCCCGGAGGTAATACTTAAGGAGGCGAGGGTAAGAGGAGCTAGGGAAACTTAACCCTGCTATGACAATCTACCACGACGTACATCATGACCCGCAGCTGGCCACCCTCTTGTGTTATTATATTACTGAATATAAACTTTCCTAAGCTACCTGAATCGGACTAGTGACTGCAGCGGGCTGTACTGCGTAAGAGTGAGCCTCGGCCACGTGAACCTTAAAGGCGGCATTGGCGTAATACCCAGTTGATCTGGATGGAAAGGTATGGACACTCAACCACATAACTACATAAACAGCACCGACCAGAAATCATGAGAAAAGACGACATATGACACTGGACTGGACTGGTCACATACAAGCAAAAATTCTTGGTGCCAAGCTCGCGCGAGTGATGGCTCATGACTGCAATCGCTTTTCTTTAACGCAACGATGGTGTAACGGACAGACATCACACTATGCCGGAGCTAGAAAAGGATTGGTTCAAAACATGCTAAATATGTGGGATAGGATATATCACAGCCAAAACGAGCAGGTACGACTAAAGATTTGGGAACACACTGCATGGCAGTCATTTTTTCTAACCACTAATATTTACATGGGTTCTCCAACTCCCCATTCTCCCTCCCCCTCATCATCACTCCTCCCCTTAGGCCTACTGCCAGCATATGCTGGAAAAACTTCCACCCTTCTATGGATAGTAAGGGCTCAGGCCCCGGCACGGTCGACAGGCAATATAGTATTCGCTATATACCCGATCATTAGCGACAACTCGATTGAACAAAGCAGGCGGGATAATGGGCGGTTGACTTACTCAAGTCGAGATGCGGCCGGGGCAACACAGATGTTGCCGTCTGATCCCATGCAGGGGACAACATCTTTCGGAGTGCTTCAAGCACGATATGGGTTTGGGGTTTGGGTTCACCCAAACCCAGGGGACACGACTCTATCGATCAATGTCCCCTTATAGCCAGCATCTAGCATAGCTCGACAGCTAGGCATGAGAGGGTTAATGTTAGCAAAAAGAGTTATGCGGAGATGGGAAATAAGCATTGGTCAACGGTGAAGACATACCAAATGCTCTTAAGAGCTCCAGCTGCGATCTCCGGTTTTGGGGTTCCTCATGTTTCGGAGGGCACCCTCATGTCATCTTTGACAATTTAACCAGGTAGTCGGGACCGTGCTTTACGAGCAGCAGCACCCGTCGAGATGGATCGGGCCTGGCGGCAGCAGGCGTAGAGCACCGAGTGAGGAAGGGCACCTGTTGTATTCAACGTCAGCAAAGATGCAGAATGTTACAGCAGGAACTTCGAACTTACAAGAAACCACAGGCATCTCAACTCGTTATGAAGGAGGATGGCCTGTGGGGAAAGGAAATGTATGGAGCTCTCGGCTCGTTGAGACGACTCCAGCCGGATAGATTTTCCGACTCTGTTGATTCTCTGTGTGATCATTGACCAAGTTGTTAGTATATACAGAGAGAATTGCCAGTTACTGTGAGGGAACTTACAGCGAATCTTTTGCAAAACACCGAGGTACCCCTTACAGCAAGATGCCGTAGGCGGAAGCTCTTCCTCTCAGAGACTCCCAGGCAGGATTGGCCCTCCTTGCCATGTCCTCCCCCAGGCACGCAGCTGGATGGGTGTTAGTAATTTGAAATATATATTGGATGCAGAATAGCACAATTAATTCACTGCAGAATGTTTCAATACTTACACCACAATATGAGTGGCTCAAGAGCCAAACTCAGGCATTGAGCATGCCGAAAGTAGAAACCTTCCCTGTGTTCGTGGTAGAGACAATCGGGTCTCCCTTACAGCATCATCGCGAGAAAAAAGTTGGTCAATCTCTGAAAATGGCCAGAGTAAGCTAAGAGGGCTGTGGGGTCGACCCTCATTAAACCATCTGTCGAAGCTCTTTAGGCCTGGGTTCACGGGTGGTAAGTGTTAGTATCTTCCAATGAAATTCAAATCTAAGTAATTAATTCACTGGCTAATAAATAGAAAAAACTTACTGGATGCAATGAGTTTGGCCCGAGAGCCAAACTCAGGCATACAAGATGCCAAACCTCCTTGTATTTGTGGTATAGACAATCGGGTTTCCCTTACAGGATAGTGGGTCGATCCCCACCGCACCAGAGATCAGATTCTCAAGGTCTGGGTTCCCGGGTAATAAGTGTTAGTATATCTTTTCACAAACGCAAATCCAATTAAAGTAATTCACAGGCTAACAAAGAAAAAAACTTACTGGATGAGAATGTGAGTGGCTCGAGAGCCAAAGCCATTAACTGACCGTTGCAGTAGGAATTAATGGAACCTGAGGTTCAAAGTAAAAAGAGGCGTTTAGACAACCGTGTCTCTCTTATAGAGCAGCTGGGTATCCTCTTGACCCCCCCCCCAAACACCTAAGTAAATAATTATTAGCACATATTTACTAAAAGCAGCGAAATCAGTTAACTCATTTGCAAAAGAAAAAAATACTTACACAAAACCATTTTCTAGACAACCAGGTCTCTCTTACAGGCAGGCAGGCAGGCAGGAGGATATAGCATCCATCTCTGCCTCCGTCAGGCAGGAGGGATAGCATCCATCTCCGCCTCAGCCGAAGGCACCCAGGCAGGATGCATTCGGCCCTCGAGAGTCCACTAGCTCGACGTACAGAGCTAGGGCTTCGAGACGGAGGAGGAGATGTTGCTGCTGCTGCTGCCGCTTCTGTTGCTTCTGTTGCTGCTGCTGCTGCTTCGGCCGCTCCCAATCCATCCAGATCTCCCTCCCTCCCTATGAAAGAGGGGACTGAAATGACCTTGGGGAGGTGAAGGCGGGCTCTGGCAGATTTTTCTCTGGTTAGCAGGAGATAATTAAGAAGAGGAGGAGGAGGAGGAGGAAGGGTGGTTTTGTATATTTTCTTTGGAAGAACTTACGGAAGATCCGGAAGAGGGATGAAGTTCCCTCAATATCGATTGGTGAAGGAGGTAGAGGGACTCCAGAGGATCGGACCTCTGAAGCTCTGGTCCGCGAAGCTCCCAGATTTATTGGGAAGCTCCCGAGAGAAGAAGATATTGGAGGAGGAGGAGAAGGAGGGAAGGATGGAGACAGAGGCGGAGACAGAAGCAGAGGCAGAGAGAGGCAGTGAAGCTTAAAGCTCACGAGAGAAGAATAAGGAGGCAGGAAGGCCCCGTATATCTCCCAAACTGGAGATAAAATCCTACCTCCTCCCCTCCCTCCAGAAAAAGAGGAGCAGTTAGCCCTGAAATTTCTTTTTTTTCGAGGGATATGATCCCGTGAGGAACCAAGTTCATTGAAGAACTTGGAGAGGGTTTGGATCTTTCCATGGAATGGGGTAATATGATCCATTTGAGGAATCAAGATGTGGGGGATTAAGGATATTGGGGATTAATGATATGGGGGATTAATGATGAATGATGAGGAGAGAAAGAGGAGAAGAGGGAGAGAAGAAGTAGACGGAGACGGGAAAACCCATGACAAAGCATATACTGGAATATTCGCTGAGCCACCGTGGATTACTCTAGTTCAATGGCAGAGCTAGTTTACGGGTCGGCATATAGTGGGGACAGGGGACGGGAGATACATTTTTGAGGAAGTATACATGAATTTATTTGTGGGGTTACATGTACGGATTAAGAGGCTCGTGCATATCCTTGGGTGCGGGAAGAGGGAAGAGGGTAAATGTAGGTTTGATATATGACGCGGACATCTGGTTTTCATCCTTGATTGCTTATAATCAACTCTAATAATCCAATCCCCCAATCCTCTCCTATCCATCTAATATTTTCGGGGACGTTGATATTTGCTACTATTCAATCTCATAGATTTTAATTATTAGAGACTACGAGTACTAGCGTGGTACGAATGCGGCCATCGTATAATTTACTACATGTAGTGGCCCGTACAGATGTGCTGTTTTTACTAACATACAAATTACCGCTAATGATGAAGCGCCAGTTATCGTTAGTTGCATGTAGCCCGTGTAGTGCGGCCACGGTAGGCCAGTATTCTGCGTCTGCCCTTCCGAGTGATCAGTTATGAGTGGGTCCCCCCTACAATCCCGCGAGCGATGATCCGCCCATGAGGACAAGTCTTATCTAATAAAATGCTTTCTAATTGCTCAACTTGTGTTGAACGAATTCATCAAGTTCATTAGGAATCGAATCCATTCATAATATATTATTATTATACAAGCAGGAACACGGATATTGCCGGCCTGGTAGAAACTTCTTGCGCCGTTGAATAAATCCCTGAAGTACTGGTGCAGAGTATACGTTTGTAATACACCCGCTGAACCCATTTTAGCGTACTAGCACAGTCGAGCCGTGCTAGTACAGAAGTCCATACTGAATACTTGTTTACATGCAGTGTTTGGCAGCTAGTCAGTCAGGGTGATCGATCTCGAGATGGAAGATCGACCGCGGCTGGACGGGAGAGGAAGAGTTTTTATTCCAGAGCGGCCGCTGGGGATAAATGAGGACAAGGTAACAATGGAGATTCGTATCTGAAGGCCCGGTTAGTTGCGGTGTTCCTGTATCGGCCCGAACATGATCACCTAGACCCACGCCAAGCCGGTCGGCGATAGATCAAATCCAGAGTTATGAAGTGGTACTACATACCACGCCATCTAGATTCCATCTTTTATTGGCGACCGCCATTTCAATGAGATCCCGAATCTGCCATCTGTTCTCATTGGTGTGCCATAAGTGTTTTCAGCGTATTCCGTGTATCAAGCTGGCCGGTTATCTCTTCGTTTGTCCCGCGTTCCACTCAGTTTTAGCGTGAAGATATTCACCAGGCTAGCTGTTATCAGGGCCGGCTGTAACGGTGCCAAAATAGTAAGATCTGTTGACTGGCGTGACTTTCTGTGGATTTGCAAGAAAACCTGCCTAACTGCTCCACGCCACAGTGCTTGAAAACAGAGCTTTTTGTCCAGTGGCTTGATCATGGTGTTGCGTCGGTGAGGAAAAGACTATAAAGGCAGAGATATTGCCCATCATGCGAGTTTTCGTTGACTCTTTGACCTTTGGGTAACAGTGCATGATCACAACTAGAATCAATCAATCAATCAATCAATCAACTAGAATCACAAAATATCACTCACTCGCTACTCAATCCCGATCGATGGTTCCACAACTCAGACCCCTCGAATCCATCAGCCAAGTTTAACTCCCTTCTTATTACGACCTCTGAGGCTCTAAGGGTCAGATCAAACACTGTTTCTTGAGCTGTCAGCGCTGTCCCCTGTTTTGTGTAAGGCAAAAAGCCACAGCGAACCCGAGCAAGCGATTGGAGATAGATTGACTCAGATCGGGTAATTGATAAGAACATCACATCACGGAATTTGTTAAAGCCACACTTCCACCCTTTGCCAGAATCTAGAGTACTGGCAGATTAAGGTAAACTTCATTCTAAATTAAAGGAGACTTTTAAGATACAGTACAGGGGGTATTTAACATTACATTAAGTTTTTATAATCGATCCTCTAGACTCTTAGCTCATGCTGCTCAATATAGTAATCATCCGCCAACCTCTCCCCACTCCCAGTCTACGCCACAGGATTTACAAGCCTCCTCCCACTCACCGTCACACTCGGGGCACTCCTCATTTATCGGGATACTGGCAAATAGTTGTATACCCACTGGGAGGTGATGGATTTGCGCATTATAATTATTCCTGGGGGTTCCAGTTAGTGGGAGGCGTCACTGAATATATATATCATGATAGGGAAGTGGGGTGGGTCAAGACTACGTGGGAGGGAAAAAGGTATGTGGATAATCAACTACTTATATACAATAACCACAACCCTTGCAGCTAAAACAATGCGCGCAGCAAAAGAACAAAAGCACAGTAATATCTCTCTCTCACTCATAAAACTTTTTGGATAATCCGCCCTGCATAGTCAACAGCAACCACTTTTCTTGAGTAGGAAGACAACAATGAAAAACGGGATATCATAGTCGCTCCTACTGTCTCCTTCTCCCACCATCTCTCACCGGAAAAGAAAAAAACCATAAAACAAGTTCAAGTCAAAGCTAAAAAGGAGCAAAAGTGGATACTCACCCCAAGAACCCCCTGAAAGTCTCTCTTTCTTCTCCTGCATTATCGAATTCCCACACGCCTACTCCAGCGCCATTCTCGCCCCTCTCCTCACTCTTAGCCTCTAAGAGATCTACGAGATCTTCCATATTGCTTTGTGCCCTCACCGACCATCCAAGTTTCTTGTTAACCCTCACGATTCTCAACTCACTCAGTCGTTCCTCTGCGACTGCGATAAAGACTTCGTCCGGAGAGACTTTGTGCTCGATCCCTAGGTTGCCACTCGAGTCCAAGTCAAGTCGTCGGAGTGGATGACCTACGGGAGTGTTGTCTTCATCAAACATGTGGCAGGAGATGTAATCCACTGCGACTAGCAACTTTGTGAGATTTGGGCACATTACAAGGATCTTGTCGAGTGAGTTGTAGGGAAGACAAGGAATATTGTATCCGACGCTGAGGGATGTGAGTTGTTGGCCTAACTTGTTCAATAGGTTGTGTACTGAGGCGTTTTTGGCGAACGGGCAATGAGATATCTGCAGCTCTTTGAGCGTTGGTGGGATGGTGGCGTTAATGAGGAAGGAATTACTGATCCCGCCGGCTAGCGAGAACTTTTCGATCCGTGCAGGCCAGCGGAACTCCACCTTACCGCGATCAAAGATGGACGAACGGGGGAATTTGAGTGTGAGGAGATGCGGGAGGTCTTGGATATGCGTAAACAAGCTGTCGAGGCTCACGCTCTGTGAGACAAGGGAGAGGTCCAGGAGCCGCAACTTTTTGCAGTGACCAAGGGCCACAAGGCAAATATACCCAAATGATGCCTGAGGGGCAACAAACTCCTCGAGTGAAGTGTGCGTGCGCCGTAGAAGGCGAGCTGTGAATGAGGGCTTTCCCTCGTGTATTATGCGTGAGAGGTCAAGGCGACGGATTAGTGATGATAGTGGGGTGGTCTTGACCGGAGACGAGGTGGGGGTAATCGTCGACACGAATTTCAGGTAATTTCGTGAGGTGATTTTGGGGTAGCAATACCTGTTTATAAGTTAGTTTCGAGGATGCGCATCTGGTTTTTGAAAAGGTGCTGTTACAGATGTGAGGTCGCCGCAAAATACCACTGCCGGCACACCTTACTGGCCGCCGCGAACGTCTCCTGGTCCCTCGGATTTACAAAGTCGAGGGCCAGGCAGATCAGCTCCATGGGCAATGTTACCGGCTTCTTCTTGCCTACGGCCGCCACAGGACTAGGCGGCGGCGTTAATTCGAGTATTGACCTTCGCTGCTCTATGTCTGCCGCGATATTTGTTGTGGTAGCGGCGGTGGATGGAGGCGGGTTGGCGGCCTCGAGAAGGTCGTTGGTCAGTGACAGGAGCTTGTTCCCGATTAGGAGCAGCTCCTCGTCATCGTCACTCATGGGAACCGGAGCATTTGATAGTGAGAGTGCATTGAGGGAATCAGAGAGGCCTGATGCGATGGGCATTGAACAATATCGGGGGGCGGATTAGGGAAGGGGGTGGATGGGATGAAAGGCCGTTGAGATGGGATGGAGATGGGGATAAGAGCCTCAGCAGAGATGGATGTGGGTGTTCGTCGAGTATTTGAGATGTAGTCAGGTTGGTGTCGGATGAATCACTAACTCTACTAATAGATGGACGAATAACCAAGATATGGGGACGCACGGCTCCCAAAAGGAATATGGCGGAGAACGAAAGAAAGAGGTGAGAGGAGGAAGGAAAGGAAAGGACGAATATGAGAAGAACTTAAGAAAAAAGTAGGTACACAGCTGCTGCTCTCTTTCCAGAAGCAGGCAACACAGGAACAGAAAAAAAAAGTTTACAGGTCAGGCTCAAAAATGTGGATATGCAGCGAATTATGGAAGAAAGAGCAGAGCAGCGTAGCGTAGCGGGGCCCTTTACGAAGAAGCTAGGTACTAGGAAGAAGGCACCGGGAGTTTTGTAATCAGTATTATTACTCTAGCACCAACCATCATCCATCGTGCAGGTTTTTTAGCAGCAGCAGGTTTGGCAGCAGCAGCAGCAGATTGATGCGTAGCTGTCTTGTCGAAGGGGGAACGGACCGGGATGCAGTAGAGCGAGTAGGTAATCTATATGCAATAAACCTGGCCAACCCGGACAGCAACTGGGGGGGAATTGAGAGGTGAGTGAGCGCGTGTGAATCGAATCGAGACGACTGTGTGTATGCATGATAACTAACTGTAACTAACCTCACCGTAAGTAGACCATGCAGGTCGGGGCACTCTACAGACAGTGTCAGACAGACAGACAGACATCTAGTACTGAACAACCACCACCATCTCGACCACAACCACCTCAACAACATCTGCAGGGTCTGTCTGTCCGGGGGTATTTGATAGAAAACGTCGAGCATCAGCGAGATCGAGTGTAGAACCTTACTCTAGTCTATCCAAAGCGAGAGATCGAGACGGAAGGACAGAGACAGCCAGGCACGACTTCCCAGAACCGGTTTTTCCCTGGAGATCTCGTGTGTATACAACTTCCGGTAGAATTATTGCGAAAGTGGGTTCCCCGTGACCCGATAGTCCTATTGGCCCTTAAAAGATTTTTTGCTACGAGCACAGACCAACAAAATCCACTCTTTTAGCTCTGACTTTCGCAATAATTCTACCGGAAACTGTAGATGTCGCTCAAAGACTAGCTGCCCGAGTCCGCGCGCGCTCCCCCCCACCTCCCTCTCAGGTACAAGATGCAAATCGTCTAACCGTTACTCTACTCGGTGATGCTCGCCATCGTCCATCTCGCCCATCTCGCCCATCTCGCTCCATCGCATCTCACACAGATGTGTCAGTGCATGAGTGCACAGTAGTAGAGCCGAGCAAAGCAGTAGTACATATATCTAGAACAGAGAGTTAGACATAGAAGACAGAGTTTGTTTGTCTCAGCGCCCACGATGTGATTCATGCTTTAGGGTGCCCTTAAGTTCCAGAGGGATCAGATGTGCCGCGTCTGGACGTATCGGGGAGCACATTCACACACACACACACCCTAAACTGGATGCGCTACTCGGCAGGGATCCCGAAACGGAGCTGCCGGAAAGCTTGGCGGTTGCGAGCGAGTCAACGACAGCTCTATCCACAGCACTATCCACAGCACATCCACAGCACTGTCTGAACCTCAATTGTTCACAACCACTCACTTCACATTGGCATATTCCCACTCACAACTTTTAACCCAGACAGACTCGCAGTAATGGCCAATAAGCGCAAGAAGAACCAAAAGTCCCGCCCAAATACCCATCACGACACCAGCGGCGGTGGTGGTCCCAGCAACTACAATAATAGTAATAGCAACACCTACGACCAAACCCACCACCACAAGCGCCCACGCTACAATAACAATAACAATAATAACAGCACCTCCGAAACAGCACTTCCATTGGATGGTCCCCGTCACGGCTACATCGACCCCCACACTGGTCAGCGCGGCGCGTTCCCGGGGCTGGAGGACGATGACGGAGAGTTCTATGGGCCGGCTAATGACGGAATGGACTATCTGAAGATGGTTAGGTGGGTTTCTCTCCCTTTCCTTGTCTTTTGGTACTGTGGAGGTTGAGATTAACGCGGGAGGGGTGGGTGAAGGTATGGTTGGCTGATGGGTAAGTACGAGATAGATCTGAAGCAAAGGGTGTTCCATCGCTGCTCATTGCCGGGCAGAAAAACGTAGTCGTGAAGCCACCCCCACGAGAACCGACATTCGTAGAGGCAACCGACGAGCTTCCATATGACGACGGCGATGCGCCCCTTAGCTATGATGACGACCAGCTTACAGAGAAGAAAGACGACGCCGACGCTGCCGGCTGGTATCACGACGGCACCTATACTGCTGCACCGCTGCCAACTCTCGCCGCCGAAGCCGCACCGCCTCCCCCCTGGCACAACTCCCTGCTCGCGCGCTTTACGGCGCTGCGTACTGCGTTCATTAGGAACCCACCGCGGGCGTCACGGCCGCTCGTGGCCACGAACCTCAAGATGTGGCGGCAGCGCCAGTACTGGAATGTGCATGCGGCAGGGACGAAGCCGACGGCAGGGGTTCTGGCCGGGCTAGACCAGCAAATGACGTTGACGCTGCTGGAGTGGTTGACGGCCATGCTGCGGTCAGGTCGGGGCGGGGGAAAGGGAGGGTTCGTGGGGGTTAATATGAAAGGGTACTGGGCAGAGTGGGTCTGGGGGTGTCTGGTTAGGCTGGATGAGTGCCTAACTGCAGATGAGATCTATGTTGTCAGGGAGCTCGGGAAGAAGTGCCTGAAGATTAGGAAGGGCATGATTGATATGAAGGTAGGGTGGGACGAGGGTGGCCATGGGGATGAAGAGGAGGAGCCAGAGCAGGATGATGAGGAGCTCGAGAACGAGCCGGAAGATGCGGAGGAGGCTGTCCAAGCTCAGGAGCAACCTGAGGAGGGCGAATGCTCCTCTGACCCGGAACCTGTCTCCACCGTCCCTGCGGCCGCTACCCCAACTCCAAACCCCGCCGAGATCTCACTCGACGACGACGAAGAAGCCCCCGCCTCTAACCCCGCCGAAATTGCCATTGACAACACCGCTAATCCCGCTGCCGAAGATACGGCTGTATATGATCCTCCGATCAAGATCGAAGAGATACCCCCCTCGCCTCCGCGCTCGCCAAAACCGTCGACAGAGGGCATCAAGGAGCATAGCTATGCGGATATCATTGGTGCGCTCGATATGATCATTAGTGTTGTCGGCGGCTTCTTTGGGCAGAGGGATCTATTGCTGGAGAGGGAGGCGCAGGGAATGGCGGGCTGTTTTGCCGCTGCCTAGTGTCTCTGGGTTTCGAGGAGAATTAAAAGGGGTTTTAGATAGATATTTGTAATGATCATGGTGAGGCAGCTATGTTTCCCGAAATTGCTAATATGGCCGAGTGCGAGCCTGTGATTCTGACTCTTGGTTTGTGCTGTATCTAAAAGGTGTAATTAATGATAGTTAAAAGTTGCATACCCCTTCTTTCCTGCCTTTTCCAGTTCTGGTGACGATCGTCGCAACTCTTCCATATCGTGATTCGTGATTCCTAGAACACCTACCCCCTCCCAAAGAAGAAATGCACAGGGATTTCTTGTATGTTGGACTTCGGACGTACCTGCTTTCGCCCACCTCACCCCCGAATATGCTCATGCAGGCCATCGACTGTGCAGGGATGCGGACGTTACTTGCTTGCTTTCCTTAGCGCCGGCCTTGAGGCCGAAGGTCGTATATGTGTGTGCGTGTGTCACAGTGCGTGCGGGGGTGGGGGTGGGTTATCAGATTGTTCTGGAAGCATGAAGGGTCTTTTTCCTTGTTTTCTGTGTTTTTACATTGGGGGCGCCGGGGGGGAGATGGGGGCCGCGGGGGGGGGGGGGGGGGGGAGGTCAGAGCTCTCCAGTGGGTAGATATACGAGGGAAGAATGATATGACCTCATGAGCCAGAAAATATAGACTTCACGAATCCGGCCAACTGGTCATAAGGATATATTGCCGTGACGTGTCTAGTCTCAATTCCTTTAGCCAGAGAACGATACAAATAACGCTCATGTCGATGTGGCATAAACCTCGGCTTCTAGAAGTATTACAGTATGCCTTGGGCCGCCGAACATCGAGATATCTGGCCATAGGGACTTAGGTCTTGGCATATTTAAAACCAGGGTTAGGTGAGGAAACAGACAGAAAATGCCAGGTTCATACTACTTGTAGCCTCGTACCCATCCCCTAGCAAGCTGCTCGCCTTGTAGCGGATTTTTGTCCAATCTGTGAAGGGCCGGGTTTGGTATGCGGCTGTGAGAGTCACACGTAGGATTAAGGTGTAGTTGGTGTTCTGGGTGATGTTAAAAATGTGGTGGTATTCTGGTCTCTTAAGGGTGGAGTTGGGTAAAGAAATAAGCTTTAGGGGGATTGTGGAGGGTTGGAATAGATCAGGGATGCAAGATAGTTCCGTTCCCCAGTGCTTATTCTGCGCGTGTTGTTAAACCTTGATCTGAATCGGCAGGATCCTAGAAAAAATAGAGTAATATCCTATAGTAAGCAATCATTGAAATGGTATACGCAACCAGAATCCTTGTTGCAATCATCGTTTAGGCCCCCGAATTTGAATCATTGACCTCAGTTGCTGCTCCTGTGGAAATTGTGGGACCGTGTTACGACTCGACATAGATTATCACTCGGCCTTGGCCTTGGCGTTCAAGAGTCAATGTCAACCATTATTCTGGTGAATATACTTATATAGGTATAGATAGGATCAGGGAATATTTAGGCTCGAAACATCTCCTGAATACCAATGGGATTAAGAAACTACATGTACCTAGTTTGAAATGTGGCCGGGAGAATTGAATGCGAGTGATAGAGAAAAATATCAGGTTTCCCTACATGTTATTGAGAATTTCCGTATATGACAGGAGATAGATCAATTAGCGATCTTAGATCTGTTACTCAGTGACTGCTACTTCTCACTGAGTAGCAGCAGGCAGAATGTATCTCGGCCGGCCATGTTCGAAAGACAAGGGTGGTACCGGTACATTAATCACTTTCGGGTAGAGTATCACGGTAGTGTGGGGTACCAGGGTTTGTTAAGAACCATTGCTGAAGGCAGTACTACATGTACTTTTACGACTCCCCCTAAGCCTACCATCTAATTATGCCAGCTATCAAAGTTTAGGCCCGGCACTTGCGTATTACCTAGATTCAGAGCTACTATGCCCTTTTTACTCTTCAATTGCAAGTGAGAATATTATGTTCAGACGTTTGTTTTAATCAAAGAAACCACTATCTTCGAGCCATATATCAAGATGTTCCGTCTTGAAGGTATTATATACAAGCATGGATACCTTTTTGCCCTTTTTCAAATGAATTGGGGGAAAAAATAGGTAGGTAAGTTCTAATCTTATCGCCCGTGCCCGCATGGCTGCACTGAATTTTAAGTTATCTGATCTTCTCTCTCCCCCCCCCCCCCCCCCCCAACCCCAAACCTCTTCTTCTTCTTTTCTTCTCCCTCTTCATCCCTCGCTGCATACATATACCAGTACCGATTTCTTCGTGCAATTCCAGAACCTCATCAGAGTTTTCAGGAATCGATCATCAAACTCTCATCAATTCATGATCGGAAATAGCGAATCAACATATCGACACTGCATCAAATCTGCTTGTCAACACAGCAGCGAAGAAGCTCTGCATCATCAGAAGCATCTACGGTATCATCAAAATCTCTCACAACTAATCATCACTCGATCTATACTAATAATACTTTATAAGACACTGCCTCTGTACTGGCCTCACGATCATGATCATTATTAATCGATCATCCCTTGGTTCTTACCAAGAACACCTTTTTTACTGCCCTCACGATCATTCCTAATCATCATCTCGCCATCAATTAATTATGGCTCGTCTTTTGAGGGATGATAAGATTTCTGCACTAGCAGATCTCGATGGTTCAGCAATTTTCGAGGATGATGGTTTATGTAAGTATTTAACTACCTGCTGATATCTTTGATGATTTCGATGCTAATTAAATAATAAAAAGGTGATCATGATGATGATAGACACTAGAGGAAAAGGTGACCCCAATGTGGAGCCAAAACCGACTCGATATCTCCACTTAGGGAGTTCCCAGGCCTAAGAACAGACAGGTCGAGTAATGTAGCTGGGATAAAGCTAGCAGATGTGGAGGATAAAATGGATGAGTAGAGGGCAGTGGCGAAGACATATTTTCGACGAATTGGAAGGTCAGTAGTGATATTATCTGAGCCTATCAACACGAGCGTGGAGGACTAGGCTAATCCGGGAGCAGAGATACCGAGAAACATGCCCTACAATCCCCACTCATACAATCCACGTCAGGAATCACGTTTTCCTCGATACAACATCAGAAATTTCAATTTCAAAATACCAATTCCACACAGATATACCAGAGAGGAAACAGGCACAGTTCCATCCTTCTTGTCCATCAGGGGCCCTGTTCTCTCGCGGTCAACTTCTCCTGTCGAAATTAAAGAAGAAGAATTGGCGAACAAACACCCTAGTCAACTAATTTCTCCCTTGCGGCTTGGGTATAATGTATATACCATGAGTGAGGATGAGCTTCGTGAGGCTCAAGCTTCCTCGGTGCCCCAATTCTCACTGATATTGGTCGAAAGGGTCTCCGAGCATCAAGGAGAAAAATGAGCCGGTGCATTCAAAATGGATTGCAAGGACCCGGAATCATTGGCCCCATTGTGAGGGGATCAGGGTCACGGAAATGATCGATCCAGGATATCAGGCCCTGAGAGGAAAAGGTAAATATATCACAACACTGTAATTGTTTGACTTGAGGCTAATTATATTTGCAGCTACCCACTCTAAGCTACCATATAGCCTCAAGTCCAAATACTCCTACAACAAGGCAGCTGCACGGATATTCAACCTCAACAACCGCTGAAGACACCACACGGAGATGGATCTCCATCACCTCCATGCCCGCGATGCAAAGTGGACCTTCGAATCCTACTTTCTCATTCTCGAGAAAATTCCGGACGAATTCCGCCCAGCGTTCCTGACCATTATCTTTGGCAGCAGGGGAAATCGCAGCCGCCCTAGGGGAATTGCAATCCTGCGCTGCCAAGTACTGTTGTCAGCCAAATGTGTCGGGACTTTGGAAAACAACTTTGGGTCAAGGATGAAGAAGAAGATGAAGGGATATGGAAAATCCTCCCAGCAGGCTTCCCAGGGACGCTATTCATAGCTCCCGGCTGCCCGTGATCAGACTATTAGTCAGAACTGGAGGTAAAGGGGTTACTTGGAAGTAATTTCAAACGCGGGGATGCGAGTATCGGTGCCTGTGCTGTGCTTGGGTTACTTGGAGGTAACTTCAAACGCGGGGACACGAGTATCGGTGCCTGTGTTTGGGTTACTTGGAGGTGCCTGTGTTTGGGTAACTTGGATACAATATATATTTTCATATTTATTTCGTATACTACATCTAATATAATGTACTTAACAACTTGCACTTACCATTATCATGTGCCTTTGTGCATCACGCTCTACAATGTTTTCCTATTTTGCGGTCAATCCTTGCTTGTTATCTTTTCTTGTCCTGTCTTGTTTGGAACGGATCAATCAATAAATATAATCACAATATTATTCTTCTAACATGTATCCATCATCACAATATTCCTCTTGGCACATCTATTTGACCATGCGGATCACGCTCTAAGTAGGACTATTAGCTTAATTCTGTGTAGTAATCGATCAGGTATGTACTTCCGATCTTCAATATATCATTATACCGCAGTACTTCATTGCTCTCTCGAAATATGCGTCTCATACACTCGCAAAAGTAATGTGATTAACGTCGATGGTTTATTCGGAAATACAGGTATACGGTGGTCTCTTAACTTCTAACAAACTTCGCCCATTGCTTAGATCGATGTTCGAGTGAACTGGGACCTATAATGGGGACGATGTACTAGTTATCCAATTGGATGACAAGCTAGTGCGCTGGCGATTGCACTGATATTTATTCATTATAACACCAGAGAACTACCCAATCGGCCAAGTCTATTATGTACTGGATTAACGATATATACGTACATCAATTCAGAACCACATACATATAAGTGTCCAAACTTAACCACCTCCTCTCACTATAAGCACCATGTAATATACTGCCTTGACACGACACCTGGACCTTCTTGCACTATCAATTCGCACTTAGTTTGTCTTCTCATTAAGAAATAATGAACTTAATGTTTCCAGTGTCAGCACGCCTCCGATCACCAGATATCCAGCTTGATTCCAATTTTTCTCACAGGTCTATTTAAGACGATATTGTCTCCGGGATCGAACCTTGATTAGTTGATCTGTGCTGAATATATCGATACTGCACCCGGTTTATAGGCTACACAAACGGTATCGCCCTGCCATTGGCTAGAAGGAAATCTGAGATCCGTTAAGGTTAAGGCTCCGTTATGATCATTGGGCAGACATAGCATCTCTTTCCATAGTACATACTGGTATACTTCTTTCTTATTCAATGCACGTCTATCAAATAGCGAGGCGAATATATCCGTATTCATCAAATCCGGTATTCGCATTCATCTCGTGGTCCTTTTCTGAAACAGTGCGCCTCGTTTCAATGTTTTATCTGCGATAGAAATTACAAATTAACGTTAAACTTAGTAATGATTTCCAGTTAGTTTGCGGTGTCTTATCTCGGCCTATCCTCAAAGCTTCCTTTTGGACGTTATTTGCGCAACATATATAAGCTGCGCATATGTAGATCTGTACCCCATACCGCTCGGTACCGACACCGTTTCAGCCCTCCCGCATGCTTGATTGCAATCTGCACATGGATTGTGAACCTCCGTTTAGATTAGTCGCCCGGTTTTGGTCATGAGTACACTGAGGATCTATACAGAGTAATTACGCGGATCTCACATGTGTGGGGTTCCATCTAGATCTATCTACCGATAGCTGCGGGGGATGTTAATTACATTTGGGTATATTTTGCGGGGAGATTGAGTGAATTGGGTCTAATTCTCTCTGTTCCAAACCCAAAGGACAGTCTGCGCTGGAAGTGTTTATCGTTCGCCCTGATTCTTTTTCGTCCGCCTTTGCACTCGGCTATAGCATCGTATTTCAAATGCTATTACTCTAAATAGAGCTAGAAACGATGCATCGTGTAACACCGGCGGTCTTCATGCAACACGCAGCTTTCATGTCCCATCGCAGCTGAAAGGCCTCTCGCAGTTGAAAGGCCCATCGCAGCTGAAAGGCCCATCGCAGCTGAAGGAACAGAAAGTGCGAAACCAACATGAGCAACCAGTGCACATTGACTACCCATTACTGAAGCTGGCAAAACGATTCGAAATATATGACGCGGTGCTCTTTCTTCACGTGAATGTATGAAACATACTGACCTAAAAGAATTAACAAACTCTTCTTAGTAGTTATAAGAAATTCTTTTTGTATAAAGCTGAGGTGTTTTCCCCTTGGGAAGGAGTTTCTTACTATCATCACCACCGGATATCTCGAATTCACAACAATCAATCTTACAACAAAGTAAGCTTTTTAATTTACCTCTATCAATCATATTTCCTAACTCTTCTGACCTTTACAGAAAATCTCTATTCCATCAAGAGCAATATGTCTTGCAACTGCAAAACAAACGTCTTTGGCAAGCTTAAGGAGCTTGCGGACTCCAAAGTCTGTAGCAAATGGGATGTCCTCATGGTTCTCGGCGAGATGCAAAAAGAGATTGGCAGACTTCTCACGGAGACAGTAGCCGCCAACGACTGTCCATGCCACGGAGTACTTTCCTCCGTTATCCATAGTAGAAGTCTAGCATACACTAATACTTCCCAGAACTGTGTGAAAAAGCCACCAAAGACTGTCCAGGACTTCCTCGACCATATCAACAGCGTCCTCAAGGACCAAGGACTTAGTGACTTCTACAAGCCCGATGACCCACGTCTGAAGGAAATTGCCGAGAAGGCCGCCGAATATGCCAAAAACCATCCTGACGGTCCTCTTGGAAAGCCGGAAGATACCGCAGATCTCTGCCAGCTCGGTCTCTACGACAATATCTGTTTCCTCGGTACTTCCCAATAGATCCTTCTCTTCATATCATACATGCTTACATTTCAAAGACGACAGTGGCTCCATGAAAGAAGATAACCGTATCCCGTCCCTCAAAGAAATTCTCAAGCGTGTCGTTTCAATCACAGGTCTTCTCGATTTCGACGGTATTCAAATAAGATGGATCAACTATGCCAACGATTCCACCATGAATGACATCTACGAGCCGGCTGGATTGACCCCGATCTTTAACGTTGTCAAATTCGACGGGTCGACTCCTTTGGGGACGAGGCTGAAGCAGAAGGTTGTGGACCCGATGATTGTGGCGAAGCTGGCGGGAAAGAAACTGAAGAAGCCAATTATTGTGAGCATCATTACAGATGGTGAAGTAAGTCATTTCCTTTCCACCCACAGATATTATCGCTTTATCCAACAGCCCGACTGACAATTGGTCCGAACAGCCCAACGAAGAACCTGTAGATCAGCTCCAGACGACAATCAAAGAGTGTAAAGACGCACTCGTGAAGAACGGCTACAAGGAGAATCGTAAGTACTTCATCTGACATGCTCGCGTTACCTACATTCGCTGATCCCGTACCAGACGTTTTGTTCCAGATCAGTCAGATTGGTAACAGCAAAGGCGCTGAGAAATTCCTCAATGACCTTAAAAACGACAAGAACATCCGTAGACTTCTCTACCTCACATCTGGTAATTATATCCCACTATCTCCCCAGGTATTTATGCAACAACTAACCCCCCTCACTCCATAGGCTCTCTTGATAAGACGTTGGAGCTGTTCCATGAGCGCGAGAATGAGCTCCAAAGATGGGTATGGATCTCCCTTCCCTTCTTGCAGCACTGCCGAGTTGATAGCTAACCGGTATTACCTAGTTACTCGATACCATGTTGGCGCCCACTCGCCCAGGTGCTTCTGGTCCTTAAGTTGTTCCGAGGTTGTTCTTTTGAACCTTTTTATGTTCTATTTTTTGTTTATTGGACAAAGAATTTGGATTCTTGAAATCTTTATGGAATTAGGAAGAAAAACCACCTGCACAGAATTGTTCGATCTCCAGTGAATTTCGCGTAGCCTCACAAAAGCAGTTATTAATCGCCACACCAAGGAAACTACAATGCCTACTTAAGACTTTCACTAGGAAGAAGTATCGGCAATTCAGTATTGTGGGCCTCCGCCTCTTAGCCTCGTGACCTCTCTCGCCTTAATTAAGTCTGCAACACGAAATCAGTGCTCAAGCCCAACGTGTCACGTGAACACTATCGAGTGATATTTCATGATCCAAACTCGTATCCCTTCGTCTGGCAATGCTGCCCACCCTATAACACAGGAATCAGATTTGTATGGAAGATCTATTATTTGATAAGAGAGATAACGGGATCTGTTAGTAAAGCCACATAAAATTTGCTTTTTTGGGGGTGGGCAGCATTTTTTGCCAGACGAAGGGATAACAGCACAGGTAGCGAGTGGTAGGATGCACCGCCACCGCCAATCCGGCGAGCACTATAACCAAACACGCCAGATCCTGCAGTAAATGAGACTCTTTGAAGGGGAAGCGAGTCGGCCCGTTGGAGGTGGCTTTGATGTTGGTTGATGCGTCTCTAGGCCCGGGAGAATTCTGTGTTGGGTGATGCTCAACTTATGGGTGAAGGAAGGCGGCTCGTCCCTAGCCGGTTGTAATACTCCATGACTACACCCTTCAATCATTATCAATTTAGTCATCTTCGCTACACCCCGTACCGTTCAAAAGTCTGTAGGAAAGATATCATCGCTTAATGCACTGTAACTACCACCGCATGTGGTAGTATGCCTCCAGCTCCGGGGCTCCAAAACCAAGCTGGTCTCTAGAAAAAGAGGTGGGGCATCATCGCCTTATAGCCGTCTAGGACGTAAGATGTCACATCAAAAGGGCCCGTTTTCCTGCTAGCTAACCACACACAGAGCCTTCTCCTTTCTCTCTAGATCTGGTCTTTCGATGGGGTTTTAAAAAAATAAATCAAAACTAACCACTCCTAAAATCTAGTGCGAGATAATTTAATGCATATATACACACATATACATAATATACATATATTTCTAGTCTCGTTCCCAGACTGTTTTGTTGTCGCACTGCGTGCAGACACAAATCAAAGCAAACACAGGCTGGGCACGAGACTAATATATTGCAGGTTGGTAGAAATTTCCATGTCGTTCTGGTGCAGATTACGCGTATACGTGTTGGGACATCACTCCTCCATACTCGCATCCGATCACTAACAGCCTGAAATCGTTGAATTTTAGTTAACGCAAGTATTCCCAATCTTAGCTCGTGGTCAATTGCGCATACAGAGTATTTACACCAATATACCCTTTGGCAGGATATCCCAAATTATTTCTCTATCTCTGCATATCTCCATTGGCTATCCGCTAACTATTCTACTGTCAGTGCTTTATCCAGCCACTGCTCCTACCACAAATCATCAAGCCCAAGCAGTTCAAGGACTGCTGTTGAGCTCGAAGTTCGAACCCACAGAAAGATAAATATATCTTCACTCATTTACAATTGATGAAGCTTTGGAGCCCTTCTCTACTAGTTCTTGCATTTCATACGAGACTACGTTTCTGTTTTTGAAAGCAATTGACTAATAGGCATCCAAAGATACTGACTGGCCTACCGCGCATGTTAGATATCGCATTTGAGCTCTACACGGATCTCATTCATCTTGAGATCTCGGTCTACATGGCTAGATTGGCAATAGCCTTAAACCATAATCAGCCGGAAAGAAGAAGCCTGCTGTCGATAATTTACAGTGTCCTTCACCCCTATATATAATCTACTCAAGTTTTCGAGGCGCTGCCCTCGCCTTCCTCTACCTCTGGACTATCCTCATCGGCTGAATGGCCTTGTGGGTTTGATTTGATCACCAGCTCCTTCTTCAGAGATGTGACCAGCTCTGCGATCCTTTCTCGTAAGGACTCGTTCTTTATCCTGTCGAGCTGAGCCTCCTTAATCTGGATCTGCTCGGTGAGTTCCTGGATGTCCCTCAACCTGATCTCCTCTGGATCATCTTCATCCTTTTCGGCCTCTACAGCCTCTCGCTCTTGAGCCTCTGGCTCCTTATCCTCGTAAGCCACCCCCTCAAACACTTTCTGGAAGCCCTCCAGCTGCTGCTTCCCTTCCACCGTTTTCGTCGAGATCGCAAACACCACCTCCTCAATCCCCTCCCACACCTCAACCTTCCCCCTCCCTCCCTTCCCAGCACCCACCAAAACCTTCTTCCACCCCTCCGCCACCTCCTCCACAGGATTCCCATACGCCCCGCACCCCCACGCCCCCAACACAACATTCCCCACCCCGCCCCTCGCCGCCGCCCTCATCACCAGCCTCATCTTCTCCCACATCTGCTCCCGATCCGCCACATTCTCATACCTGCCGCCCTCGGTCTCCGGAAATCGCAGAGCCGCACAACTAATCACATCAACATAGAACCGCTCCTTCTTCGCCAGATCCTTGTTCTCCTCGTCGCGGAACACGAGCACGTCCGGCGTATACACGCACCCCAGCGGCGGCAGCCGGTAGTAGTCCTCCCGCAGCGACCAGTACAGCGTCGTCCGCACGCACAGCGACTCCTCTTGGCTCTGCGCACCCGTGAACACGCCCCCGCCCGGGCGCAGCGGTGACGCCATACACAGCACCGCCGTCTTCGCGGGCGCGCTCTTCCCGGCCGACGGCGTAAACAGCGACACGGCGGCAAGGGTGTCGGCGTCGACTATGCGGATGCGGATTCCGGGTGGGGGTGCGTCGGCGCTGCTGGGGTCGTGCTCGTCTTTGTCTTCCCCACGCTTGCCTTTGGGTTTTCTCTTGGGGTTGTTGCTGCTGCCGCCGGGGTTGACGCGAGGGAGGTCGACGAGGAGGTGCGCTGTTTCGATGCCGCGGCGGGCGCGCGGGATGGAGTGCAGGAGGGCGGGGACGGTTTTGTGGATTGTTTCTTTGGCGAAGCGAGCGCGCTCGGTGCGGCGGATGCTGCCGGGTTGGATGGGTTCGGTGGCGTCGCGGCCCATTGTTTCTGTAGTGGGGTTCGTGGGGGGGGTTGGTTGGAGGGAGGGAGAGTATCGCGGGGTTGGTTGGGGGTGAGGTGAGGTGCGGTGCGGTGAAGTGAGGTGAAGTGAGGTGAGGTGAGGTTTAGGTTGGCGGTGACGTTTACCGGCATGTGTGTGGGCCGCAACAGCTGTCTACATGTATTTAGTTAACTGACTACTCTACACAGAAGTCTGTGACTTTACATGCACAATGGGCCTTATCAGCCGATATCTAGGTTGGTAACAGATACTAATAGTCAGAGTATATTTTATATAATTATCTTGAGTCTTTGAAAGCAATACTTCTACTTCGTGTTGGTTCGCGAGCTCGATTGTGGGGTTGCAGGGATGTGTCATTACCAACACAGCTTTGTTGGCAGATCAATCATTGACACACCATCGCTACGAAAAGGTGGAGATAAATCATTGAACCACACACGGTTTATCTAGGAATGAAATCTCTGACGTTCAAATGTGTCTATAATGAATCTATAAACAACTACTTGACATGCATACTTTATACACAGGTAAGGAGATAATAAAAAAATGACTCGAGAAGACTTATCAACAACTACATGTAGCTATGTGCAAGAAATTAACGGGAAACAGATATCAATGGGTGTTACAGGTACTTGAAAAACTATAATGAAGAAGGGAAAGACGAAGAAGAAGAGAAAGAAAAGCAAGAAAACGAATAATCTTAAAGGTTTCTTTATTTATACAAGAGATATAGCTGGAAACGAATCCTACTTTGCCAAAGGCAGGACTCAGATACACATAGCTTACTCGGAAAACAGAAACCAAAGTACAAAACACAACTAAAAAAAGAATACAAAGGTAAAATCATGAAACGCAAACTCGACAACTATCAAGTCAGAAGAGTGACTGAGTAGAAAATGTCTACTTCGGAAGATCCCGACCAATACTCATCAGGCTCCCATACGAATGCGGACTCATTGCCACACCATCCTCATGCACAAAACCACGCTGTCTATCCTCCAGCGCCGACATAGAGCACTGGGCAATTTCCTTCCCCTCATACGAGAGCCTCGCCGTCAACAAGCAGTCACCGTAGGTGGCAGCCTTGTACGCTGAGCGGAGCGAAAAGATTGTTGGCCCCGCAGCCTCGGCGTTCCAGAGCTGGAACTCCCACTTGTCCATTTGGGAGTATTTGGTAACCTTATATCTGAGCACGCTGTGGGGGCGCGGGTATTCGCTGCCGGCGTAGCCGGGGGTGGAGGGCTCGCGGATGAGCTCGCGCTCTTCCCGGATCGTTCTGCAGCATTTGCGGAGTTCCTCGTCGGAGTACACGCGCGGGGGTTTTCGTGGCAGTTGGGAGGCTGCAGAAATATTAGTATAAGTTTTGAAAAAAGCAAGAGAGAAGGGAAAGTCAATAAGGTTACATACTCGCAATGCAATGGGACATCTTCGTCGATCCCGCCATATGGAGCGGATGGCACTTGAAAAACTCAACCGCGTTCTTACAAGTCTCCACATCCCCATTCCGGTACGCAACAACCTGCAGCGAAAAGCAGTACGACATATCCCTCGAAAGACCAAGCCGATAGTTAATCTCCGTCATGGGACCGTATCTCGAATGCGTCCCCGAGCAGTAATCGAGTGCAAGGTATGTCTTCTCCAGGTCCGTCATAGTATTAAAGTCCCTCACGGGCCCATACAGCGGGTCAAAAGAATCACGGACATTGCCCACATCCTCTGGGACATAGTTCATGAAACGGGCGGGGCGTGCATAGGGCCGAGCCACCGCATTCTCGGGAAGACCGGCTTGGGCTCCCTGGCGGCGCGTGAGGGCCTGGCTCTCGGGAGGCGAGGGAAGGCCAGACGGAGCCCTTGGAGCAGGCGCAGCACCAGCACGTGGAGAGCGGTTTCGCGGGGATGGACGACGGGATCCGCCACGTCTTGGAGGTGGGGGTGAGTTGTCGATGCGAGACCTCTTGGTGGCTCTGGAAGATGGAGATCCTGAGCTACTTCGGTTTCTTTTGGTGCTGCGTGGCGGGGCAACTTCCCTACCGCGGACACCTTGGGCTGGGATTTATTGTTAGATGTGGTTATTACTCTTGAGAGTGAAAGGAGACTTACTGTTGTTGTTTGCAACTGGAGCCCCTTCATCATCTGAGATCTCGATGATCTCATTCACGTTCCCAGTGATGATGACGGAATCCCAATCCTCGTCTTCTTCTTCTCCATCCGTAAAAATTATTTCACTATAATCACCAATCTCATATGGCGCAAGATTCGGACCGTTGTCATCCGCAGGTATAATCCGACCAGCGTTTACGCCGGCAAAATTGGGATCCGATTCACCGTCCGCATTCATAACGACTACATCTAAGATACCATTACCGAGCGGCTGACCGGGAGCTGGAGGCCGGGCCTGTCGAGGGGGCGCAGGCCCTAATCCCTGACGGAAAGGTGCGAATTGGGGACCCACTATGTATTTACAATGCGTGGTTAGTTATACAACTAACTAACTATCATTCCAGCCCCCATGAAGCAAAAGCAAAAGTAACAAAGAAATAAAACTTACTCCTATCCATATGAGCAGGATAACAACCAGGCTCATCGACCTGAAACCAATTCTCTCCCGCCCCACCAACAGCACCATGAGGGGCCACGCCCGGGCGAGCTCTCTGCCCTTGCGGAACCAGTGCAACCGCATTCTCTTCGTGATCCCCAACCTCGACAATCTCGCGATTGTGGATCTCGTTCATATCGTTGGGAATGCCATGCAGCGCGCAGAGTACATCATGCATGAGGGTAAGCGAGCCCTGCGCTACTCCGCGGCTTCGGACCTCTTCGGCATGGTCTAAGGTCCCGCGGTTGAACCCTCCCAGCTCGTGGATGATCTCGTTGGGGTCGTAGTTCTGCCTCTGGTGATGGGCGGCGTCGCGATCTCTGGGAGCAGGATTTTGTGGAATTTGGGGGAGGGGTCGCGGCTGGTTTGGGGCCGCTGCTCTGGCGGGTAGGGCGGGGGGGACTGCCCTGACAGGTGCGGTGGAGGGGGCTGCTCTGGCAGCAGGAGCTAAGGGACCTGCTCTGGCAGCAGGAGCTAAGGGACCTGCTCTGGCGGGTAGGGCGGGGGGGACTGCCCTGACAGGTGCGGTGGAGGGGGCTGCTCTGGCAGCAGGAGCTAAGGGACCTGCTCTGGCAGCAGGAGCTAAGGGACCTGCTCTGGCAGCAGGAGCTAAGGGACCTGCTCTGGCAGCAGGAGCTAAGGGACCTGCTCTGGCAGCAGGAGCTAAGGGACCTGCTCTGGCAGCAGGAGCTAAGGGACCTGCTCTAACAGCTGGAGCGGGGGGGATTGCTCTGGCAGCAGGAGCTAAGGGACCTGCTCTGGCAGCAGGAGCTAAGGGACCTGCTCTAACAGCTGGAGCGGGGGGGATTGCTCTAGCAGCCGGTCTAGCGGTTCGATCTACTCTGTTATTGGCGCGAGAGCGATATACCGAAATATTTACGTCAGAATTGGCAGCTCTCGGGACTGCATTGCGGCTGAGGACAGCCGCAAAGGCATAGACGCCGAAGAGGAATAGGAAAACGTTTTGGAATTCCACTTCATCTATAGGCTGATTTTGGCCTATTTTTTTTTTTTTTATGTTAGATATACAGTTTAGTATTATAGATGTAGTAGAAAGAGGGGTAATGATAGATGTGGCATGTTACAGAAAAGGGTTAGGACTTACTATTTCGACGGGGATCGTCGTTGTCACGACGGGAGGATCTTCTGGTAGGCGGCATTCTGAACTATAGTTCTTTGGAACTCGCCCAATGAGAAAAGGGTGAAGTGTCGATGATGAGAAAGTTTGAGGAGATGAAAGGAGATCGATGGAAGAGATGGGAAGTTGGAAATGTGGGAGTTAGAGAAGAAAGGGATCGAGTAGGAAGAGACTTTATTTTGCTTCTGATTGATGAGGATTGCAAGATCTAGATCAATCAAAGGCAAGACGAAAACAGAAGATGAAAAATCGATGAAAAAGATTTTTTCAAATGATTTTTGTGTTCTGTGTTCGAAAGGTGGAGAGGAAAAAAGGAGGGAAGAAAAAAAAGAAGGGAAGAAGGAAAAAATACAAGAGCGGTGGTTGGACTTGGCTTCTCGGCACTGTTGTTTCGGGGGGGCTCTTGTTCATAGAATCCATAGAATGAGTAGTTTACGTCATGGAATATCACTCGATGCCAAGATTAGCATGTTTTTGTTTTTGTTTTTTGTTTTTTTCTGCACGACCAAAAAGTCAAGAAATGAATATGCTTTAGAGACTTCTAGAGAAGCTTTTGGTCTCGTCTATCTCAGCCTTGGAACATGTAGAGGTCATTATGGCATGACTACTGTTCGCTTAGGTAAATGAACACACGAGTAAACCAGGGGCCTCCATCAACTCAATGAATGATATTCGCATCTAATCTATAATCAGCTAAAGTTATACGAGAGGCTGCTCTCGATCTCTCATGCCCACCGAAGTGTCTAAGCCTGCAGTCGTGAACTTAAACAGTAAACCCCGCAGGGCCTCCAAAGCTCGAGTTCACTCAAACCCAGTGCCCATATTGCCCCAGTCTTAACTACCGCCCCAAGCCCCAACTATCACCCTACCCACGGTGTAATGCCAGCTACGATCTGACTGATGTCCCAATTTACAAAACAAAGACGAGAATACACACACACTCCTGTGTAGGGTTTGCATTCCCTGTTCCGAACTCCCCACTCCCCACTCCCATCTTCTCCCTTCTACTCGGCGATGTTGTCCCGTCGCGCCTGAGGGTTCGTAATCAAATTGTAATGATAATTTTGACATGTTGATTGAATATCAATTCACGCACGTTACATGTAGTTACCATAGCGACGTTGAAAACCAAGTATCCAGGTCGCTGAAACAGGCCTATCGGCTGAAAAATTAGTAGGGTAGCGGCACGGCCAAGGTTATGGTGGTTTTAAGTATTTTTACCATTCACATAACTCTCGATTCGATATAGGTAACACAATCCTACTTGTTACACGAGAATCTAATTAGGTCTCTTTCTTCAATATATGACATGGTAAAGATCCCACAGAAGGCATCATGTGTGTTTCAACTCCGGTATCAGCCCTTGGACTAGTTATGGTAGAACTAAAACCGCTCGCCACTGTAACTCTCTTCACCCCACAAAAACTTTGGTAATGTTACGTGTAATTGATCAATTCAGGCTGCGTAGTATAATCCCTGCTCCAAGGATCATGGTGTATCACTCGCAACATCATATGTATGGGGTTGGTATTTCGAACACTCTGGAACTCTATTTGATAAGTGAAATAATATAATATCAGCTCAAATAGCCGCAATTTATCTCTTTCCACCTTAAGAATCGCTGTTCTGTTGTTTATGCGGAGCTTTTATTAGGCTATTTCAGTTGTATTGATTCCTTGTCAACTTGCCGCTAAATCCAGATATTCAGGTATTAACTGACATGAACAAATATCGCCCACTTTACGATCCCCATCCGCATTCACCCCCACCAACTACTACCAAATACCCAACATCTCCACCAGCTGCAGAGCGCCCTCAATTGCAGCCGCGGAACATCTCGTTTACCTCTCAAGCCACGCGATGTCTCGCCTCCCTGCATCCGAGGACTTGGCGCAGCCTGCATTACCGCAACCGCAACCCAATTCCAACCTCACCTCAAACCACCCCACCAGCAATTGAAGATGTCCGACCACCTAGATGAGCTCATGCTCGCATATCTCGATACAATCGATACATACCAATCGCAATGCGCCACTATAGCTTCCGCTTTCTCGAACGGCTTTATGGCGCTTGCGCAGGCGAACTTCAATACGCCGGGGCGACGCTTCGGCCAGGACTTCTACGACGAGAGGATGGTTGCAATGCGGGGTGTGGAGATTAGAGAGGAAGAGGAGGGCGTTGTTTTCGAGGGAAAGAAAATCCCGATTGAGATGACAGAGGACGAAAGTAGGAAAGAGGAGGCCGAGAAGAAAGAAGACGGTAAGAAGGAAGTCGATGGGGACGAGAAACCGGAGGACAGTGAAGCCGCTGAAAAGCCTCCAAAACCAGACCCAAGAGACCCTCTTCGGTGGTTTGGCATTCTGGTACCACAGGCGCTCAGGACTACCCAGTCAGAATTCACCACCTGCGTCGAGGTTATTCCACAGCTCCTCACAACGCTCTCAAAGCTCTCGTCTCTGGAGTCCCGGGTTATTAGAGCTAGGGCGAAGCATCTGTATAAGATTCTCCCAGAGGCCCCACCCTCGCCTCTTCCCGAGGCTCTACCGCTCTCGCCCCTGGACGCGGGAGATGGATTTATCCACATGTGCACATCTACGCAGGTCTCAGGTGTCGTAGGAAGGTTTATGGGCGATACAGAGAGTGTGTGGCTGCTGAAAATTCCGATCGAGAGGGTCGAGGAGGGTCTGAAGTGGGAAGGATCAGTGGTAAATGGTGGGATTGGAGAAGAGTTTCCGCATCTTTATGGTGCAGGGATCGGGGGGGCGGAAGTGCTGGACTTGAAGGAGTTCAAGAAGGGCGAGAATGGATGGGGTGGGGCTTTTGAAGCGGCAAATGAGTGGATAGAGTCCTGAGGGAAATGTAAGATGTGATCAATAGGGAGACTCGAAATTGAATATATTCTAATACGATGGCAGATTGATGATGCACATCTTACTTATGGGCATATGAGAAACTCTTCTTGCATCCATGGAGCGACCAAACGTTCTCTCATGAAATCTCACTCGGAACTATAAACCTCAAAATGGCCGGAGAGATTACCAGTATAAAGGATATCTCTCTAATTTGAAGGCCATAATATACTTCATTGAAGTGCAATTGGCATATCTAGATGACGTAGTCGTCTGCTATATATAAACACGTTTTACGAGTATTCGCAAGCTTCAAATGGATGATATGATAACAACTTTGAACGTAGATGAAGCCAGAACTCGGTTTTCCCCACGTACGTGTAGATTGAAGGTCTGCTAGAGGCTATGTTTACAGGGATAAGGGACGACGTTCTCAACGAACAACCCCGTTCACAATCTTCACCCAATCTCTTTACGTGTTTTCCGGACAGTATTAACAAGGGGTATTAAGTTCTGAATCTCTATGGACGGTAAATTCTCAGGGATAGTACCCCGCGCCCACCGGTGACGCGTACGCGTTCATGCGATGGAATTGCAGGGTTTGTTTTCTTCTTGATGATTATCGTCACGAACTTCCATCAAGTCTCGACCAATTAACAGCACAGCCTCGTGTGGAGTTGATAGAGACCACTTGAAATCCCCTGCTGGTAGGGATTTGGTCCGCTGCATCAACTGTCTGCAGTCATCATGTTTCAGCATCACGACGGATCTAAACGGCGTTACTAGAACATCATCGTCCTTGGCAAAGACCAGGCTGATGGTTACATTTAAATGTGCACAAGACCCCAATCGTCAATTAGCTCTTCTCGCTGTCATCTTTATTGTGGCTCTCGGTCTTTGTTACCTGGAAACTCGAGCCTGTTGATGTGGTTGGCAGTGAAAATTAAGGCACTGCAGCTGGGCTAGAGTAACTGCGCATACTGCTGCATTCATCGTTCCAGGGATATTAGAGCGTTTTTCAAGTTTTAGGCTCATGGATGTCTTGGGATTCCTACTTTTGAGCCATACCCTTGAAGATATTAACACCTCTATGTACTCACAGGATACGGAAACGAAGTGTCTAGATCTACATTTCTAACATAATGTCAGAAAATTGAATGAGATTGACAGAAGTGAAGCAAACTACCGCTAGCTCACTCACCGCCATACCAGCTCCATAGCACTAATCACGATTCCTAAGGCTAGCTTATATCGATCTTACCTCACCGGTATATAAGCTTACTCACATATGCCGCTAGAGAGAAGTTTATGTCGATCTTGATCAACGTTCTGAGCCAGGGCAATATTCGCCAACAGATAAGAAAAGATAGGCAGTCTTTTCTAGATAGGTTCGGGGGATCCGGGCAAGGGGTATCATGAGGCAATTCCCAGCTTACCCATCCGAGTACCTATCCAGAAGATGCGCATACAAAGCCCCTTGCAGTAGGGCTACTACATGCATGTCATAAGTTTGGTTTATGCCTGATGTGGCACTTGCTCTCGTACTGTCAACTCATGCGCAAAATCCGTCGGGTTGGGTCAGGTATTGGGGGCACACAGTGTGAGACTAGGGAGACGACGTCGTGTCGTTGATGAGAGGGGCGTGTTCAATGAATTGTTTGGGCAACCTTACTCGGGCATAGTGGCCAGAGGGGTAAGGTTCTTTGCGAGCAGAGGACATGTGCCTCTCTCCTTACGTTGGTACTAATATTTATGCTCTTTCTATTCCTTGGAAATTATACTAAGATGGTATGCATATAACAACGGTTGACGTCCGTCCCATAGTCAGGTGTTCTGCAGTAGAAAAATCGGGCGTCGAGTAAGCAGCACCTGCTGCGTGGATCTGTAGCCAGCACTCTATTAAAGTGCAAATATCCCGCCAATCGCCAGCGACCCTGCTGCAGTGCGGAGTAGAATTCCAAAAATAAATCTAATATTATTAATAACTAGTGCGCAATCGGTTGTTAAAGTTGCACCTCGTTAACAAAAACAAAATGGGGTGCAGAGGAGCCACTCGCAACGAACGTGGTTCCACTGCACTGGCCTGTCGTGGGTGTTATCGATATCCACGTCATTAACAGGGCAGCGGGTATGTGCACTTTTGTACGACCAATGGATAACGACATGCACTGTTGGTTGGCCATGTACGTTGGTTAGGTTGGGTTGGGTTGTGTTGGGCACAACACTTTCGCAATTTGGATAGATATTCCCGAAACCCAATATTCCTATTTCATTTCCATTCATTCCGCAACCGCTTTTTAGAAAGACCTAACCTAACCGTATTCACATAAAAAAAAAGATACAATCAAAAGAATAAATCCAAAGAATAGAAGAAGAAAAAAAAAATAAGGAGCCTTTCTAAGGAATGAGAATCGAAAAGAAGAAAAAGTAGTAGTAGGAGAGTCCCCGCCCAACCAGCTATTACACAATATCCCGCTGCCTAGCACTATACACTAATTTATCTACAGAGTTCCGCCGGTTTATAAAGTGCTTGCATATCCTTCCTTGCGCGTAACGGGAAGGAAGGAACACGGCCTGCCAGCTTCATTTGGTCGCTTAGACCCAGAACAAAAAAGACGAATTAAGTAAGTAATGAGAGAAACGAAATAAAAGAAGATACTTAAGTATATTGTCCGTAGAACAATCTCGGAAGAAAAGAAAGTAAAAATAAAAGAATGCATAAAAGAAAAACGTAATGAAGAAAAGGATTGGGGACGGGAGAATTAGATTTGTATACTTGAAAAGACTCAAGCAACAAAATAACTTTCCATTGTTCGTTTGATCTTCGCAGATGCCGCCTCTGTCGCAGTGGTAGTATTCGTCGAGTTTGCAGCGGCGCTTCCGATAATACTTCCGTTTGATAATTCGATGCTACGATTATCAAAATCGACGGTGATATTATTGCCGACTGACAGATCACCAAAATCCCTCCCTGCAGTGAAAAATGTCTGTAATTGGGACTGGGCCTCGCTGGCGATCATGAGTGTCTGGGCGTTCGTGAGATATAGAACGACGACTCTCGCAAAGTCAATTGCATCCGGATCAAGTTCAACTGTTCTCGAATCTGTAGAAGAGGTGCCAGTTGCAGTAGTTGTAGATGCGGCTGCCGTTGATGTAGCAGTGGTATCAGTCACTATGGCTGTCTGCCTTTTTTCCAATTCAGCAATGGCTGCTTCCAGTTCCCTCTTCGCGGTTGTGGTAGTGGCGCTGTCGGGTATGGCTTCTCCATTGAACGTAACTAGTGCATTCTGCGCAGTGCAAGAGATGGATTCATTACTAAAGACCGCCAATAACATTGCCATGTCGAGCTCGATGTTGTAGTACGGATCAGCAATGTCAAAAAGTCTCGGCAAAGCATTTCCCATCGTGACATTCTGAATGCCCTTAATCCGTCCACCGTTACGGTCCTTCAAGTCAACAGTTGTGCAACTTGAATCGGCTATCTGTGTGCAATCCGATCCAGTAAACCCGTTGGTGCAAACACAGCCACAGAAATCGTTAGTTGCAATGTTCTCTCCACCATTCTGACAAGGATTCTTTTCTTTGCATTCAGCCACAAGAGCTTTGCCAGAACCGTTATTGCCGTTTTTGTCCGATTTCGAAAGATTTACTAATTGAAGGGGTACAATGACTGCAGCGCAAATGACGAGGAGCGCAAGTATGACAAGAAGGACGAAAGCCCACAGCGGCAAGCCACAAACTCGACGGCCCTGCTTTTTAGATGGTCGAATTGAGGATTCATTTTCGTGTGTGAAATCACCTGGTAGTGGCCATTGGGAAAGTGTTCGAGAGTTTCGGTTCTTTCCTTGGGCGAGAACTGGAGGAGGAAAAGATGCCAAAATGTCAGATATTGAGTCAGTGTCTCTACTTCGGCCTAAACACACATAAGATTACCATCAACATATGCCGAGCATTTAAAGCAATTAGGGTTAACCATACCACCAGATGAACTATCCATGTAGCTAGCCCTTCTGCCCCCCCACCTTGAATCTGGCCTCCCAGTCTCCAAAACAGCAGCAAGCTTTGTCGCCCGTCTGATCAGATCAGGCAAGCTAGTCAAGCTACCTCTGGCCTCTGCTTCACGAACAGCATCAAGATTCAACCTTGGTGGAATTCTCCGTCCTGCCAAGCCTCCAGCAGCAGGAGGAGGAGCTCTTGGAGCTGTACCTGCAGTGGGCTGGAGCTCATATGCCGGGGAACTGCTTTGAGAAGCACGTCTCGGGAAACTCGATCTTTCACTCATGTAGTCTCCAGGTGTGTATGCAAGTGGGGGTGTGATGATAGGAGAGTCACTTCCTGTTGATGAAGAAACTGGTGATTGAGCTTGCGGGCTGGGTAGGTACGGCAGAGAAGCTCCAGAGCCCCCGACGACGGGGTTCAATGTTGGGGAACTTTTTTCAGCTGGCGACCTCGATGTTCCACGCCCGGCACTGACCGAACCACCCGCGCTACGGCCCGTCTTGAACGACTCACTCGAAGATTTACTGGATGCAGAGGCCAACCTTCCAGAGCTCTTAATTTCTGTAATGACAGGCCTCGATTTTCGCCCAAGACTTGCCTGTCTAACCAACCCTCTTTCTTCGCCAGCGTCGTGAAAAGCTTCTTCTGGAAACCTAGAATCGGATTCGTCGCTATCACTATGGACATCATTACGGCGGTTGGTGTAGTACTCTTCCACCTCTTCGGGAGCGGCCCAGTTAGAAGGGATCGCTGTACTCGAAGCGTAAGACCCATGGCGGTCCGACGACCCTGACGATTCTTCTGGAATTGGAGAAACCATCAATGCTTGTTGGGAGTAATAAGAAGATGTTCCACGACGCGCAGACGGAGGAGGACCAGTGCCCGAAGATTTCCTGTTTGATCCAGAAGCAGGCGGCACGGCTGGAAAGTTTGGTATCACTCCCAAAGAATTTGGGTCGGTGGGCGGGGGGTTTGAGGGGTCAAAGCCGATAAATATCGACCGTGAGCTGGATGCGGACGGACGATTTGTTGGAGGCTTCGCTGGCGATATTGGACTGTGGTCATCATCCGATTGTTGGGAGTACCTGGTCTGAGTCCTAACTGGCTGTTGGTTCAAACGATACGAGAAATTGGGATTTTGCTGCACTTCTTGGACTTCAGACGAATCTAAGTTTGAGGGGACATAATCCCGTCTTACTGGTCGTGGTGGTGGAGGCCCTCGGCTCCCATTACTGCTATTCTCATTACCAGGCGTTCTGGGCACTGGAGGCATTGGAAAACTTTGTTGTCCTCCATTTCCACTTTGTCGAGACGACATGGGCTGTTGAGGTCTTCGAGGTGGCTGCTGAGTTGGTCGGGCTGAGGACCGACTGCCCATGTCGGCAGCAGGCACTGCAGGAAAGCCATGGATTGACGAGTACTCACTTGAAGGTGAGTACTGAGACCCGTCGTCCTCTTCTCTCCTTTGGTACATATATTCTTCGTTGTTTCTTCTATTCCTGGATCCACTTCCTCCGCTACTTCCTCCACCCACTTCTCCTCTTCCAATAAAAGGATCTCTATATTGGCTCATGATGCGGGGGAAAAGTCTATTCGATTCAGCCGTGTACTTTTGCTTACTCTTCTATAAAATCCGGAGTCGGCAAGGCAAGTCCTTAACCCTGGTAGACTGGAAGTGCAACAGACACGGCAGTTGCTTTTTCTGATGAATGTATGCGACCGGTATAAGTGAACTTTAACCGCTCAGCGGTGCTGTCGCTGGAGTTTCTAGAAACACTTCAACTAACAACTCTCGAGACTTTGAACTTGCGATATGTGTGGTGTATTTTTCCAGCTAATTTTCTTTGTTTGATGCGTATTTGGTGACTGATGCGTGTAGTGGGCCTTTTTCCGACAAGTAATAATATGGGTAGAGCGAATAAAAAATGAAAGTTGCTCAGCAATAATAATTCAAACAAATCTTAACGAAAGACAGGGCGCCACAATCCGAATATTGAAAGTCGAAACCGAGATTGTTGATGCGACCGAGACAGGAGACCGCGAATTGTTAGGTCGGAGCAGTAGCAGCTCAAAGATTCCAACCGTGGTCGAATGTAGAAATGGCCGTATGTTCCAGCAAAAGCATCACTTTCCACAAACGGTAATCTCAGCCACCTTTTCAAGCTTACTCCAACTTGGGAGTTTATTGATGTATGTCGTTGATCGTATGTCGAAATGACTGCTGCCGTGATTTGATGATATCAAATTTTCCGTCTGAAGTTCCTGACCACACCCTGAAAAGAACGACTGTAATGAGCGACTGCTTCTCTCACAAAAGAGACAAGTGGATTGGGAGGGGAGGAAAGAGAGGAGACGAAGGGAAGGAAGGGACTAAAACCAACCAATGAACCCGATCTGCTGCAAAGGATCACAAATATCTGTTCATCCAAATGAACTACTGCGAGGTTTCTCCTAGCACCTCTTGGAAAGGGAAGGGCAATTCTACTAGAATAGCCCGGGTGGTTAATATCCAATGGATATTAGTGTTGAATTTTGTTGGTTTGAATGAGAAGTGTGTTCCCGGTTCTTGCAAGTCCTGACGCGCGAGCAATCAAATGACTGGATTAAATGGGGTACAAGAGTGTGTATTCCTGAAAACAGTCCAGTATTTTCAGAATTGGAACCATACAGGCGTCCCTGAGAACCCCTCAAGATCGCCCCGTCTAGTTATTATGATTCACATAGTTAACGGGAGCACAGTCCGCCATTTGGGATACTATAGCTGCTTGTCCCACAGACATAAACCCAAGGCTCATCGCTTCTACATCACAGCACGATGAGTATGAATCCAGGGCCCAGGGGTAAAAAAACTAAGCACTTGCTTGAATGGGTGTTGCAAACACGCGGGTTGTGAAACCTGCCCCTGCAGTAACATCCCTGACGCACCAATCACCTACAGCCCCTCTTGGCTTGAAAGTCTGCTTCGTCCCATCATTGCACAGATCTGGGACAGATGGAAACAAGATTTGCTCCAAAAATTGCTTCAAGCCGTTATCTTGAAGACTTGAGGTTTTCCATATGCGCTGTATTTAAACGCTTCGTTCCGCTGCCAACGGCTGCTTGCACATTTACCTGCGAAAATTATCATTTATATATACAGTTACTTCCTCTCTCCGCAGCCGCTACTGCGCAGTGTACCAGAGAAATATGGTTTGAAAAAGGGGTGACCCTTGTAGTAGTATTGTGTATTGTACTTTACACTTTGGAAACCCGGCCATCCGAGATTCTCCTGGGCTCCTGAGGTTTAATCTTTGTTACTAGGTTTAAGATAACAGCAGCCGAATATAGGGCATTTGGACAAGGAAGGAACAGGCAACTGCTGATATTGCAATGGTCAATTTTGATAAATTATATTTGCGACAGACACAGCCATGTAAGGAATTGCGGATTCCCACTTTCGATGTTTTGCCTCCTCCTCATTCTAATGACGTCAGCAAAAATCAAACTGCCCAGACGGCCATGAAAAATGTGGAGATTGAACCTAGTTTCGGGCTCCATGATGAGGGATTGGAGTCTTGAAACCGTGAGGGGAAAATAGAGACCGTCTGCTCGGGGAGGAAGATTCCTTCGAAGTTCGGAAGAAGGGCACTCCTCGTACGACTACAGAGTGTCTTTGCCAAGAATCTAATATGCTAAACCCTGTGACATTATTGTCAACTGGTAGGGTACATGCATGTATGTAGCGAATAGGTTACTGCATATTCCTTGTAGACTGACTTTCGTACAGTATGAGGTTGCATCTCCTGTCATTCATATATCAAACGACAAAAATAGAGGACTGATCGCTGCGGCTCTGAGTTAAGGTTTTTGGTTAAGACAACGACAACGAGACCAGACCTTAAGCAGACGTATCTTAGACAGTCAAGCCGATGGATGCTCTGCCAATCATCGGTTCGTTTTATCTCAAATAAGATTTACAGCACGGTGGCTCTTGTATCTTGAGGTCCTAGCTATCAAGCCACACGGGGCCACCCGCACAATGAACCTCAAAGTTACGGTACCCTAATAAACAGTCTAGTATCCGTTAGAATTATGGGCTCTCAGATCCCTTTCTTCCTAGGTAGTCGTTGCGAGTCTCAAGAAACACGCCTGTGCAAGACATCAAAACAGAATCACTTCTTACATATGCCCACTGGATCAGTTTGTCCGTATCGCGGCTGCGCTTGTCCCGTGTCCGTATTAGCTTGCAGGTCTTGCCGGGATGTTGACTATCCGGGGAAGCACGAGGAACAGATTATGGACAAGCTTTCTTCCGAATTCGTCATTTGAATACCAACACCGGAGATGAGGCTTGGGGAATCGCTGGCTAGCCCTAAAAAAAAAGGGTTTCTCCGCTGTGATATATCACTCAATCGCGTATTCTCAAACAGAGCTAAAGCAATTATCATCACTAGAGTACGTGCCTGGAAGAGGTTTAATAGGTCAGTCGAAAACCTTAACGTAAATTTCTGTGCTATCATATCGATATTAGTAACAGGAATTTTGCCCAGATCGACTTGAAGACCTTGCTGAACTGTAATTCTGTTTCAGAAACCTCGCCAATCAGCCAGCACGCCGATATAAAACATCCGGCTATTCAGCTCCTATGCACGTGTAGGGGGACTATCTTTTGCAAGAGACGATCCGGCCTGAGAATACCCTGCAGTTATGTTTGATAATCTGGAAGGCATGTGCGTTATTGGACTGCAATGGTATCGTAAGGGAGTGTAAGAGGGCATGATGTCATTGGTCATGTACTTTTCACTGCCACAAGAGCATGCCATATATCCCAGTATCTACCCTATGTGTCTTGATACCGATGACGTATTTTACCTTAAGATGCCACAATTCATAAAAAATAACAAGTAAGATAGCGAGTGACTACCCGTGAGCCAAGACTAGCTCTCATCCCTCTCTCTCTCTCCTCCTCCCGACATCTTCACTCTCATAACCAACATCTCTTCGAACACCAGGGTACCAAGTCTGGGGAAAAGACTACGCCTGGTAACTTATCACTCTTTTGCCTCTTTTTACATGGGTATGCCAGCGAGAATATTCGCTAGTAGGTATGCTGCATGCATGTCTGTTGAGGTAGTACACATAGATGCAGCAAGGTGTACCTTTTGCTACTATGTACTGAATAAACGTAATCACCAGAAACAAATGCAACTTCTTCCTCTCGCTTCCTTAGGTACCTACACCGCTGTACCCTAGGAGCTCAATCTCCTATCCGTATATATTGGCCGGACCTACCACCGACGCATGTGGTGCCAACTGAAAATTACTTGTAAGTGAAAGAGATATGTGAATTCATGCTGAATTGAAACGCTCTAGTATCGCTAGATGTACTGGAACCCTTATGGAATTTCCTTTTCTTGAATAGAACTCGTGGATCCTGTGTTTGTGGGGTACATATAGCTACTGGTCTCCTTTCCAGTCTCGGAGTTGGGGGCATAACTTTTCAATGATAGATCTACAATGCTGACGTTGTGATATAGGATACCTAGTACTCTATTTACTCACTAACTACCCCAAAATAAAGGATTTCCGATTGCACGTTGAAGCTAGAACGATACGCAGCGCAGCAGCAGAATAAAGAAAGACCGTTAAATATTGTATCCACCGCTCGATTTTATTGCGGCCCTTTCTTCTTATACTCTGCTATTCCTTGGCTAAATTCAGTTGTTGTTTTTAAACTTTTCTTAACGAAAGATAATACGAACCTTATATTTCCAGATCTACCGTTTTGCCCAATTCAAGACGTATCACAAGATATTGTTATCGGATCCTGCAGCTTACGGAGTCAGTTATTACTTTTTTTTTATGGAAATATGGTGAGTACATACCGATGTTATATTCTTTCGTAATTCCCACCGATTTGTATAATACACGGCTGACCACGGATCCCATTCATCCTTTCGAGGGCCGAGCCGGTAGTACTCGGTACCTATCGACCTTAAACTCGATCATTTTTAGCGCTAAGGCACTGATAGTGGCATTCTTTCGAGAATTGCATTCAAGCCAAAACTTCATGTCCAATAGGTTTTGGGAGAATAGCGCCATAATGTGGAATTGACACTCTGATAGATCTAGAGACCCCATCGCCTCGAACAGCGCGCTGAACTCCGGGATGTAGAAACGTTTGAGGGCAATGGCTGCGAGACGATAGTACTCGCCAATGGGGCCGGCTATGCTGTTGTTGAGAGTGGGCTCATGCGCATTGACGCACTGTGTAAAAACGAAGTTGTTGAAGACCAGTCGTCTAAGCTCCCCTGCCATCAAGACAAACTTCTCCCTAAGGAAGGCATCTGGGACTTCTTTTTCGACCTTGTACGGATAAAAATGTATCGGGGTACGTATGCGTCTGGTCACCGCCCGTTGATAGATGAGGATGACCTTTGCATCCTCCCATGAGTCCTCCCCGATGAAATTTTGGACCACTTTGTACTCGATTTGGGCTCTATAACACAAGAAAACAGAATAAAATCCGCGGTTGAGAGCAGCGAATTTATAGAGATCTCCGAGGCTGGAAAAGGCAAAAAGTATAGAAAGTATGTGGTCGTGGGCCAGGCGGCCAATGGGCTGCTATTTTGCAATGTGAGCAATAATCAAAAAAATAGAATCGGGGGATCTTCAAAAGACTTACCATCGACATTTCGGACATCGGCATGAAGTGGGCGCTTTCTAAATCTGTGAGAAAGACAAGAAGCGGGGATGTAAAGTGGTTCTGTTGGTGGTGGTGGATTGGGGTGTAGATGAATGACGGTGACGAGTTGGGAGCAGCTATGGGGCGGGGCACCTCAGTGATGAATGTGCGAGACGTACAACTCCCGCGAAATTTCCTCGAGTGCATGTATGGCTTTGCCGAGTGTGCTATACCAACATTGTCTCACCTTAAAATTGGGGCACATGTATATACCAGAGATACGGAAATTCCTACTACAATAGGTCTATCTACCCATCAGAGTGCCTATAGACAAAATTAAACAAGCGCCTCCACAATTAAGCAATTACCTGTCAAATTTTCAACCAGCGAAGGTCTCGGTGTCCTCATCATCAGTAACCCACCCTTTGTCTCCTCTTCAAAGAACCTTCGATTGCCAATCCCGAGACTCTATATAGATATTATCCAACGAAAAAATTATCCAATTAAAGGCTGCATCAATTTCACCCTTCACCATAATTGAATTAAATATATATAAAAAAAACCCCCTCTTCACCATAATTCACACTGCCCTTGGCTAGCTACTATATATAGGAACCAACCTACGGACTCTCAAATTTCCTTAATTAGACCCCATCATTAATGAGTTATAAATCAATAAATTAATCACATTCATGTACGTAATGACAATCAACAAACACACCTTCATCCATAGTCATTAATCCGAGTGAGAACCGGTGACGCTCAGTTCTTTAGGCGGTATGTACGTTTCAAGCTGTACACCCCCCGACAGCCTAAAATTGATATATCCGACTACCGGTTCCCCCAAGATGAACCTTGGGGGGGGGGGGGGGGGGCGGGGGCTGACTGAGTGGGTCGGGGTGGCCATAGACTATATGTGAATTCCAATATTTAGCTTTAGCACTAGCTAGCTATCCTTGGGCGTAGATACTCAGTGTGATAGCAGTAGATAGCTATAGGACAATGGCGGCTAGGAGCTATATTGAGAAATCGTCGTAAGATTCAATCAATTGAAAGTCTCTTTTATATAGCTTGCCGGCCTAGCTCATCTCACAGAACATGAGAATGCGGTATTGCTAGTAGTTCTATAGCGCTTCGATTCCCGTATACAAATGGTAGAAAGGCCACGAATATGCTAGAATAATACAGATGTTATGATACCAATTGCAATTGACCAGATAAACAAACCAAGATATGTGTTCAAGTTATTGACGAGAGAAGATTGATCTAGTTCTAGAAACTGATTGATACAAAGGCCCCCCATAAAAAGGGCCGACAACTCAAAAGATATGACTTGATAGACTGGCGACTGGCTTAACATGGCAGAGAATACGCAAGTGTAGGTGCCAAGGGTCAATGGCACAGAAATGATCAAAACACGGGTTTACGGAACGGAACATGCAGCTCGATCATTGCCAATTACTCATCTAGCTGGTGGGGAATGTCTAAACAGCATATGTTTTTCTATCCTGTAAGTACCACGGTGAAGCTGTGTACCTATAGAATCAGTACCCCACCACTGATCGCCTACTAACACCCCAATCGTTATCCTCTAAAAAGAAATATTTTGTATCCCCCCCTCCCTCCCTCTAAAAAAATGTACAATATACTCCCTCCTCCCCTCCTCCCCATCTCCCCAAACTACCAAACGGCCTTCTTGACCCCCGGAATATTCCCCTCGCGCGCATTAAGACGGAATTGAAACTACCACACATTAGCCCTCTCCCATTAACCCATCCCCCCCCCTCCCCCCCAAAAAAACTCTCCTCCCCCCATCCCCCCACCCCACCCCAACCCACACCCAGGAATCACAGAGAAAACTCACCCTCGACACCCTAAAATCCCTCATGACACCCCTCCCCTTCCCGCCCATAATGCAGCGGTTCTTAATCTTCATCGGCCGCGTGTTGGTGTCCATCTGCGCCAGCTCGATCATGGCCTTTGTGCGCTGCCTCAGCGGCAGGAGCGTGTTGTGCGAGATGTATCTACCACCACCTCACACCACCATTAGCCTTCTGGGAGCGAGAGAGAGGGGAGGGGGGGGTGAGGGGTGGGGGGTGAGGGGTGAGGGGTGAATTGGGGGAGAGGAAGAGTACTTGAGTGCCTGCCGCGTCTGCTCCGCAGCCGCAAAGGCTTCGCGCTTTGCGTGGTCGCGCAGCGTGCGCACGTTGACGTAGCAGCCGAGCTGGAGGCGCTTGCCGAGGAGGGCGGCGGAAGGGAACATATTGCGTGTGCTGTGTGTGTGCGGTGTGCGGTGTGCGGTGTGAGAGCGGGCGACGGGAGTGGAGTGCTGCTGTGGGAGAGAGTGTCGGAGGTGCCGGGTGTGGCGGGGTGAGGTGAGGTGAGGTTGTGGGATGAAAAGGTGGCGCATGCAGGGGCCGGCCGGGTGTGCGGACTAACGCCTTTTCGAGAGATTGATAAGCAGGGAAATGATTAATTATCTACACCTAGCTACATACATAAAAACCGAGCTCTCCCGGCCACAGCTCTCACCACCACCACCACCACCGCCCAAAACCACCCGCTCACATACGCAAAATGGCCGCACCACTAAAGCTCCTCTTCCTGCACGGCTACACGCAATCCGGCCCTCTCTTCCACGCAAAAACCAAAGCGCTCGAAAAGCTGCTCCTCAAGTCGCTCCCGGCCGGCACAACACTCACCTTCCCGACGGCGCCGCACCTGCTCAAGCTCTCCGACCTGCCCGGCCACACGCCCGCCAGCAACGAGGGCGGCGAGGAGCAGAGCGCGGACAACTGGGCGTGGTGGCGGCGCAACGATGCGACGGGGGAGTACACGGGGCTGGACGAGACGTGGGCGTTCTTGAGTAAGCTGCTGGACAGCGAGGTTAGTTCTCTCTTCTCGATGCCGGAGCAGTGGCTAGTAGGCTGTGTGAGGACTAATTGCAGTACGTGTGAACCACCAGGGCCCCTTCGACGGCTGCATCGGCTTCTCGCAAGGCGGCGCCCTCACCTCCCTCCTCGCCTCCCTCCTCGAGCCCTCGCACGCCCCCTCCCGCCCCGCCGCCTTCACAACACCCCACCCGCCCTTCCGCTTCGGCATCGTGTACAGCGGCTTCCGCGCGCCCGGCCCGCGCTACGACTACTTCTACGAGCCCAAGATCGCCACGCCGACGCTGCACTTTATCGGCTCGCTGGACACGGTCGTGGATGAGGCGCGAAGCCTCGCGTTGGTCCAGGAGTATGCCGGGGAGCCGAGGGTCGTGTATCATCCCGGCGGACACTATTTGCCCGCGGGGAAGCAGTTTGCGAATGTGGCGGTCGGGTTTGTGAGGGAGCATATGAAGCCGGTGGAGGTGGTGGAGGAGGTGGGGGTGGAGGATATGGATGTGCCGTTTTGATTTGAGGTATACTTGGGTTGGTTGGATAGATAGATCTTAGATATACAGAAATAGAATATATACCGCTTGATACATATGTGGAAACTGGACTGCAAAAAGGTGTTGAATAATTGTAGTCCTGAGCACTGCCAATGATTATTTAGAAACCCTAACCCACGGTCAATGGTCCGGTGAGCAGGAATGCCCGCCCGACCACGAGTTAGTTCCACAACGAAGTGTCTCTGGACAACGTGGCTGTGCCAGGCCAAGGGCCTTTTATCCAGAGAGATCACCCCTCTCATCCAACCATCCTTCTCAGCTTCCATCTCTCTGATCTTTAGAGGTATGACATCACACATATACAGCGTCTACGCCCTTCAGCTATCCCATCTCTCTGGTTTGCATCATCCTCTCCCATGTGTGCTCGACGATGGCTTCTCTTCTGAAGCGGATGGTTTGGGACACTTCAAGCTCACCTCCTACTGGTCAGATTCGTCTGGGGCCAATGTTTGTCTGGGATGGCTGCTCTGGAATGTTAATCAGCCGGCTTGGCTACATCTCTGCAGGGAAGACGAGATCCGGGATCAATCGATAGCTATTATTTTTGCGGCACAGGATATCACTCGTACTCTCAACCTCACACCAACACTTCTCCAAACAATGCCAATCACGACATATAAGGTATCCAAAACTAAAACTACAAAAACCCACCACAACCCAGGCCCACACCCCCTCACCTCACCACACCAATACCACACCCACCACTACTTCCTAAACAGCCCCAAAACCGGCCCCACCACAAACAGCACCCACAGATCCCACCACATATGCACCCACTTCCTAACCGCCGCCTCACGATTCAGCGCCCTCACAAGCCTCCTCGAAAACACCTCCACCTCCTCCATCTCGCCCACACCCATCTCCATCACGCCCCCACTGCCCCTCGGCGCCACACACAGACTCCTCCCCATCACCCCCCGCTCACACACGAACCTCGCCGCCGCCTCCACCACATCCTCCACCAGCGCCCTCTCCAGCCCCACCAGCATCATCCGCCCACCCAGCGGCAAAATCGGCGTATCCACAAAATACGGACACACAATATTCATCCGCACCCCGTCGCGCGCGGACGGATACAGCCTTAGCGAGCGGAAGAAGCCGAGGACCGCGTGCTTGCTCGCGGAGTACACCGCCATCGCGGGGCCGGCGGCGAACGAGGCGAGGCTGCCGAGGAAGAGGAGGTGGCGGTCCTGGCCTGCGGGCGTGCTCTTGAGGTGGTGGAGGGCGAGGCGGGCGGTGAAGATTGCGCCCTTGATGTTGACGTCGATTGTTGTTGTCGGTGGCTCTGGCGGGTCGGTGTCGGGGGACCCGGTGGGGGACTCGAAGTGGCCGATCTCGCCGACGCCGGCGTTGGCGATTATGGTGTTGAGGTGGCCGGAGGGGGAGAGGGCGAGGGCGGAGCGGAAGAAGGCGCATTGGGAGGGGTAGGAGACGACGTCGACGTGGAGGAAGTGCAGGCTGTGGAGCAGGCAGACAGAGGTGAGTATACATGCACCCTTCCATCTAAACCGAGGGCAATTGGGCGATATATACTTCTCATTCCCCGTCGACTCCCGCAGGTCCTTGATCAGCGCCTCGCCGCGCGCCGTGTTTACATCCCCTATCACCACCGTCGCGCTTTCACAATCGCTACCTGTCAGAGGATACACCACTACAACACACTGACAGTGCAGGCATACCCGAGCGGTGCGAACCGACGCAGCATACCCTCGCCGATACCGCTGGCGCCGCCGGTAATCACGATGGTGCTGCCCTGGACGGTGCTCTCGTCGTACGGCTTGCTCAGGTCAATGGGCGCCTGCGAGTACAGGACTTCGTCGGGCGTGAGGCCGAAGGGGTGGGTTGACATTTTGTGTGGTATGGTATGGTATGGTATGGTACGGTATGTGTATTAAGGTTGTTAGATTTGTGAGATATGGTATCAGAGATGTTCAAACTGGCAATTAGAGAGAGTTATAGAATTCAGAAGGGCTCAAGTGTCAAGAGATACTGAAGATAAGGGGGAAGAGAGGAGAGAGGTGAGGGATTTTCATTCATGGCTGGCTGGAGGCTGGAGCTTAAGAGTAGAGCTGAGAGGAGCCGGCCGGCCACGGCCATATCTGGGGGGGAAGAAGAAAATCTGCATATGATTTGATTGCATATGATTGTGGGTGTCCCTGGGCCGCTCAATCCCTGGGCCCCTGCATGGGGCATCAATTTTGGCAGCTGACAGTGTAGCTGAGCTTGATGGCTGAGGATGGAGGGAGGTGTGCAGATGGATCAGATTAGATTAGATTAGACAGCTAGATTCAGCGCTAGATTGCGATAAGATAAGAGATAGCAGACCGCTGAGGGCAGCAACGACCGAGTGAGATCTGACGACACAGAAGTTCCATTGTTACTGGAGACAGCAATTGCCCTATCTAACTAACTGCAGAACCCAACACTCAACACCCCCCAATTGCAGCAATGTCGATGGCCTCCAGAGCTGTCCCCAGGGCCCGTCTCCCTCTCCCTCTCCCTCTCCCTCTCCTGCTCCGCCCGCCGACCGCCCGCCCGCTCTCCTTCCTGCAACCGCACACCCGCCGCCCCCGCCTCCCCTACCTCCTCCGCCGCCACGCCCCGCCGCAAACCACGCCCCTCCCCCGCCTCACGCTCCACAACACCGGCAACCACCCGCGCCTCATCTCCGACAAGACGCGCGAATACCTGCTCCGCGAGTCCCTCATCGCCGCCCGCATCGTCGTCGTCGGCTACACCGCAATCTTCGCCACAACCGTCCTCGCCTTCGCCGGCGCCATGCTCTACGTCGAAAGCACGCACCCAACACCGCCCGCGCTGCCCCGCACCGCCCGCCTCGGGATCACCTTCGCCCGCGTGCTCCAGCGCTTCACGAGCCAGACATGGCTCGCCGTCGAGGTCCTCCGCGACACGGTGCAGCGCATGCCGGCCTGGGAGGGCCAGAGCGCGCAGTGGCGGCGCGGGTACATCACGGCCATGAAGCTCCTTGCCGAGCTCCTCGAGGAGGAGGATCAGTATGCCGAGGCGCGCGAGTGGTATCAGCGCATCCTGGACACGCCGCGGGAGAGCGACGATGCGGAGTGGGCGGACCTCAAGGTCGCTGCTGCGCTCCGGGCTAGCAGCATTGCGGCCTTTATGGGTGATCTGGAGGGCGCGGAGAAGGCGCTGAGGAAGGGTGTTGAGTGTACGGTGCCGCCGGGGGACTCGGAGGTGTTTCCGGGGTCGGTGGACGGGTTGAAGGCGCTGACGGAGCTGGGCGTGTTTTATGCGCGCTGTGGGAGGGAGCCAGAGGCGTTGGAGATCTTTACGAGGGTGTTGGCGGCAAGGAGGAGGGTGCCGCCGCCGGCTGACCCGGCTGATTCAAAGGCTGCGGAGGCGGTCAGTGATCCGTGTGCGGAGGCTGTGACGATGGCTTACATTGGGGAGGTCATGTTTTCCATGGGGGACCGCCAGCAGGGAGTTGCGTGGAGTAAAGAAGCGTATGATCGGAGTGAGCCATTGGCGCAGTTGCGAGGAAAGTGCAAGGAGTGTGCGTTGGTTGCAGCAAAGAACATCGCTGCTATGATTGAGCTTATGGAAGAGGGGCAGAAGGAACAGAAGGAGAAAAAGAGCAGGTGGAGCTTGTTTTCGGGGGCCAGTGGAGCGGAAGAGAAGGAGAATTTGGAAGAGTGGGAGAACAGGGCCTTGAGGCTGGAAAGTATTCGGGCCACGAAAGGGGCTTAGACCTGGTAATTGTATAACATGGGAATATCCCCTCGCCGTGAAAATATTTTAATTCTGTGGGAATAATATTCCCGGTGTTCTGGCGTTTCTGCTTCTTCTGGGTCCATATTTTATCTGCTTCTCTTCTTAATAACCCACTTGTAATGAGCCTATCTGTCAACCAAGAGCATAGGTGAATGAACATTTACCAATATGAATTATATTACCGGGGAGATGCCGAGAGCAAAATTCCTCAGTATGATATTCCTATTAAACGTCGAATGACAGTTCATGCGATTCCAAAATGATAGCCAGCCTAACCTCACATCCAATCGAAATCAGATAGTAGACACTTTGCATGTTGATATTGAGAAACCTATATATATCTGGTTCTCTGATAATATAACGAGGATCTGCTCAATTAGCCAGATAATTCGGTCTTAGATACTCCTACTCGAATCCCTCGCATTACTTTTTCACCGACTAAACAGAGCTATGCTATCGATACCTTAGCCTTGCAAGACAGCACCCACAATCCATCCAGTGTAGGAGGTGTTTCTGGAGAAGTAGTAATGATGATGGTTGAATTAGGAGGTTCGGAGGGAACCTCCTTAAGTACTCTACTGGTGTGTCATAGTGACTACACGTCTCCTCTAGCTCTGCCACGACATCCGTAACTACTATTGTACACATTGCTATAGCTATTAACGGCTCCCTACATCCAGTACCATAGTATCGATATTATGTTGCAGTAGCGAGCTCTCTTTCTCTTGACTGGACAAATCCCACCAGATATTCACTTCTATAACGTACATGCACATATTAGTAGCTACATGTAATTTCAATGCTAGAACTTACCAGTTAATTCTCAGCACACGGACTCCAAATCATTTTAAATGGTCTTAACAAACCCCAAGAAATCGGCTCTGTACGAGCTATAGTAACATCCCATAGAATATCGGTCCCGTAGATGTATACGGTCATATTCTAAGCGAAGTTGTTAGCAAAGCAGCAGTTAATTTATGTGTTAATATCCAATGGTCGACTTGAACCCATTAACCCAGGGCCTATAGTGGGCCTATAGTGGAGCCCGTTCTGCATATAGTGGACAGCATAGAATACGATATATGGCCCGGTCGAGTCTACATGCTCGACGGATCCAATTGCTCGAGTACGTAGGTACTTACTAGTAGCCATGATACATGTATTACTACATGTAAGTAGTACCGTGCATGAGTTTCAATACATATTAGATAGAGATACATGCAAGGTGAGAAAGGTGTATATCAATGGAAAGGTGGATGGTTTACTTACGTTGGTATTTACATGTAGTACATGTATTTGACCATGTTTTCTCTCCCCGCAATCCTAGCAGAAGGCGTCTATCATATGTGGTTAAAACTTCTTAAACGTGTTCACCCAAGACTATAGTATATAAAGTTGTTTGATAGTTTTTTATTATTATTTCTTTCTAGACACACAAGCATTACAAAGAACATTCCGCAAATGTGAAAACGGGCCCTATCCGCACGTCACCTTACTCATCTGGAGCCAGGTGTTTTCCTTCACCTGCTCCCTTCTGCCCGCCGCATCCACAACGACCACATCCACATCCACCTCCTCTTCGCTCGGCTCCTCCAACGCCTCAAACTGGCTCTTCACCAGCGTCGCCTCGAAAAAGTGGCCCTTCCTCCCCTTGACCCGCTCCATCACAACCTCGCTCGTCAAGCGCAGATAAACGAACCTCACTTGCACATCATCGCTCACATTCCTCATGACATCGCGGTACTTCTTCTTGAGACACGAGCAGGCAACCACAGCCCCTCCCGGAGTGGCAACCGCAGCATCACGGAGAGCTTTGAGCCAGCCCCACCGGTCATCGTCCGTGAGCGGTATGCCGGCACTCATCTTTTTGATATTCGCTGGGGGGTGAAACTGCACGAGCTGTCAGCACTACGCCAACCATAGAGAGCTAGCTAGGGAACATTACATCGTCGCCTTCGATATAGAGGAGGTTGAGCTTCGCTGAGAGGAAGGAGGCAATGGTGGATTTTCCGCAGCCGCCTGGGCCAATAATATACCATATAGTGCGCATGACTGGTGTTTGAGAATTTGGGGATTCCATGTCGTTGTTATCACTGCTATTAATGCTCGTGATGGTGGGCTCTAGGAGCTGCCGCATAAGTAGGTTCGAGTGACATCGTGTGATTCTATTGCGGGACATGGAATCATTGGGGTTCACGATGATGCATGAGGGCAGATAATGACTCTCTATAAACGAAGAAACAAAGCATATACATTCCTATCTGGATTCTGTGCGGAGCATTAACCCCCACGCATCTTAACCTATAAATTCGCCAATATATAGAACAGAAATTCATCAGCCGCGTCTGGATGTCGCACGGCTTACAACTACCATTGGAGATAGTTCTATAGTCTGCTCTCAAACCATCTCCCAGCCCTGCACTCCACGAGCTCGGCTAATGATAATTCCCGAGTGGTCAGCAAGAAAAAAAAATTAGGTTGGGACATTGGAATATAGGCTACTTTGAGACGATACGGGTACCTACAGACTGTTTGCGCGACGCACAGTCCTTGAAATTCTAAACGAGTGACTGCACGGCACAGTGGGGGAAGTTGGTGCAATACCCCCTACAGCCTCCCCCCCACTCTTGTAAGACTCTAAGTCTTAAAATCCTGACGCTTGTATTAAACTTCTCTGCTGAGGGAGTACATCGGGAGAAATCATCAGGCATCACTCGCATATAGAAACCCGCGCTAAGCCATATCCTTATCCCTGTCTAGTTTATATAACGTTAGTAACCCTGTAGGTGGTCGGCGCTATTGCGGCATCCCAGCACACAAAGTGTTTAAGACTTGCTAGAAACGAAACAACAAGCGCTAATAGCTCAGTTGGGAGAGCGTCAGACTGAAGTTGATCAGTCACAAATCTGAAGGTCACCCGTTCGATCCGGGTTTGGCGCATTGCATTTTTTTCCTACTCTTCCTTCTTGAATCGTCAAAATTACTATTATATGAACTTGCTCATATAGGCATAGCACGGGTGAAAAGTAACAAACCGGTTCGTTTTAGGTCTTAGTCGTCTACCACGCCATCTTAACACGCTACTATTTTCTTCTACCCGTATCCAATTCAGTTCAAAAATTGCTTTTTTTTTCCTTGCTACATAAAACTTTCATGCCCCCGAAACTCAATGCATCGTATGCCACATATTGATCCCTAAATAACCAAACTTACAAGAAGAAGAAGAAAATCAAACCTGCGCCTAAGAAATGAATTGAAAAAAGAATAAAAAAGCAATCAACGCCATAAACTTGAACACCCGGGTCCTGCCCTTACGAAAAGTGCAGACGAAAACTACAAACGAAAACGCGCCCGCCCGTCCGCCCGCCCGAGAAATGAACATGGGGCCATGAAAAAACAAAGCTCCCGAAAAATTACTAAAGCAGTAAAATGCATACAATAAAAGCTAAAAAGAAAAAAAAAATAAAAAATAAAATAAAAGAAATGTCTTAGGAAAAATGCAACGGCAGTTATTACGGAAACAGTTCGCGAGCAACTTTACTCAAGTCTGATAAGGCCAATTCCTCAGTCCTTGATTGCACCCAATCCTCAGTACGCAACAGGGGCCCATTTAGCGAGAATCGTAAAAACCCGTAGTCTTCAGCAAAGTCCGGATCTTTTGCAGCAAGCTCTCTGCAGCCGCTGAACTCGAGGTATTGAAGTGCAATTAAGCTGGCCCAGATGCCGTTGCGGGCCCATTTGCGGATGTCTGGGAGCATGAGGGACTGTTCGTGTTGCTGAAGGGTCGAAAGTGGAATGCCTATTGTCCTGGAGAAGGATTCGTTGAGCTCTAGAAACATACTCGACGAGTTTCGGAGCTGATCATCGAGTTCGTGGACGAGAGTGCGGGGGTCTACTGGTACTAGCTGTCTCTGTTGCAGCTTGAAGGGCGAGGTATTGTGCGGGGAATATTGTGGTGTTGATGGAGGTGTTAGAAGCATTGATTTGGTTGAGGATGAGGTTGCTGAAGCTCGTCGGGGGATGTTGACGACAGCTGCCCGGGTTGGTGATACGGCTTGAGCAGTCTCCTAAATTAGATCTTAGCACTGGAATATGGGACGAAAGATCGGTGAGAAACGTACCACAGAGGAATCATAGAAGGTTCCAACGGTTAAACGAGGTGTATGAGGTCCATCCGAAAGTTCCCCTTCAGAGTAAAAGACTTCGTTTGAGTCTTCAGGATCCGAATCGTCATACCAGGTAAACCGAGAGGACACATAGGAATCCATTGAATCTCGAACTCTTGTCCACTCTGCAACTAACTCCATCGACGGAACGCTCTCTAAGCAGTCGTAGAAGATCTCCTCCCCCTCCACTTCCTCTTCCTTTTCGTTGTCGGCTTCGTCCTCCTCTCCATACACATACGTTCCTTCCACCCCATACACCTCACCTTCCTCCATGTCTTCATCCTCCTGATCACCGTAGTTACTTCCATTATCGCTTTCGGCAAAAAGGAACGACCGCCCCGCAAAGTGATCATCATCATCGTCGTCTTCAGCATCGCACCATGTTATTCCTGTAGTGCAGCTCCGAGATTCGTAGTCCTGGTAACTCGGAGTGTGACACTCCGATACATCTGTCCCATCATTCTGGAAACACTCGCTAAAATCTGTAAACCCTCCCTCCGATTCCGAATCGTGATCTGAAAAATTCTCGGTAAAGAAGGTGAGCTGGAAATCGTCGTTTCCCTGTTACGTGTTCAATATCAGCCGCTGGACCAAACTGAAATTCCCTAAAACATATGTATAGAAGATAGCTATCATAGACACTTACTGGAACAACTGGCTCATTAACTTCGATTGTCGCTGTATTTAATTCGATATCCGTGCTTATCGAGTGTGAATCGGAACGCACATCCAGGATCTGGCCAGGCATGGCCGACTCAACGTTGAAGGAAAATATCGTAGCGTTTTCCACTGGATACATCTCATGAGCTCTTGTCACCATTCCCCCCTTTAGGGACGAAGGAAGAGGAACGGAGAGGTGGACAGCATTTTCTTCGACAACTGTTTCATAAATGTAGCTGGCATACACGTCAGAAGGTGCTTCCGGTTGCTGCTGGCTGCAGCAGATAAATAAAGGAACATGCGGATCGGAAGAACAGAGACAACACCAACCGAATAAATATGACCGCGTCCTTTCCAGCCTCCACACGCCCAACGTTACACTGGAAGAACGAGCCGAAATGTAATATATTCGAGCATTTTCTAGGCTCGAGTCGCTCTTCGGGATCCCCCGATATCAATTTGTCGGTACACCTTTCGATACTACAATCGATGAAAGTTACAGAAGAGTCTTCGGCGAGACGACAGTGGAACACCGCATCTGCAAAGTCGTTCTGGGATGTATTCTGGAACAAGAACCCCAGGGATACAAGGTTTCGAAGTCCATGTATTGACACCTCAACAGAGCAATGGATAAGTGAAGCCGGGCAAGCCGTACCCCTCTCGTCGTAGAGTCCGGTGAAAGGCATATTACTTAGGGCCATTGTATATATTCCTTCTCCCGGAAAAAACAAGCTCAGGCTGATCGGAACTCTCGAGGAAATGCAGGTAAAAAGAGTGAATATCACCGGAAGAAACCCTTTGCTTGCTACGTTTGACTCGACAGCACAGAAGGAAAAAAATAAATGTCCAAGTCACTGCAGTTCCCATCGCAAGGAGTCGGGACAGGTTTCTTATACATTTGCCTCAACCAGGCCGCAAAGAGAGATGATTGCGGCATCAATAGTTCCTACCCACCACTTGGAGCACTGCAAGGGCCATTGAGCGCGAGACGGCGAATCGCACCAAGCAAAGTGGAGATCACAAAGGCTACCCCGCAAGAGTTTTTTCACCGTAAGCTGCAAGACAGATTGGAGGTTGGGTTTTGTGTGTGGACCAGCCAGCTGCTCGACATCAACAACGCCCCCAGACCCCTGTTCTCGATTTGGATTGGTCCCAGCTTAGAACCTGTCGGTGTTCTCGGTAACCATCCCAGAAAAAGCCACACGCCGATCTTTCGGTGCAAGGTTTCTTCAAACGTTCTTACCATGATACGATGCAAGGCAGCAAACCGTGAAACAATAGAGTATATCTACCTACTCTCGTGAGGTATTGATCCCCTTCATATATTTACTTTGCCTTACGGGCCGAAATATCATCCACTGAAGGCATTGTGCAATGTACACATCCTCTAGGCTTCCTTTGTGGTAAATGCCCTATCGAGCGTAAGTTGAAGTTGTGCGCACAAAAAAGAAGACGTGAGCACGGAAATTGCTCGTTCTATGAATACTGTAAACGAAACAAAGTGTTTGAACGTAATTTGTCGGAAGGCAAAGTTGCCTAGGAAACGTGCGTTATTGTCATCGCGCTTAATAGAGTCTTGATGTTGGTGGCTTTTCCAACAGAGACAGACAGGCGCTGGGGCCTCACCTTAAACGTTTAGTTCCTGGAGGCTGGCTGCCAAATGGAGTGTTGAATACTTGAAGGCAACACAGACCAGCCAGATTTGGAGTCTAACTGGTGTGTCTCATAGCCAAAAGTAGCATGGCTACTAAAAGCAATGACCAAGACTTAGCAGCTGCGCAGCCCTACATACCCACGCCGCATCAAAATCAAAGCTTTCAAAAACACTTTCTATCGTTGTCGTCGCGTCAATGCTAGTTGAATGATGTTTCTACTCGGAGTAAGGGCCTGAAGTCACTGAATCCCGTATTCTCTGTACTATGCGGAGATGAACCCTTCCAGACGCCGGTCGAGAACAATAACGTGAGTGGGAGTTCTTTAGGGGTCACGATCCATCTTTGTGAAATCTAGCCATCCCGGGGAAGATCATCGGTGGCTAGAACTATAGGCAGCAATAAGATAGCAAATATTAATGAGGTGCTCAAAAATAGGTGCTCATGCAAGGAATCATTACTCGTGCATGCAACTCATCTGGTTACCATCGATCCTGCATCTGTTCTATCGTTCTTTCAATCACTTAGGAATGGGAAATGATCAACGAGAAGAAGTCATAATAGTTATGGTGGAGGGCACTCCGCGCTCCTGGGTTGGCGGCTTAAAGTGGAAAATTGTATCCGAAGGCCTCAAAGTAGTTATAAAAGCACATATTGCATTCTAGAATCTTTGCTTGGCCCAGCCATCTTTTCCCCCTTGAAGGTCGCCTCTTGATGGAATAGCTTGGGCTCCCAGCTTACGCTGTAAAAATTTCTTCATTCCCAAGCTCTCTTGCCCTGTGGCAGGGGGAAATTCTGGGCCTTAAGGCTTAAAGACCCTGAACCGATTTCCAGAAATTTAAAATGATTTTTTTTTTAAAAAAAAAACCTAAAACTGGATCATGTTTCTTTACAAGATTGTTACAGGTATCTTTGACATGGAGAAAAAATGATTGGATATACGAGATCATTCATCCCAAGTACCAGCTTTACCCATGGCTTCCCGTTTTTCCATCTGCTCAATCCATTCATCCCTGTCCGGAGCGTCACCAACGATGATAGGGACATCTGGATTGCAGTTGTCAGGATCTATGTGGGCGTCTCTCAGATAGTCGATAATCAGGTCGTGGCATTCAGGGACGATCGCTTGAGCATGCATTGTGCCTAATAAGAATGGGTGAGTATAGGTATCTCTTCCAAGATTGAATGAGGTTTAACAACATACCTGTCGAGAAAGTAGCACAACCAAATCGAGGGTCAAGAAGGAACTCCCCTTTGAGATCACTATGGACTACGTAGTTACGAACTCGCTATTTTTCTGTCAGGGCTTATAAGTAGTCGAATAGAATCATAACATACGAGCATGAAGAATTTGCGAAGTTCCTCGCACGTGATACCTCCAATGGCATGCGAGGATTCAGAAAACGCCATGGCGAACATCCGGTCACTCCATTCGTCCCCTATTGAAACAATTAGCACTGTGTCCCGCTTCATTTGAGGGCAATACCCACAATTTTCATTCAAGAAATTGGTGATGGCATAAGCAGTAAATCCACAGGCGATGACATCAATCTCAACATCCTTGGGGACCCTGTCCTTCAAGATTCTGTTGAAGACATACTCTACATGCTCCTCTGGGGTTTCGTTGCACGGGATGGTGTTCTTGATACGGTCCAGGGTTGCCGTTTTTTTATCTTTAGCCTTCCAGGAGAGATGATTCATAGCTCTTCTAGTTTCGGGATCCCAAACCGTCTCCGCCGGGCTTAGGATGACAATAGCATACCCATTCTTGAATGCAAAATCAACAGTATTTATCATAGAGCCAACCTACTCGCTATCGTCAGTGCTGAGAAAGAGAAATAGGATTGTAGTATGTTTTACGTTAATTGAACCCTGCTGTATTTGACGCATTCCCCAAATACCTAAATTGCTTCCATAAGAATCAGGTGTAAGGATCAATAGCCTTTTGCATGTGTCCAGGTTATCGGAAACAAGAATATCAAGGTGGGGTTCTTCGGGGGCTGCCCCGAGTGGAAGTGCTAGTCTTTTCATCCCGCGTTGTTCAAGACGGTCCATAACAATCTTGCGGATGCATTCTGTTTTACGGTCAGTAAATGTGTTTGAAATTGAAAACTGGAGAGAGCAACACACCATCAACAGCTTCACGACGCCGCTCGTTCATTCGCTCCCTCTCTCTTGGAGGGGCCGTTTGCTTCCTGTGGTAAACATATCCATTTGATTTACCGTGGAAATAATATTCGAATCCTTCGTCAGGCTTGTCAATTTGGCGCAATTGATCATTCTCGTTGATGAAGAGTCTTTAGAGTCAAGAACATCTGTCAGTATGATGATGCAATTGTACATTCAAATCAGAGCCGCATAACCGATTGACGTCAGGGAAAACTTACCCTAACTTCTCAAGATCAGCGGGGAATTCCACCTCCTTAACCTTCACGGGTTTGGCTTTTCGTCGGTACATTTTGGGATTAAAGAGCTTTGGCTGTAGAGAATGAAGAAGGAGCTGGAGATTAGCGTTGGGTTTGAGAAGCTGGGCTCTCTTTATTTTGCGCGTCAAAATGGCCGCCTAAATTCGCCTAAGGCCGCCCACAAACACCCCGCGCTAACGAGCTACCTTGTTCCCCACGTTTTTGGCATGTCGCGTGTCATCGATGCCTTAATCTCGTCAACCTCAATCGTCTTTGTTTCTGCAGATTACGGCAAACTGTGATGCAAGTTGACGTGGGCTCCCCTGTTCCTGCGCCCTATCAGCCATCTTCTACAGCGCATTTGCTCACTCCAACGATTGCTGTGCCAATCTGTGAAAACCCCTTAATATTAGGTTTTTCTATAGAATCTACCTTACAGATTTTTAGATCCACGCTATGAAAAATCTTAGACAAGAAGAATATTGACAACAAGAATATATAACCGTCATGAACGTATCGAAAAAGAACGCCGTATTGCACCCCAAAATGAATAACAGCCCCGGTGCTCGTGCAAAGTCAATAAAAATAGAAACGACAAATTATGCACCCACGAAAGCGAAAAGCAAAAATCCTTTTTTAACCCAATGCACTATGATGACTTTTCTCGGTGGGATCCCAGGTTAAACGGAAACGGCAGATGCGGACTGTTGTGTCTCGACGTTTCGCAGGGCTTCTACAAGAGCTTCCTCCTTGTTTTTCAACTCTTTTGCTCTCAGGAATTCGGCATATTTCGATCGCTTGTTGTGAATACCGCACTCAGTCTTGTTGGTACCTTTCCAGCGTCCAGCACGCTCATCCTCACCTTCCTTGATTGGGCTATATAGAGGTTAGTTGAAGGTACAGAAAAGTTTAAGCCGTTAAACTAACCTAGTGCTGTGCCAGTCACCAACGCTCTTGTAACCCTGGTCCAACAGAGAGTTGTATGGAACGTTGTGTTCATCAACGTATGCTTTGACCTGTTGAAAGGACCAGTTTGCCATTGGGTTCACCTTCACCAAACCAGCATCATCCACCTCGATGATATCAAGATCACCTCTCTTTCCACCCTGACTCCTCCTACGTCCTGTGAGGACAGCCTTTACACGAAGCTCAGAATAGGCACGTTGTGCAGGTTCAACCTTAGCGAGGTAGTCGTACAGGTTATCGTTGGTTTCCCATAGTTTCTCGCCGTTGATTTTCTCAAACTCTGCAGCAGTCTCGCAGCCTAAAGGCTTGTACACATGCAAGTTGGTAGATGGATATTGCGTCTTGACACGGTCGACAAGTTCGAGGGTTTCTTTAAAGTGATAGAAAGTATCGAGAAAGATAAGGTCGATTTGACGTTTGGTACCAGCGTTAATCTTGGATAGCATATCCAGGGTTACCAACCCGGTGAGGCCAAATGCAGTTGTTTGGTGCAGGCCAGGAAGAGAAATCAGGCACCAGCGGAGAATTTCTTCAGAGAAAGAGAAGGCCATTAGTATGAGAAATGGATGAGATATAAATAAAGAGCGTTATGGTAAAGGATTTAATCTTACCTTGTGGCTCGAGATTTGCCAATTGTTCATTCAAGTACTTTAGATGAGGTCTCGAGAAGTAGATTTCGGGCAATCCACCAGTGCTTGACCCTGGTGAAGCATAACCAGATTCTCCATCTTGAGAAAAGGACCTTTCCGGGCGCTCGGAAACATACTCTGAAGCCTGGGTCATAGTCATGATGTAATTTTTTAGGTATTCTTTTTAAAAGAAAAAAAAAAATCTGGGGTAATAATTATTTTAATTGTTCGGAGAAAAGACGGATGATTATGGTAACGGATGAAGACTTTGGGGGGGGATTAGGTATCTAATAGAAAAAATCGCCATCATCATCTCTCACCTGTATTGTGCCTTAGAAATCGAGTGACAGGGACGATGGTTGAATTTCCTGTACGGATTGCGTGCTCGATATTGCTGGGGCATAGAAAGAAAATTGGCGAGCTAAGCCTATTTCGTCGCTCAATGCTGGTTGAAAGGGAAGGTCCGATCCACAAGCAACCAAATTGAGACTTATGTGACGCAACATTACAACAGTTACATCCATGGTACTGGAGAAATACCAAAAACTTCAATGATTTTTGAAAAGACGTATAAAGACCGCTAAACCCGGTGAATTCACGAATCTTCTGTAAGCTCAGGTTGAAGATGTGCGATCAGAGAATTTTAACTAAGATAAGAAGTAAAGGACCTAATCTGAATAGCGGGGTTAACTAGGTTTTTCTTTTAATTTTCTTTATTCCGATCCGGGTTACTAGCCGTTTGTTTTTTATTTTGATGAACCCCCAGATATTAGTAAGATTCTCCTTTACGGACTGCCCCCACATTTCAATCAAGCCTCAGTTCCGTTCCGACCAAATAGCGCTTTGCAATCTGTCTCAATTGCTCGGCTTCCTTCTCCCCGATGTTTTTCTTTCCGATCACGGCATCTTTGGCCGAGCTCAACACCTCCAAGTCTGTCTCCGCTATCTGCTCTCTCTTGCCCAAGTCCTTCAAAAGTTTTGGAACGTATTTCCTGTCATAAAAAGCGATTCATACCACCAATAATGTTAGCCGTCCACCCAGTAAATTGGAAGTGACCTCATATTTATCCATCATTGCGCGAGTACCGGTAGGCTCAGCCGTGGATATTGAGAAAATGACGAGGGATCTTAACGTACCCTGTAGCTTTCAAGATTCCCGATGCCTTTGAAGAATGAAGTATGATAATTGCCAAAAGAAGCATCAGAGATGGGTCCCTGGTACCTTCAAGCTGCAGTTGCATCTCATCTAATATACTCCGCTTTCTTTTCCCCAGCTCATCCTCAGATGGAAGCTCGAAAGCTAGATCCTGTTGTATTAGTTTTATCAGGCCATTTTCGATTTCTTTGAGTGCAAGCTGCGGTTTCGCTGATTCAGCTCTGATTACTAGCCTCAACTGTTGTAAGTCTAACGGTTTGTCGCCGTGAATAAGAGCAGATTCAAGCTTATCTAAACTGCTAGAGATCATTCCTTTGGCATATTCCAATAAATCGCTAGCCAGCTTGGTCTTTAATGAAGCGTCTACCAGCGCTTCTAGTCCAAGGTGGTGAAGGTGAAACCGTGTATAGCACTTCTCGACGAAAACCCCTTCCGCAATTCGGATCTCAGAGTCCTTAAGTTCCCGGAGGCGCACAGAAAATGCCAACGATACTTGGGGATGAAGTGCATTTACGAAATATGATAATAAGGGCATCGGGAGAGACTCGTTTTTGGCGGCAAGATGTTTAAAAAGCTGATGCGTCACATTTCGTCAGTAGGTTGTTTGGCGGATATCAACATATCAGTGAAACAAATTGTGCTTTATCATACCTCTTGCGACCTGAACGATACATCCTTGTCCTTAGATCTCTTCTTCCATGCCACTTCAGCTTGTTGCACAGCAAATTCACGACAGGTCTCAGCCAAGATAGGTTCAAGGTCTTTTGACACAATTCTTTCGGTGATTTCTCTGAGTTCCGGAAGGTCTTTCACAATCACCTGACGTAGAAGCTTTTCGTCTGCTGCATTCAATCGAAGATCGAGATCCTTTCATTCAAATGGAGAAAATCCGTCACTGAGTATAAAACTGTCTTTTCTGGGGCGTATAGGCAATTGAGTGGAACTCACCTTCAGATCACTCCACATCTGCCGTTCGATATGTTCAAGAACTGATCCTTCAACACTGGCGATGAAGTCGGCAGTTACAAAGTGAGCCCCAAGTAAGCGTGCACTCGGGACTTTGTCGCGGATAAACTCCTCAGGGGTTTCGATCCCTCCTTTTCTCAGAGTTTCCGTAGCTGCCACATAGCAAGTTAGCAATATGAAAACGTGCAAAATATCCATAAGGTTGAAGGTACCAATAAATCCATCTCTACGTAGGTCATCCGCGATGGAATTCTGACGTTGAACCACATATGCTTCTGGCACATAGTAACCACCCTCTATCATTCCTTTCAGACCTCGTGACTTGATAAGTGTTGATACTACTGTCTTCAGAAATATTGATGGTAGGTTGCTATCCGCTACAATTGCAGGCATATCGACAGCCCTAACCCAAAATCAGCCCAGTTCAGCTCAGAAAAACCCAATTAGGACCTTGAAGTGGCAGTACTTTGTGGGGCATGCCACATAAAGCCAACACAGCAAACAGACCTCTTCTCATCTATAAGCGATTTTTGGATATCCCGCTCCTTGGCTTTGTAAAATGCCGTACCCACGACCCAGGTTCTATCGTGTCCCAACCACTGCCATGTGCCTTCTCCGGCCACGGGAGGAAGAAGCTTACGAAACAAGTCTGCGTCAATCTCATTTCGACGGCAAAATTCTGCAACTTGCACAACTCCATTAAGAAGTTCCCTCGAAAGGTCTCCACTTAGCCGTTTGAATTCGCCCCTGCACATATCCGTGAGTTTCCCTCAACTCAGAACACATTATTTGTTAAGATGAGCAGATGGAATGGAAACCCAAATATGCTTACGTTGTTACAATTGTTGAGGCACCTATTCTGCCCCATCCTTCACGATGATACGGTAATAGCCTTTCAATTGTTCTAGGTTCTAGCGACAATTCTGAAGCAAGCTGAACAATTGAAGTACGAGGCCGTTCTATTACAGCCCGATGGGCGGCGGGGAAGTCAGTGGACGAAGGAAACCAGCAGAATACGAGCTATATACGTATCTGTATGATTTCGCAGGATTACATCGCTCCGATCCAAGAACAGGCAAGAAATCAAGTTGCGGACTAGTACCTACCATTGCTTATATCACGGATTACCCGAGTCTCAATCTCTTCTTTGGCTGAGCGCTCCAAAATAATTCCCGTACCAGATAGTAACTCAAGGTATGGAGGAGGCAAAGGAATCTCCGGAGTGGCTAAAGGCGAAGATGATTGTGAGCTGTATCCTCGGAACAGTGCTTTGATGTCCTTGTCGGCGATCATTTAGACGGCGGAAAAGTCGTCTGCCGGGATAACTGGATACTGTGTACTTTGGTGACGCTTTTTAGAACAAGGCTTTTTAGCTGGTGACGAGGGGAGTTCGTTGTTTGCTTTCGCGATCCAGTGTTTTGACTACTCAGTGGTGATCGGTTTACTTTGATTGATCCTGAGCTTCTCTTCGTGTAAAGTAGGTAGTAACACAAGCTTTGCCAAGTCTCATGAGCCTCATTATTCAAGGATCGTCCATTCGTCTAGCCAGAAGAGGTCATGCTCAACAGAGGGGCTCTTTGCAGTTGACATTCCCCGCAACGTTGATGAAGTTGTTCCAGCCAATGATTCCCCTGTACCAAGATCTTTTATGGCTTCAATTTATGGTGCTCGCTTGTTGCACTTGTGGCTCTTCTGTTGCTGCCCGCCAAGCCGTGAAATCGGCGAACAGCCTAATGGATTTAATGGATACATGTACCCAGAACAGGAAAGGAGTAAATAAAAAAAGCCTTCCACCAGACCAAGAGTAGGGGGACACGGATATGATCTGTTGCCTACCTACATATCACGATCAACAGCTGCTTGGAGGTAATTACGCCTACGGCAGCACGGCAGCAGCAGTTCATCCTTCAATCTACCGTATTGCTCACCTCCGCGTTAGTTTCATCTTTGTTTCCTCCAATTGCACCCACCGCAAGAATCGGATTCTGAAGATCAGTCCGATTGGTTAATTACAAAGACGGGTTGAGTGTTCGTCACCTTCTGCTGGTTTCCCAATACCTTCCACAGGAAAGCAAGGAGATCAGAGAAAACAAAGGAAAGGACCACTGAATTGATACAGAAGCAGAGCAGAGCAGTCTTCCGGATCAGCGAGGGGAGACGGCATATTCCGTCTTGCGTCCGCCCCCCACTCTTTTCGATCACTGCCATTCATTTCGCCAACCCCCCGTCTTCACCATATTTCTAGTCCCCAAACAACAGCCTTATAGTAGACTGTTCTTGCCTGTCACTTCTCCAAATTACGACTACTCACAAAAAAAACCAAAAAAAAACCCTAAACCAAACCGATATCATATCACTATTTCTCTTCAATCAATATATCAAGACAGAATCGAGGTTTTCAGATTTATCAGCCACGATGCAATCCGAAGGAGCACACACTCCCCCGCAAATTCCCAGCGGTGCTTGTAATGTAGTTACAATGGAAGCCAGCCAGAAGGGCCTGCAGGGCGATGTACAAAATTCTAAGGGAGCCAACGAGGACCCCGTCGAAGTATTCCAGAAAACCGTTATACCTGTGCCTGTGCACGTCATGTCTCATGCCAACTGCAGCCCTGCAAGCTCCTCTCGCGGCGTCATCGCGACACTATTTCGCAAAAAGTTAATTAGCCCGGACTCGGAATCTTCCGAAGATTCCACTTATGGTGCTCGTATCTCTGATATGGCAGTATTCGAATTCATGGCTCTAATTGATGCTATGAGAGTTCCGTGGAGTAAAGAATCTTCAAATCATAAGTGTCTCCATACAACAACGGCATCTGATAATACGCCGGCCCCTATGGTTATGGAAATAGCCTTCTGTATGCCAGAGATTCTGAGGCTTGATGAGCTTCGTCGACACACAGACTTCTGGCAGTTCGAGAAGAAGTGGAACATCGAAATAGCTTTTCAAGAGAACGATGTTTTCAGACGGCACAAACGTCTAGCCGTTTTCGATATGGACTCGACCTTGATTCAGCAGGAGGTTATTGATGAAATTGCGAGGTTTGTGGGAGTGGAAGATAAAGTCTCCGTAAGTCCTTTTCTTGAAATATTTAAATCTAAGAGATGGTCCTTGGATGGAGAAATCGACTGATCCATTATGACATGTCGTATAGGCGATCACTGCACGTGCCATGAATGGCGAGATTGACTTTACCGAATCGTTGAGGCAAAGAGTTGCTCTACTTGAAGGTGTTCCTTCAGATGTATTTGAGAAGCTCAAATCAGTCATTACGTTCACGCCCGGTGCAAGAGAGCTCACAAGAGCTCTCAAAACACTAGGGTTCAAATTGGCCGTATTGAGCGGAGGATTTATACCCCTTGCGAATTACGTCAAGGAAGAACTTGGTCTAGACTATGCGCATGCCAATACGGTATTCTTCCTTTATTTCCCTTCATGTTTCAAAATGAACCCAGGAGGTTTCTCATTGCTTTCTGGGAATACAGCTCGTCATTAGTGAAGATGGCACGCAACTCACTGGTGAACTCACCGGTGACATTGTGCATGCTGAGCGCAAAGCTGAGCTCCTCGAAAAAATCGCGAACGAGAACGGAATCGCTCTCAGACAGGTCTTACCCCATCCCTATCAACGAGTTTTCTCGTTATACTTACACTATATTCTAGGTTGTTGCCATCGGTGACGGAGCTAATGACCTCCCAATGATGTTTAAAGCTGGACTCGGTATTGCATTCGATGCGAAGCCGGCTGTTCAACTTAGGGCTCCGTGCAGGATTAATTCCGGGAACCTTCAAGATGTGCTTTATATTTTAGGGTTCACGAAGGAAGAGCAAGATCAAATCCTGGGAGCTTAGTCTTTCTATTACCCGTACCAAAGAGATAGATTTAGATGGATCTCGTTTATATCACGGCTTCCCTTTACGTTTCCCTTTCTAGAGCTTTTTTCCAAGGGACTACTATCAACGTTAGAAGAAACCTTTAACATCTCTTTATCTCTTCCTTTATCCTTATCTATTGTCTCAATGCTTTTACATGTTTTGAGAAAATTGCACTTGCTTGTTTATGGTTATGGCGTGGGATACAAAATGGTACCTGGGGTACGTCGATCTGGATATCTTTCTTTCTTTTAAGTATTTGGCATGAAATCTTTTCTACACTAAGAACGAAATAGACTCTTAGATTATGCCATTCAGTTTAACTACTTGCCAATTACTTGCATAAGACATAACAAAGATTCTAGAAAAATACTCTAGAATTCGAGTTCCGTAACACCTTGTTATCTCAGGGCCAGATTATGCTGGATCTTAAATCAGATATCAGCACTGTTAATAGTAATACAAATGACGCTGTACTTCGCTTTTCGTGGACATACATGTACTTATGTAGTACGTACTTGATGCGCGTAGCGGGCTGTAAAACTAGCATAACCCGATGAGCATTACCAGACTCAATCTCCCACTCGAAGTTCACAACTTAAAGCACAATAATTTGGCTTATAATATTTTCAACATAATCGATCATATACATGTACAGTTTCCGGTAAAATTATTGCGAAAGTGGGTTCTCCGTGACCCGATAGTCCTATTGGCCCTTAAAAGGTTTTTTGCTACGAGGACAGACCAACAAATCCACTCTTTTAGCTCTGACTTTCGCAGTAATTCTACCGGAAACTGTATATATATATGTATATATCATTCTACTATTCTTGGTACTGCTCTGATCAAGTTGAGATCGGGCTCGCGTTAGTCTACTTTGAATGCACAAGTAATACCTACAATTCGAAATTAATCCTACCATTCCCATGGTCAATTGTCAGAAATGGACCCCTAGGTAGTAAATATGCACATAACTTTGCGCCACCTATGAAATAGTTGGTGTACCTCTATCAATTCAGCTATAGGCTATAGCTACTAAGTGTTATAATTATAACTAGTTGATCAGCATGAGGCGGATCGTTGGTTTTCCCGACGGTGCCCGAGAGCTTCTATGAGAAATGACCTAAAAGTCGATTCGAATGTCTCTTCTTTTTACTTTAAGTTTCCTCAATCATATCATGCATGAAGGGCAGCTTAGGACTGAAGTACATATAGTTTTAAGCTGACAATTGCAAATATTCCACTAGCTACATATTGTAGCTATGCAATACCGACAAAACCATTGACAGCTACTAATCTTTGAGAAGATCATATTAATTATCTCAATGAGATCCATAGATATATCTTGAATATTAGACGATAGTAGATGCGCGGTCTTGTACGATCCTAAGCGGGTGATAGCATATATACATACATGTAGCTCTAGGCGCTTTAGCTAGATCTGTACGTGAAACTTCTTCCACCTAACAAAAGTCCCCCAATTAAAGCGAGTATCTACTTTCGTATATAGTACTGATTTAGCACCAAAATAAATCACGTGCAGTACCATTAATAATATGCAGAGGGCGTATATAATATTACAATCGTACTAGTTAATTAGAATAATAACGATTGCATGTATGTACATGTACATTTATGGGGCGGTAAATGTGTCAAAAGTAATTTTACCAACGGTAGTAAATTATTTTACCACCGGTGGTGAAAATAATACCAGTATTTATACCCTATAATGCTATTTTTATGATAAAAGCACAGACCTTTTGGCCAAAAGGGGCCATATAATGCCAATATATATGAAAATTGTCCACCGGTGGGGAATCTCACCATCGGTGGCGGTATTTCACCACTGGTGGGGAATTTTCATAAGTTTTGGCATTAATGATTGAACATTTACTTATTTAGTATAGCGCAGCATAAAGACCGAAACTCAGTGTTTATACCGGTGGAAATGTACTAATGTAGGATAGCGTGCAGATACAATGTACTCACGTTTTATAATTATCGAGATATCGGTTATTTGTTTTTATAGCGATCGCGATCGATATGATTAATATGGTATTTAAGCCATGTACATATTTTCGTAACAGTCTCGTGATTCAATTAGCTCCCTGCTGTATGTGTGTACTGAGCATATATGAATCAATATCATTGAGTTACAACATATTGAATACATGTAGGTTGACATAGGCCTCGTGGATATATTCATTATCTTTTATATAGCGTACCACTTACCAGCTTCCCGACGACGCGCATATTTGGCGTCTTTCTCGTTCATACGGAACGCGTGCGAATGGTAAACTCGAAAGATTTTGATGATCATTGCCGATTAAACTTGCTCAAAAGCGCTGGATCATAGGTTTGCATCACTCAATATTTACACACGGGATAACGATCCAAGCTATTAGGCCACCTTAGGCGAACGCTAATCTGAAGCCTGCGATTAGCTAGGTTTTATTAAATCACGAGGTATCTGAGATATTGGTAGGAGAATCATATATAACTGTTCACATAACAACCAAGGCTCAATTGGTGTGTGGTCGAAAAATGGCACGAATCGTATACATTTTCATAGATCGATAGAGGTACTCTAGATCAATCTGGCAATTTCGTTATTTAGAACCCATTCACCAATTTAGGGCTGGTTTTCAATTCCACTGGAATGTGCATGTGGGCACCTTTAGTCCAACTATTGATATAACAGCCCTATGATTGAGAGTGTCTTCTATTAGCATTGTTCTAGAATATTTTACAATCTTTCTTTGGTCAGTTATTCAAGGCTATTATAACATCACTTTTGCGTTTATATACTTGGGCCAAAGATTGATCAGCTCCTATCTCAGTTATTCGAATTATCCAAAACAAACCACAGAAATCTAACACAGAGCCAATATATCGATCAGGGATACGTCATTTGATACGTATACATGTCAACCTGGATTGACAAATTGTAGAATACCGGGGCGATATGTAGTACAGAAAACCCCATTTTAGTGCAACTGCATGTTAATGAGACCGAGTAACGTTTCAGCACGGGTGCTTTGCAGCTATCTCATGACTCCATACACAGTTTACTTGGACAATGTCCTTTGGATTGGCAACAGCCATTGGCATGTGGAACAGCTGTACAGATAGGGTTGACAGCATCTTGTGCCTGAAGGGGTCAATCATGCCGACCCCTCTTTTCTGCAGCCTTCTGATCAGCAGGGAATAACCACCATTTCCGATACGCTCACTTTAAGCTAGTGAGAGCTTTTTGTAGCGGTGCAAGATTTATGAGCTTTCTGAAAACGACACCCGGCTGGTCAAAGGCTTCAGGGGTGGGGGTAAGGAGGTTTCGGGAATGGCCAATTACAAACAAATAACTGGTAAGTAGACTTAGGATTATGCATATGGTATTCTACTTTGAGTATACGAAAAGTACCGCATGATTTTGATCCACTAGTGCATACTAATACTAAGGATTTTCCCTAGCTTTATCTACTATAAGTAGAGCAGACAATAAACGCCACTCGTATATAAACATCACGAAACGAAACAAGGCTACGAGAGTAGATTACCGCTATACATGGAACTCCAGACGTTGAGATTTTTCTGTATTTATTTTTCATTCTCACGAATGTCTCGTATTAATTATTAACAATAATCTCTTAGTCTTGTATTTTTAGACAATAGGCCTAGTTAGCCAAGACCAGATACGGCCGAGTGAGAATTCATGACTGATGTCATTTCTAATATGTATTATCTTTACTCTCTGATGTACACTCATTCAATCTGATTGGTCGAGAGAGACAGGGGCAGCTTAGTAAGCACGACACATCAAAATTCTGAGCACGATTGAACGGGGCCGAAGGTCCCCCATAACTGTGAATTGGAGAGAGTAGGAGGTAGAAGTGGGAGGGGGAGGGGCCGAAGGCCCCCATTGAAGACCTTTCACAATTATTGAACACTTGATACCCATAATCCAAAGTACAACTCGCGGTCGCGAGGTGGGCCACTACTAGTGTTATGTAACACAAAAGTACCTACATGTACCCATTGAATGCATGAGTGAATTGTTCTCGTGCTTTTACATGAACCCTAACCCACACATACTAGAATGACCTGCACTCAGTCCGGCATCAGTCGTTATTTCTTTGTCAATTAACTTAATTTAACTACAGACACAGGTGCAAAAGTGCAATTCGATATTGCTTTTAATTACAAAGTGCTCTTTGTTCTTGGAAGTTCGCCAAGATTCTATTTAAGGTAAAATAAGCTCTTGATGATGCAACATTGTTACACAGATGTAGAAGCTGAAATGCTGCTCCAGGCCAGTCTATATCTATCAAACCCCGCGTCTATATAGTACTAAGAAAGGATTCAGTCAAATAACTTTTTCCTGGTCAGGAGCCCAAAGGATCAGTGCGATTACTGGTACATTCTGAGTCTCTAGACTTACTACATATGTCGAGACTTCTAGCGCCGGTTTTTAATTGCCTTATCCTGCCCATCCCGAGATCTTGTCTTGTCTCTCCCTAAGCCTCAAAATCTAGGCTTGGTCTCGAGATAACTTGTTTCGTATGCGTACTCGTCACCAGCCGTGCGCCAACTAACATACATCATGAATACCATATTTTCCAGAATCCAGTTCTTAATGTCATAGAGACGATATATCAGTAAATAAGAGGCCGCGGACGGAGGCGATTGGTAGAGAATATATATCACCGAGGCATATCATTGTATCACAAGGTTGTAGAACAATGTATTCTGTATTAACTTTCGAAATCAGGCCGAGTGCTCATGGTTTCGATTTGCAATATTTACGTGGACCTTAACACTAAAAAAACTTTTTTTAGCTCTGCCCTACCTCGCAAATAGTTTCCTGAGTAAAGATGTAGATCATCTAGAGAATACCTTGCGTAATTGCGGCCGCAAAGTTAACGGGGGATTTTGATCTGGCAGGCCATTGTCCTATATGCATTAAAATATTACCAAGCTTCCATGTAGTTGAGCCGTTGCTGTGATACCGCATCAGAACGCTAAATGGGTTGTCCGAACCGTTTTTTATATTACAGAATCTCTCGATAGACCTAGCCACTCGGACAGTTAACGTAGAAAAGAGAAGATCAACGTTATAACCAGCTTCTGTACCTCTTCTCCAACAATCCTCATTGACTATCCGAGTGAGTGGGTGTTCGAGTGGCTAGAGAAGTCTTCTAATTCAATACCCTATATTTGAGCAGCCGTGGTTTATCTTACAGGCGCACTTTAGAGTGATAACCTATGAATACAGCATTATGCCTTCATGAATTATCACTCGGTCTTACGACCTGCGAACGCTTCCCCTAAAGCTTTTATTTTAGTCTAGGTTGTCCATCGCTTCAAGAGTAATGATTCAGTTTGACCAGACACGGTTGAACTAGTAGTTTGCGTAGAAAGTTGTGATTATTATCCTATCACCACCAGTTTCGCCCCTACTGTACAACGCTTGCAAATATTGGAGATACAAATTTACTCATTTATCATGCAGCGAAAAGAAAAAAAAGAAAAAAACAGGTTTTTGAAAACAAAGGATATGTTTACAATAAATTTGAGAAAAACCGTTCGAATTTGAGAAATAATACTACGCGCCGCCACACAAATAACTTATACCTCAATAGGTTTCTCGACTTGATCAACCAACATTGTCTCAATTTTCTCTTGTCCTACTTGACTAGAAAAATCCTACTTTTAGCCTTCTAGCTTAAATGACGGGTTAATAATAGGAGTAAGAGTAAGGACCTACGTAATCTCTGTGTTCACACCCTCACTTGCTGGACTAGCCGCACTCTCGCTCACAACCTCACGCGACTCAGTGTCTACATCGACACCTCTTGGCCTAACCTCGTCCTGCGCATCTTTCTCGGCTCCCTTCAATACAGTCTCAGGATTTGAACCGTCAACCAACGGCCCTGCAACACCCTGATCCGCTACAGGAACGGCGGATTCCTCTGAAATCTCGTTGCCAAATTCGTCGAGAAGACGAATGCGTGTTTCATAGCGAGTATGAAACTCAACTTTGCCTTCAAGCGCCTTCACTTGTTCTTCGTCTAGGAGATTTCCATCTTGATCACGGTACTCGATCCTTTCTTCCGAGGAGACTACTTCGCCCGCATCAGCAGCTTGAATTGAGTCCTTTTTAACAACAACAGGTTCTTCAGCGGGTTTGTTGGTGACGGCTTCCTCGGGAGCTGAAGAAGATGAAGAGGCCTGTAGAGGTGGGTTCGAACTCTTTATGGCTGACTCATTGGGCGACATGATAACATTATATTCCTCATACTGCAATTGTTAGCTCTGACAGCCCAGAATATGGAGGGGAAGAGGGCACATGCAGTGTTGTGAAAGGTGTTACAGTCCCAATCCCATGAATTGAATAGTTTTACCCTTCTACATTCGCTCTTGGTCCAGGTATTTCCATATGCCAGTGGGGCGTACAAGCCGAAAGCGACAATGCTGAAAGCCAAGAATACCACAGCAAGAGTCCACCCGGCAATCGGCTTCTCTCTTAACTTCAATGTGGCAATCCTTGCAGTGATAAAATCAAACACCTGGCACAATGCGATGATAGCAAAGTACAAAGCCGGGAAGTAATGGTGTAGGAAAAGTTGTCTCTGCATGAGGTAAAAAGGGAAATAGTGGAAGGCCCATCCTAAAACAGCGACGCCAATCTCAAAATCGAAACGGCGGAAGTTATTGACAGAATAGTCGTTGTAGCCCCTCTGCCACCTAAGCACTGCGAAGGCTTTAAACATCGCGTAGATAACAATTGCAGCAGTCGATGACCACCAAATGACTGGGTTACCGATGAGGTAGACTTGTCGATGTTCCTTACCCCAAAAGTTGATTCCACGCTTCAATATCGGCCAGCTTGAAGGCCGGGAATCCCAAGCATGAGATTCTACAAGTCCAGCATTGGTACGCCACATAACTTTGTTGAGTTCCCAGAATTTACCAAAGAAGCCAGGATTACGGTAATTGACACGCTCAGCATCCTCGCCCAATTGCGGATGTTCATTTTGCTCAACATACCATACGCTGTTTGGGAGAGTTGCACCCTTCGCGCAAGTGACCTCTTGCTGCTCGTAACCCCAATCTGGGAGTTTGACTTTGTGAGAGAAGAGAACACACCCAGTCAGGGTATGAACGAGCTTGAACTTGGTCTGAATAGTGCGGAGTCTTCTTTTCGCCTCAGACCCTTCAGAGAGGTGCTTGATAATCTCAACACGGAAGACATCATTTGCATCACCTTCAAATCCTTTGTATCCATAGGCTGAAACCTCGTTTTGCCATTCCGCTTCGGTAACTGGAGGCCTGACGTCGTGCGAATGCAAGCGCCGATCAGTAGGTGCATGATACAACCTAATCAGGGCACCATCCTCGATCCAAACTGGCGGAGAAATCGCATCAAATCCAGAGATTCCTTCACCTCCAACAGGGTTTGTCTGGTTCTCAACGGTCCAAATGTTATTCTCATCCTTGTGTGGATATAATGTAATCTGCTGTTGCTTGGAGCCAGTCGGGTACATGTGGTTGTGCGAGTGAAGATAACCACCTTGGGTGTTATGGTGCCTGATAGAGACACGTGAACCAAAGGCAACGTCGGCAGGGACGCTGTGCATACCCTTGGAATTGAGGGTAGCCTGGAATTCCGAAGACATGAAACCGTCACCTTCACCAGGATTACGGAGGAGCATAAAGTGGATAACGAACATGGACATGTAGAACACGACGGGGACGATGATAAGACAGAAAACACGAGCAAAGAAGTGTTTAAACCAAAGGCGCTAGAATTAGGGTCAGTGGTTATGCGGAAGATATTATGGGACAGGGAGCTTTACGGGAGTGATATTCTTGGTATCACCTAAAAGAAACCATAATTGGAGAACAGTCAAGCTTCCAACCCAGGCAATTGTAAACAAACCAACCCACTTCACGCTGACAGTAGCCCCAAGACCCAAACCAGTCATAGTGAGCCAAAACCACCAATTGGGGGAGAACGCTCTTGAGATGCCTTGTTCATGGATGTTGAGAAATGAAGTCCAGGCAAGTGCTGTGGCAGCAGTAAAGCTAACCAACGGTGAATCCAAGAGAATAAGACGGGACTGCGTCAAAAGTCCGTTCTCTAGTGGCACGTGTCAGTCTATCCATCATATATCGGCTTCTCTGAACTTTTTACTGACCAAATATAATAAATCCGGCGCCCAAAAAAGATGAAGCTGTAGAGCAACCAGCTGCCTTTAGGGTTAAGAACATAATAGGAACCACCATGATACCCAAAACAGCGGGCAACATTCTCATTGCAACGTAGGGGACTCCAGGTGCAAGATAGTCCTTTCCAATCTCTTTAAAATCGAAACTTCCGTCAAATCCAGCCAGCCAGCCTGCCAGTGTGATGAGCATCTTCGCGAGTGGAGGATGTACGTCCATGAAGAACTTTCCCTTGATATACTTTGTCGCAAATCCACCAAAGCTAATTTCCGTAAGTTACTGTACAATGGTTACGAGTTATAATAGCTTCTACTTGGGGCTTACTGGACTTCATCAAACACAACGCTAGTTGGTTGGTATATACGGAATAACCGTATACCAATTGCTACAACCGTCAACAGGGCAAGGAGCTGGAAATCCGACGAGGGGAGCATCAAAATATCATTGTCTTTGACTTGGTATTTCTTGGTCGAGACATCTCGTTTCAACGACGGTGGGAGCACAGAGACTTTAGAAGCTGTAGGCAGTGCTTCCTCAACAACTTTCTTGGCCTTTCGACCAGGCGAGCGACTTCTGGAGCGAGATCGAGAACGAGAACCCTTTTCGTCTACTGCTAGACGGGGGTTTTTGGGAGGCATGTTTGAGTCAATTCGTATGTCTGTATTAGATTACTGTATGATTATTTGGAAGGTAAGATATCTCCAAAAGAAGAGGTGGCTGTCGAGCCTGTGCGGATGTGTGACTGTGGCAGGGGGGTGGTGTATACGACGAGAAGGTGTCGCAAGTTGCAACTACAGTATCTCTGGTTGATACGAATGACGAATAACGGAAATAAAGGGGGTGTGAATAAAGAGTCCAATCGATGGATCAAATGATGTGGGGCGAGGGGATGAAGAAAAAGGAAGATGTTGGAGAAAAGCTCTCCTGCAAGGGAGAAATATTGAGTGAGAGAATGAATGGAGAAGTAGAAGAAAGGGATGATCACAAGAAATCTACGTTGAGCTGAACAGGCCAGATGTTCGAATTGGAGGCTCTACTGAATGCAGCTATTTTCCCACCATAGCAACGACGGGGATAGAGAAGGCGCGTCTTGTTTTCAGAGATATGGGAAATGACAGCATAAGATGGTAATCGACAACACCATGCATGTGATGGCCCGATATTGAATAAAGAAACGCCAAATTCCAATAATTGCGGTATCCAATGCGGTGTAAACAAGATTACGACTTTTCTACAACTCATCAAACAACAAGTCCTGCATCTCGAAATTCAATATTCTGATTGATGGCATTACCCCCTGGCCATGGCCGCAAAGGCCCTTGACCTACATGTAAGTACATGTGGTAGTTACATGTACCTACACTGTCTAAGGGGTCTCTACCATGTGGTAGGCGAATACATGACTCGAACAATTCTTTACAGCACATGTAAGAATTGTCGATTTCTTTTGCCAGCGTCTAAGTACTGCATCGGACTTTGCTGGAGGTGGAATTCTGAGTTTTGTGGTCTAAGATTTTAAAACTCTAGTGTTGAACCCGAAAATCTCGCTTAATGCCGAGGGATGCAAAATTCTGTGGGCTGCAGCCCTTCCGGGCCTTCTAGGCACTCTAGTCTCTATCCCTGAAGACCTTTCCTATCCCCTTCAGGTTCTGCATCTCCACCATTATTGCCTACAATACTCTGCTCCTCTTCCTCTGGTTCTACCTTTGGAGTGTTTCGTCTCTCACTCAAACATCTGCCCACATTCACCTCCAGTCATTCTTTTCTCCGCTGTTTTTTTTTTTTTTTTGATGTTGAGAGCACCTCAATCCCTCACAAACTTCTCCCAATCCCATTCAACTCTCCCAACCTCCTCTGCCCCCCCCTCCCTTCCCATCCCACGTGTATCGTGCTTGCCTACTTTTATATATCAGCACCTACCTGTATGCACGTACTGCTACTGATCTCCGCTGAATAATCATTAGCTTTGTTCGTCATACAGTTCTCCCCTCCATATCTGCCCCCCTCTCCCCGTTTCTTTTTCTATCCCCTCTTCGATATCCAAAGCTCTTCCCTTTGTATCACCTGACATCTATTCTGTCGCTGAGAATTGTCAAAGAAAAATCGTTGCCGCTCATTTCAACCGATGGCCTCATCCCGAGGCTCCTCCCCGCTGTCGCCTAACTTTCTCCACGCCGGTGGCGGTCTTCCACTTTCCCTTCACGAAATCCACGAGGATGGTCCTGACCATGGTACTCATAGCGTCATCTCTTCTCGTATGACCGATGTTAGCGACAATGCTTCCGACATTATGGGCCTTGCCGAGGCTCAACAATCCCAACATGCCTCGTCTCGCCGCTCGTCATTACAGCCTACGCTAGGTCAGACACGAACTAGGGTTTCAGTCAGCGAACCTAAGCCAGATGCTTTCTCAGGCTCCCGCCCCAGCACTGCTATGTCGAGTTCTACAGCCGGGATAAGAGGATGGTCGGGTGCTCCAGCGTCGCGGAGAGGTCTAGGTTCAGTTGGCGGGAGTGTAAGGGGGAGGCCGACATCATCAGCATCGCGGACACATGCGCCATCGTTAACAAGCAACGCCTTCTATAGGCCTATGAGTTCGGCGAAATTGCAAGCGCAAAGAGGGAAAGTTACGGAGGAAGATGAGGCGGAGCAAAACAGGATACGAGGGTTTGCGCAGGCTGCGCAGTCACCAGAAAGGCCGCCCATTTTGGGGCTGTCGATGAATGAACCAATTGCACACCAGCTCAAGCAACAAAGGTTAAGCGACGATCGTGGTGGGTACGGGCAGTCTGGAAGGTCATTATCTCCAACAGGTCACACAGCGCAGTCGGTAACATCCGTATCGCCTTTACGTACAGACTCTGGGAGGATGAATGTGAATCATGCGAATGGGGTAAATGGGACGCCACCACTACCGCGATTAGATTCATCGAGTCAGGGATCTGGTGAATCAAAAGAAAAGCATCAGAAGCAGAAACAAGAGGACCTTGGAAAGAATTGGCAGTATTTCCCAGGAAACACAAGTTTTTGTTTTGGCGGGCGGTTTCAAACAGCAAATGATGTGCCAATGAATATTCTGACAGCTATTTTGATCTGCATCCCGGTGGGGCTATTTTTTGGTTACTCGTAAGCTCTCTCTTTATCATTGGCTAACATCGAGTGAGATTGTATGAACTGATTGGTTGCTAGGGCGAAATGGTTATGGTTCAATGTATCACCGGGGTTGCCAATAACTTTTGCATACTTGTTTGCACTCTGTATGTCATCTTTCATCAAAGCCTCCGTCTCGGACCCTGGTGTAAGTTTTCCCGATGGACCTATGTCCATACTCCTAGCGATAGTTTCCTTTATAAATACTGATGTGTTCTAGGTCTATCCTCGTAATGTTCATCCCCTCGAAACCGACAATGACAACGACCCCCTTGCCGTCCCTCCGCCTAACGGTTGGGCCTTAATTCGTCCCCCTAAACCAACGCAAATCCATCTTGAGGTCCCCATAAAATACTGCCGTACCTGCCGAATATGGCGCCCGCCACGTTGTCACCATTGCCGGGTTTGTGACAATTGCATCGAGACACAAGATCACCATTGTGTTTGGCTCAATAACTGCGTTGGTCGCCGCAATTATCGCTATTTTTTTACTTTTGTTACAACTGCTACTCTCCTCGGGCTATATCTTATCGCACTATCACTTGTACATCTTATTATGTGGCAGAAACAACACCGCGAGATTGACCCTGGTGTTGGGTTTCCTGACGCAATAAGACGTTGGCAGCCAGTATTTGCAATGGTGGTTTATGGAGCGGTTGCATCACCGTATCCACTTGCATTGTTTGGATACCATCTCTTTTTAATGGGGAGAGGCGAGACAACGAGGGAGTATCTTCATGGCCATAAATTCGTTAGGAGTGAAAGGCATCGACCGTTCAGCCAGCAAAACATCTTCAAGAACTTTGTCGTTGTTTTGATGAGACCCAAACCTCCAACGTATGTATTCATACAAATAAATCCAAACTCCATTTTCCCTTCCACTGACGATATTTTAGGTATGTCCAACTGAAAAATCGTTACATTCGTGGTGACCAACGCTTCGAGCAGAGGAAGATAGAAACAGACTCGCAGAAAGAAGATCGGGAGTCGAGTCGTGGCGAAGCCACAAGGGGTGGCGACTAGCTGTAGGGCCTAACTTACCCCTAGCGAACCTTCTATTTGATTTTTAATTTCATTTTACCGAGTAATGGTTTGCCCTTTCCTTTTTGTCTGAAGCATGCTGATGTGTTTTTCTTTCTTTTTTTCCTCTTTTTTTTTCTTTTTTTCTTCACCTTTTCTTTGTTATACGCCACGTAACTTTTATATTCTATTTTCTCGCTCTCTTTTCTCAAATGGCTTTTAGGAGCGGTCTTTTTTTTTCAGATTGGGTAATCATTTTCTAGAACTTGGGTGTATTTTTGGTTGGGCGCCTTGAGGCTGCGCCTTTCTGTCTTTTTCTCTCCACAGAGTGGCTTTGGTTCGGTTTGTTGAGGGGTTTACTTCTTAAGTACGGCCTGTACGATACGGTATTTAGGCTGGACTTATGCATATATTAGGGGAAATCCGGGTGTGTCATTGATGGATCTAGGTGAATTATCGAATGGGCACCTGGGGGACTGTACAGAATAAATATGTATAACTGTAATTACTAAAAAGACACTACTATTGGTGGTTATTATTGCTATATGTATTGCGTTTTATGAGAATTTGCTTGGTGCCCGTCGTTTCTTTCCACAATGTCATTTTAAGTTTGTGTATATTTAGGGGTTTATGTAATGTTTAATCGGGAGTGAAGGGACAAGATGCTATGCACATGGAACGGAAACGAATTTGTTATTAGTACATTCTGTAATATATGATGTATGTATACCTATACACGCAATGATTACATATATGGTTTCGTATACATGTGGCTACGTACGTACGTACATGTATGTATATATAAGTACATGTAGCCACTCCGCAGCAGTGTTCATGATGACTGCATGGATTGTAACCTACTCTAGATCCAACAAAAAGCTTAGGCCTGATAACCCTGGGTATCGCAAGAGTTAGGCCCGTATACCAAGGCTTCCATGATGTTGTTTATTCGAAACTCGATATATATAAACACTCATAGTGCGCTGCTTGGCGAATTTAAGTACCACGTGCAGTACCAGCACTCTCGATCTTCACTGCTTCTCAAGGGGGTATAAATTGGTATAATACAGTTCCACTTTGTTCAGTCTTGGCGCTTTTTACATACAAAAACAGCCATCTTCATGACCATGATAGATATCAAAAATCCGGCATACCTCTTTTGGAGGTGAAGTTATAATCGATTGACTTTCCGTCACTTTTGGTTACCTTTAAGAGTGGGCGCACCATAGAATCATTGAAGATTTGCCTATATACAGCCACTCAGCAAAAGTGTTCGTGATTTAGTTTTAATGTCAGTGCGCAGTGTGGCGCACCCGTAATGTTGATGTTATTAATGTTGAGATTCAAAACAACGAAAAATTATATAATATAGTTCGTGACTATATATAAAAGAAGATAGGTCATTGATCTTATTCTTCATTGATCCCGGGCGTCATTGATCGCTGGGAAAGTCTTCTCTTGGGGGGGGTTTTTTTTTGATGGTCCACCACCGAAATCGGAATCACGAACACTTTTGCAGAGTGGCTGTATGTATATGTTCATAATATATCACTCGATTTCTCCTATAAATAATCTTGTTGAACATTCTCCTGCTTTTGAGTCTTGGCCCTTGTAGTTATGGATCAGTGATGAGTGAAGTTGCATTCCCATACAAATTTTAGCTACGAAAGTTCGTTTACTTATGGTAACCCGCAATACCAGTCTTGTGTGGGTACGGGTATAATGTAAATACTGTGGCCATGGCATTAAAGCGTTGTTTATGATTAGCATTGAGGTGGCTGTGTGCGCTGATTGGGCATATAAAATTTCAAAACATACAGAATTTTAAATCTAGTGGGCTGGCGTTGTTGTGTATGATTGGAGAATGTCTTTTTTTGGTGGTGGCACACAGCAGGTGGCGATTTTCGACGCAGCCAGTGGTTGATACCCAAACTAATTGACCTGCAGCGCTGATCTGATCGTTGGTATGGATCGCCTCTCATTATCAGAAGTACCTATGTAATACCTGAACGAATCTCAACCTGACATTTGATGGGTTAGGGTTCGAGTGTTGATGAATTAATACCGACGATACATTATGTTACCTCAAGGAATTTGACCTAGAAAATTGATTTGTGCTTGATTAGCTTTTTTTTAGATGCCTTGGTAAATACATCAAATATAGAAGTCATGGTTGAGTAATGAATATCATCGAGTGATATCTCATGACGTCACTGCCGGCATACTTGAAATGATGAATAACTTGTAGTACATACATGTAACACTGGAGCTGCGCTACGCTTAGCAACGCCCTGAAGCTTGAGCATACAGTCGACTCTAGTAAAATATAAAGAATTCGACTTATGACCCGTACTCTGCACTTGCAGCATTTCGGCTCCGCCGCTCTGGTTTCCTCTTGCAACCGTCAATTTCGAAGTATCAATTACTCTATTACATAAATTCGAGTATGAAGTAGTTAATATTAAATAATTACATCTCGATAAAACTCATAGAAAATGGGTGGATATGAGCTAAATTAAGTCAATAACTAATAAACGGAAGGACGTGGAAGAAGCTCTGTACGGGTAGGATGTCTACCCGGCCAGGCACACACATCTCGAGTTCACCTTTAGCCTAGACGCAGCTACCCTTGGATGATCTAAGCCATGAGGGAGCACGATTATGACTCAAGTAGTTACTAAGCAATGCCTAGAGTCTTGTGCCCGCTTAACCCTGAAGTAAAATGTTTGCATGTACCTTATGCTCATGTAAAAGTCCAATATATGTACTTTTATCTATAATGAGACGTACCCATCCCGACTTGAGCTGCTATATATGTCCATAAATATATCACACCAGATATATATATAAGAATAGCATCATCATTAAATGCATCGCCTACATGGGTTGCACGCATGACTGCAGGAGCTGTGTATGATGATAAGAAAGAGTACGAGTAGTGGTGAGTAAGCGGCGAGTGTTAGCCACGCCAAGAGTGATTACGAGGAAAGGACACAAGTAGTCTTGGCATTGGCCAACATGTCATCAGTATGCAGTTACATGTAGTTAGGAGGGCGAGAGTCTCCTCTCCTCTTGGACAATGATCAATCAAGATAACTATAAGGAATCTATCTATTATCGAGCCACTTCAATGACTCACTGGCTAATGTTCTTACGTTATATAATGAATCTCAGCAATTGCCATTCAACTCTAAGCCGTCACAAAACACATATACTTAAGTGATCTCGGCCAAAAATCATCTCGGCTTATATGTATACATGTATATCCTCACGGGGACGATCACATCAGAGCAGCAATGGAACTCATTATTGTCAATCGTAACGTATAATCTAATAGTAGAGTGTCATTTTTTAAAATCTAATTGCCCTAAAACTGAATACTCTATTACTAGGTGATATCTTATCAAATATCTACATAGTAGTACTAGTCACAACTTTTCCCTCTAGCTTCCCACATGACGAAGTCGATGCGATAACAGATTAAGAAGATCTACCTGAAGCTCTCTCAAGAGAGATCAAAATGAAATTAATGTAGCGTATATATATCTTCGATACACCGATATAGTAGCAAATCTTTATAATTTACTATAGGCGCGATCAGATCCGCAGGCCGGGTGGACTCACGAAGAACGAAGGGGACTACTAACCACGTTCAACACAATAAGAGGTTGCAGAACACGTGACCATATACACACGTCTGTGCCTTCCACTGAAGCTGGGGTCAAATGATGCGGGAAGAATTCTGCCAGTGTGTTACTGGTGGGGTGTAAATTGGCTTTGCTCAAATTAAGTGCACGTGGTAGAGAACTTTCTGGCTATATATTCAAGAACTACATGTAAATCTCAAGGCTTTCTTATTAAGGAAGAGCATTTAGGTGATATAGTAACATATATGACCACATAAGGAAGTCTAGTCCTAAGACTAAAATTTCCATAAAAAGGTCAACTTTATTAACTCGAGAAGTTAACTACAAATACAAGGATCCAGGGGACTAGAAACGAAATTCAGTTAGTGATCAGTGATGCGAACTCGCATCAAACATAGCCACCCATCCGTTCAGAGAAGCGATAATACAACTGCAAGGCTGCCACGAGCCAGAGCATATCTATCTAAGACTATGGCCTAATGTGATCATAAACTTTGTCAGCGTAGTAATTCATTGGGCGTCATAAAATATCACTCGGTGGACACAGGTTCAAAGAACGAAGTTCAAAAGCCTAGTATCCGACCCAAAGTTCAAGCTCTCATGAAGGATAGCATGGTACTGCGCGACTGAGTTAGTGAAGTTGATGGCAAGTAAGGTTCTGGCTTGCTCTCCAGATTCAAAGTACCAACATTAGATATAGGAATGCATCGCGAAATTAGGATTTCGATGGTAATCAAGACATATAAGGAAGTGATCAAACCCATTTAATATTGTCTACAATTCTTTAAACGATCGCTTATCAATAGGTACATATCATATGAGGATTAAACAAGAAAGCGCGGAAAAGCGTAATTTGCTGCTACTGCATACTTGATTTTTGACTTCTAATATATGTAGTGATTCCGGCGGAATATATGGGGATTCGATATTTTTGACTATTCTCGAGCTTAAAAAAATTCTGGAGAGACTAAATGCAGTTATGACTATTGTGGCATTTGGTATCGATCGACCATCATACCAACGAGTGGTCGTCAACTCAGACCTAGCCATACTTATGGCTAAATACTACCATTGTACCGGCCTGTTATCATACCTATTACAAGCATTACCTACTAAATGACTACATGAACTGTAGTCTATAATTAACTCATTTATGATGTAATGGCCAATCTTGTTGGGTCCGTGAGACTTACTTTCACGAATTCCAGTCCTAAATGTTTTCTTTGAAGATAAGCATGGCTTTGCAGCCTTTATATAGCTAGATCTATGTAGGTCTTGCACCCCAAGCATATAGAAAGCTTGAATATATGAGGTTTCTGTAGTCATAGGCCTATCATGTTATATCCTAATGATTTTCTGGATAGCATATCTATGTTACTCTAAGAAACATAATCTCTGTTAGACACTTATAACAACTAAAGAAATTGGGACCTTATCTCGACCAGTTACTAAATTCTTAGGGTAGTATCGTGGGTAAAGCCCTGACGTGCGATGTATTTCCTGCAGACACATTTTATCTCTTTTGGCCTCTCCAATTGGCCAGTTTCGTTTGTTTCAATGATAACACCGGGAATACCCGTCCACAGGCAAGAAGCGAGTACCCGAGTGAGAACCTATGAAGTGGACTCCAATATATATATGTTTAGCTTTGGGAGGGCGCGAAATGAGAATTATCATGATTTCGAGCACTGTATTCGTCTTTTGGGTCGTGTTGTATGCCCGTTGTCAAGACGGTGGAGGATTAGTGCTCGAGCCTCGTGCATATGTGACCAGTTTCAAGCGAAACGCTTCCACCGGGGGTCCGCGGTAAGAGTACACACATAGTATAGATAATCTTTTCGTATCTTATGTGAGTGACTGGAGCTGGTGGGTTTTGAGGAGGGGAACGTTACTCGATCGAGCTGCAACCGTCTTCCCACCATCAGAAGTAGATATATCAGGAAATCAAATCTAAACCTCTCTAATCTTAAAGTCCAATTGGACAATACTTCGAGCCCTTCTTATTTCTCTGACTTGTTGAGGGTGCTCTCCGCAAGCCATGCATTTCCGGGAGCAAGTGATATCATCACTTACTCCATTCGAAACTACATGTATTGATCAACTGGACCGGCAAGTCGAGACTGTATGCAGCCCTTCGACACACAATATGATCAGATCTAGTAAAAACCTCGTGATACACAAGATTAAAGATTCTCTCATTTTGGACATAGTAAGATCGTCGGAGACAACATTTCCAATCATCGAAGAGGGGCGAATAAGTGCCCATGAAAGATATTCCAAGTGCTTCTGAACCGGTCGGGCTCCCTGCTGTCAAGGCATATTGTGAAGAGTGATTGTAAGGGCGAGAATATGGATTGTAGCCTTGTCTCCAGGACAGTTTATATAAGGATGCGAATTCCAAAATTGCCGAGGTGATAATATGCTGCATGCATCACCTTCGGAAGTGCACCGATCCAGGTTTCTTGAGACTTGCGGCAGGGTGTGTGGTTGGCATGTGGCGTACGTTCTGCATCCTTCATATTTTTTACTGCAGATTTCGAGATTTACAACTCTAGCCCCTTCCCAAAGCGATACCTACATGTTTCTTTGTTGGCAAGAAATAAAAAAGCAAAGTTTCGCCCTCGCTGGCCAGATTAAGAAGAAACAGACATATTGACAGTTGTACTGTCAGGGAGTTACCACCGTATCGGTGTACATAGGCCGTCTATAATAACCTTGCAAATTATTGGCGTCCGCCGCGCCTGTCAAGGGATGTATCTGTTGATTGTTGTTGTACTGGATGTGGATGTATGGATCCGGCAAATGGGTGGCGGCGGGGATAATTGGGATTGGGAGGATTACTTCCAGGATGCCAATGCCATAATAAAGCCTCAATTTGATTGTACCAAAAGTAGCGCATGAATTTTCCCATTCAGCCCACACCCAGGTTGAGCGTGGTCTTTTTGAGGATCCTGAATTTGTTTGTAGGTAGATATAGATGATCGCTGGGCAAATATGAATGAGGGGTGGTCTATGTTAAGAAGGATTTAAGGCAAACAGGTCAAGTATTGGAGGTACAGGTCCTTTTTAATAGAGAGTAAGAGAGGTGTTAGGGAAGTAGAAGGTGTTTTATAAGGATATATTGATATTAGAAGCCATGTTGGGGATGAAGTATACTCGGAGGAAAGCGGGTTCGTCAATTGAATGGATATGGTTGAGCTCGATGGGAAAATAGATGTAGTATAGTGTACGGAGACTAGGAAAGATAAATGATACTAAATATGCTTGGAGGGTGGTTGTACCATACTGTGCTACATCTCTTACATATCACCTTCGTCTCTTCTTTCTCCCACACCTCCTCTCTTCTCTCCTTCCTCTTCTTCTTCTCCTCGTCCCCTCCTCTCTCCTTCAGTCTCTCTGTGTTGTCTTTTTTCTTTTTTTCTATCTGGTTGCCTCTTCCTCCTCTCTCCCTCTCCAACTCCTTCTCCTCTCCTCATCTATTTCCACCCCTGCCCTTTACCCTTTGGGTCCAGTGGTTGTATACTTTCTCATATTACACAGTGTTCTTCGCGTGCTCGCTCCTTTAATCCCAATATCCCAATTGGTTTCCCCACAAACCTCCTTCCTCGCGGCTTGCATTCCCGTGCATCCCCCCTGCACCCCCCTCTTGTCATAGCTCTTCTTAACATCCTCCTTTCCCGTACCTTCCTTTCTTCTTTCTTCTCAACTCATCTGCTCCCCCGCCAACGCTTTCGCAATGGAGTGGTCAACGCTGCCTCCCAAGTCGCTTTCACCGGATTCGGCAAATATTCTGGGCTCTATTGCCATGCAACCATCTTCGACAACGTCGTCCGTTGTTGATTCGGCATCTATAACCAATAATTCAATTTCGGCGACAAGTATTTCCACAACTCCAGAACGAACTTCCGCCGCTGCAGAGGAAGACTCTGAAAAGGAAAAGAATGAGGGCGTGAAATTAGTAGAAGAGGAAATAGAAGATGTCACGGGAAAAGAGAATAGGTACGAAACAGTTGAAGAGGGAGAAGGAGCCCAAAAGGGAGAGGGAATGGAAAATCTGAGCGAAAATGAAGATGAGAAGGACCAAACGCGCAACACGCGTAAATTACGAGATCGCGCCCGACAGTCTCCGACAACCCCTTCCAACACAAAAACCACAAAGAAGGTTAAGGAGATCAAAACTATAACAAGACAGCTTAGATCAACGGCGAAAAAACCCTCTTCAGCTTCAGCCAAAAAATTCGCAGACAAAACGCGTCGCCAGAGCAAGCGCCTAAGCATAATTGCTACTAGTAAGCTTTTGGAGACAACGACACCTTCAGCCCCGCGCGGCAAAAGGTCTCACGATGTTATGGCCGCTGGATCGAAGAGCGCCAACGCGAAGCTTCAAGGAAATGGCTCTCATTATGCTGCTGATGGATCTCTATTGAGAGCTAGCAAAAGGTCGAAAAAAAATCTCTCGTACAACGAGGACACTGACGATGAGAGCTCCATTGCACGTGAAACATCAGAAGAACTACCAGCGAATTCGCAAGCGAAAAAGCCGCAGAAGAAGAAGAAGGTTTGGTTAAACCAGGGGCTTTATTTAGGGCAGGGACAGGATTTGGATGTCCGAAAGCGGCCTGGAGGCAAAGCAAAGAAACGGGGCAAGTCTAGTGCGGATCGACAAGCCGTACTACCATTGCCTATGTTCACGGGGTCGGTGATCATGGATACCGTTCGGGACTTCAAACTGCCGTTCAACATTTTTGCGCCGAGTCCCTGGAAATGCGGGCCAATTCACAATTGGAAAAAGCTCAATCATAGTACATCCACCCTTCTTTTTCGGTCCTTTTTTGATTTATATAATCAAAGTTGCTGGAACTTGTATTCCATTCTATTATTGTCAAGGTCAGTTGGCTAACTAGATGCCCGGTGAATCCATGTGCGTACTTGTTCGTTTGTAGATGTTTTGATTGGAGAAGCTTCCCAGTTATGGAAAAGAGAAAAAGCATCTATGGCGATGTGCGTCTGTGAAGAAGAGAAAGGCTGTGATGAAGATTGCCTTAACCGCTGTACCTGGGTGGAATGCGACGAAGGAAATTGTAATGTGCCCAATAACTGTAGTAATAGGGCCTTTGCGGACCTGAAAGAGCGAGTAAAACAGGGGACAAAATTCGCCGAGGGTGTAGAGGTCATTCTGGTAGTGCTCATATCTCGTTGTTTTGAAATGGGAAGGCTCTTTTGCTGGCAATTTACTGACAAGAGGGAATGTAGACCAGGAACTGTGGGCATGGCCTCCGAGCTACGAGAAGCTTTGCGCCCAGGCAGATTGTCGTTGAGTATACTGGCGAGATTATCACGCAGGAAGAGAGTGAAAGGAGGATGATTGAGGATTATAAGGATAACAATGTGAGTGATAAGCCCATCTTAGCGGTCGGGACACATCGTAGACGGGGCCCTCTGGAGTTTAGCAGTTACTGATAATACCTCCAAACATGAAGAACTACTATCTCATGCTCTTCCATCAGAATATGATTCTGGATGCTACTAGGGGATCAGTGGCACGTTTCGTTAATCGTAAGTCTTTGTTCCCGTTGCAATTTGTGGCGTTTAAACACATATTAACGCCTTTGGAAGATTCTTGCAATCCCAACTGCCGAATGGAAAAGTGGCTCGTTGATGGAAAACCTAGAATGGCTCTGTTTGCTGGAGATTATGGAATCGAAGCTGGAGATGAGCTCACATATGACTATAACTTCAAGTCAGTACCCCCCACTTTCAGTATATTTAGAATAAGTGAGAAGCTGACACTCTCTTAAAGTTGGTTTACGGGTGTCAGTCAGCAAGCTTGCCACTGTGGAGCTGAAAACTGCCGCGGTGCTTTAGGGAAGCGGGCTGATGGGCTCCAGAAAAAGCCCGAACCCCCAGCTAAGGGCAAGAATGGAAAAGGCAAGAAAAAGGGAATAAATGGCAAGGGTGGAATCGTTGCCGAAGTCAAAAAACCCACAAGAGGAAGGCCAAAGAAAGTTGTAGCCCATGTTCAAAAGTCGGTTATTATCACCCCTAAGAGGAAGTACACCAAGCGGAAGGTTGTAGCAGCACCTGTGATATCGCCTTCCCCTGCACCGGAAGATGATGATTCCCTGGATTCCTCCTTAGATTCCGACGACGACTCAGATCACCCGACTGAGGCGTCACCTGCTACATTAAAAAAATCTTCGCTCTCAGAAGCTGCTCGGCGTCGGCGCAATTACAACAAAGCTGGTAGGCCTCGTGTCACAAAGACCTATAAAGTCAATAAGACAATACGTGGCGGGAAAGGCAAGATTATTCATAAATCAGTCACCAGCAAAAAAGCAGTTTCGGCGCTCAAGAAGAAAGCGTTTGAAACTGTACTTACCACAACATCTACCACCACTACAGTTAAAACGAAAACTTCAGGTCCATTATCCTCAGCTTCTTCAGTCACCAGCGCTTCTACAGGAACAGTCATGACTAGAGCTACGAGAAGGAGTCTGGGGGTTACAAGAGCTGTGGACGATAAAGTGGCACATCAGTTACTTGAACAAGCCATCAATACTGTTCTATCCTCGGCCTCAGTTGGTGTCGAGGAAATTCCCGAGGGAGTCATTGGGACTGTTGCCCCGGCCTTGAGTGCCGTCCAGGTCGCAGGTTAAAGGCATAAATATTATGATCTAACAGCCTTCTTTTCTCTCTCTCTCCTTTCCAAGTTCATATTCAATTATCAAAAGGACTCATTTGTTTTGGGATTTGTGTACATGCGGTTTGCTTTATTACTCTGGCTGTTTTGCTGTTAGATTCGAGCCGCTGGTTGTTGGTTTTGCGTCTAGGCTTTATTCGACTTCTGGGAGCGCTTATCAGTACGGTTGGTGTCTGATCATTCATGTCTGCGTATGGTGTTGAGGATTGTCGGTCAGTGCGCGCTGTAGAGATGAGATACAGCTTCTCGATTAACTTTATTATTTATTCGAGGACTCTTATTACCCCATTCCTATTTTATTTTTCATTTTTTGCAATTTCTGTTCTTTAGTTTTCATCTAGTGTGCATTTTTTTTTTCAGGGGTTATTTCTGGAGGAGGCGATAATGCATGAGATTTTTTTCCTTTGTCTTTTTTTCCTTTTTTCTTTCTTTTTTCATTGATGTATCAGGGTGTCTTGATTTCCTGGGGAATTAGGTTGACCTGAAGATGCTACGAATTGATGGGGCTTGAGATGAGATGGACTGCAAGAGTAGGAAGCAATAAAAACAACAACTTGTTTCCTGAGAAATCATATCTCAGGATCTTTTTTCTTTTCCCCCTTTTCTTTTCCTTTCTATTTTTTCCTCAATTTATTTTCGCGTTTCGGGTTTTGGTTCTTCGGTAACATTTTTTCCCCACCCCCTTGTGTTTGATTCTAATTCTGTATCTACGTGTATGATAGTAAGAAAGTTAACTGGTGTCCTATGTGGATGTTGAAAGCAGGGGTGCCGGGCACGTGACGCCGAGGAATTGAAGGCCTATGCAATTATGGTGCCCCCAGCCTTAAAGGTACATGAGAAAAACGCCAAGTCTCTAATAACTTCAACCACAACAGATATTAAAAATCTGTCAGGTAATTCTCTTGTTTATTACTATTTCTATAATTTGTTCTGACAGATTTTTAATATCTGTTGTGGTTGAAAAGTTATTCGAGACTTAGCGTTTTTCTCATTGTTACCTTTAAGACTGGGGGGGGCACCATACTAATATTGGAGTCCCGAGCCAGTGAGACATGCAAGTCATATGGCGGGGGTGCATATTCACCGAGTGATATTGGGTGATCCAAAGGTTTTGTTGACCCTTTAGCTCAACTTTTTTAAAAGCCTAGGGGGCTCGGCTCAGAAGACATTTATAATTTATGAGCATGCAACTGTTGGTGATGCGGTTTAGTTACTACATGTATGTACGTATGTATATGATATCTCTCAGCTGTGGGCGGACCTATGTGACACATGGTGAAACGATCTGTCCTAACCAATTATAAGGATGTGTTAAGAAGAGGTTAAGCTTAGTCTTCTGAGCTGTCCTTCCTCTTCCACTTCCTCTCCATTTGCCTCCTACTTCCATCAGTCTCGTCTGATCGGGTTTCTCCCTGTCATCGGGGAATGAATACCTTTACGGTGCTCCAGCGATCCTTTATGAATATTTGCTGGCCGTGGCGTTTTCTATTGAGTATAAGGTATATCCAGGTTGATTGACCCATGGGGGATAACTCCAAACTCCGAATGTACTTGCACAACTATTTGATTCAGTCCACTACATAAGTCCAAACTAGCTACAAGCTATATAAATATTTCCAACCTCACCACTATCTGCGTCCAGCCTCACCTTCCTCACTCTCACTCGCCTCTACATCCACCATCTCCTCATTATCCTCCTCCTCGCCTCTAACAACACTATACCCCTCGCCTCCTCTCTCCGCCGAACCACCCCTCAAAAACCATGTCAACAACCCTAAATCATACATCACCTTCAAGCATCCCGCTACCGAGAACACCGCGCCCATAGCCCCACGTCCCCCCGCCCACCCCGTCACAGCTGGTCCCGCTGCCTGCGAAAACGTCTTTACCGTATTCACCACACCCATCACAGCAGTCCTCTCCCGCGGCAACATGATGGCTGCTAGGAATGCTGTCCGTGGCGCTTGGTCCATGCTTGCCATGAGCGAGCGGACTACGAGAAAGCTCATTGCGACTGCGGTACCTGCGTGCGTGCCCGGGGGTAGCGGGATAAGCACTAATATAACAGCGGCGGGGAGGTGTGTGTACACCATGGTGCGGATTAGGCCTAGACGGGCGGCAATGGGGATGGCGAGGAGCGAGGAGGAGGCAGAGGCGAGAGAAGTGAAGAGGAAGAGGGTGCCGAGAGTCGAGGGGGGAAGCGAGTGCTTGGTGGTGAAGTAGTACGCCATCCATGAGCTGTGATTTTTTTACCTGTGTGGTTAGAATGGTTCACAGGCTAACTACGTATATATTGATTATTAAAAGAGATAGGGGATATTACGGAGCTGCGAGGCCAGAGGCTAGGCTGTCGATGGAAAAAAGGAGGCAGAGCTTCCAGAGGACTGATAGTGACTCTTTCGACATCGCTGGGAGTAGAACCTCCAACACCTTCCACCTCTTCTCCTTCCCGCCTTCCTCTACAAGCCGCTCCCTCTCCGCCGCCCCCTGTGAACTATCCTCACCGCAAACTTCACACTCTTCGGTTAATCCCCACGCTAATCCCATCTTCACCACACCCATCACCGCGTATGCCCAAAATATCACCCGATACGCTCTCTCCGCCTCTACTCCCCCATCCATAATCCACCACACCACCCACCCACACACCACACTTCCCAGCGCGCTTCCCAAAGCCCCCACGAGCGTATACCACGCGAAGACCTCTGTTCGCCCTGCCGGATCAACAATCTGCGCAGTCACAGACTCCTCGATGGCTTTGAATGGCCCAATCTCGTTCCCAGCAGGCGACACAACACCGACGATGGCCGCAAGGAGAAGGACCCAGAAGTTAGAAACTGTTGCAAAGGTAATACCTGATACCGTCATGAGGGCCGCGCCGAGGAGCAGTATCTTGCGCCGCCCGAGGCGGTCTGCGAAGAGCGTTAGGAGAAGGGAGATGAGGACATCGCCGTAGAGCGTCAGCGTCATGAACAGACCAATGAGTGCTGTGGAGTGGTGTAGGACGCTGAAGAATTGGGCGAGGATGAGGGTACTGGAGCCATAGGCGGCAAGGCGGATGAATCGCTGGAGGAAGAGGAGGCGGATGTTGTGATTTTGGAGGAGCGGGAGGGGGAGGAGCTGTAGTGGGTTTAAGCTACGCATTGTGAGTATTTTTAGGGATTTTACCACTGGTTTTAGTGTCCACAGAGCCTTTGAGTTCACGAATTTCACATTGAACGATCGATGAGTAGGTAGGCAGGATCTAATAGCTATGTGTGGACGGAGCCCAAGCCGATCGATGCGGGGATAACTACAGTCGTTCACCGTCTCTTGACTTGACGAACAGGGATTCCAAGTATGGCAAGAAACAGTCAAGCAACAGCCAAGCTGCGAGATCTCCAGTCCTTTTAACTTCTATTGGCCCAAAGTCCCCTGTTCGTCAAGTGGCAGTACAGCGATGGGGAAAATTATTGTAGAAACAGGGGTCTAAAAACAGGGTTTAGGTGGCTGCCCTGGCCAATAGGACTCTTCCCATGCTTCTACAATAATTTTACCTCACGCTGTAATTCTCCCTCTCGCTGTATTCGGACGGTGAACGACTGTAATTCCTGCTTGCGTGCGGGAGTACAGCGAAAGCTTGCTATAACGGTACCTTCTATAAGGGTAATCTCTCTATAACGGTAGCACTTCTCGGTCCTTTTTGCCCGGATTTCAGCACAATCACCTCTTATATAAGGGTAATCTCTCTATAACGGTACCAGATTCCGGTCCCGAGCGTACCGTTATAGCAAGCTTTCGCTGTACGATTGATTCTGCATATCGAGACGATCATCATGACACGATAAGAGTACCTACAACCATGTCTGCATGAAGCTCATCAAATGGATACCCTTGAATTTTGCGTTGAGCACACCCATTGGGACTAATAGTCAAGCTTGAAATTGTTACACTGCATTATCATTACCTTTACACTGGCCGGTCCCCAGTTGCATCACAACATGTGTTAATCCTGTAAGTACCGGGAGATTTAAAAACCAAGGCTCTCGACTTGTCTCTCGTAAATAGATGTGAAATTATTGAAAAATGTCCCAACATACACCACTTCTTTCTGTCGAAGCTAATGAAGACGACGACATCCCGGCATCATGGCTCACACTCCCAAATAAGACGCAATTGATCCTCCTGGCACTATGCCGCTTCGTGGTAGCCATGAGCCAGACATCGGTCCTCTCTTATCTGTACTATTTTCTGAGCTCGCTCGATACCTCGCAATCCCCGGGCGATCTAGCGCGCCGCGCTGGATATCTAGCGTCGGCGTTCGCAAGCTGTATGTTCCTCACAGGCTGGTTTTGGGGCCGCATGGCAGACAGTTTTGGCAGGAAAAAGGTTGTTATGACAGGGTTGACAGCAACAGCTGTGGCCTGTCTTGTGTTTGGGTTCAGTGAGAGCTACAGTGGGCTAATTGTAGCCAGGTGCTTGGCTGGGTTGATGGATGGGAATATTGCGGTTTTGAGAACTATGATTACTGAGACAGTGGCCGATAAGAAGTGTGTTTTTGAGGCTTTTCTATTATTACTATATCATATCTTTTGATAATGTGAATTGACTGAATGCTGTGTTAGGTATCATTCAAGGGCCTTTATTATACCGCCGTTGTCCTTCAATTTGGGCGCTGTTATTGGGCCTTTGTTAGGGGGAATGCTTGCGAATCCAACATCAGAAACCTCCCCAGCTTCAAAACTGTTTGGACCAGGAACATTTTGGGGCGGCAAGGATGGTGTAGCCTGGATGCGGAGGTGGAAATATGCGCTGCCGAATGTTGTGTCTGCTCTACTATTTGCTATAGTGGTGGTTATGTGCTTTTTCTTCTTGGAGGAAGTAAGGCTACCTTTATTATGACACGGGGATTTTCACTCACTGTTAGGGTATCGTAGACACTGGAGACCCAAAAACGAGAAGCAGATACTGGACTCTCTATCAGAAAGAAGTTGAGGGACTTCTTCCCGTCGGAATACCAAGAGGTCCCTTCTAGAGATATTGACCTAGAAACAACAAGCCTATTGCGCTCCCCTCCCCTAAGCCCACCGCCTAAGGCCCCTCCTCCCCATAAGATCTGGACCCACAACGTGAAACTCACCGTCCTCTCCAGTGCCCTCCTTCCCCTCCACATGTCCACCTTCCTACACCTCTGGGCCGTCTTCCTCTCCGCCCCACGCTCCACCACCGCCCCACACCTCCCCATAAAGTTCACCGGCGGCCTTGGCCTCTCGCCCGCCACTATTGGGCTGGTACTATCCCTCTTTGGCGGCTTCGGTATCACCGTGCAGGTCATAGCATATCCGCCCATTGCGCAGCACCTCGGTATTCTCACCGTCTATCGCCGATCCCTGGCCATATTCCCACTGGCGTACCTGCTCATACCGTACCTGACGCTGCTTCCCCCTGGGGCGATGATGTGGGTTGGGATGGCAGCGGTGATGGTTCTCATGGTCTTGGCGAGGACGTTCTCGCTGCCGTCGTCGGTGATCCTCGTGACACGTGCGGCGCCCTCGTCAGTGGTGCTGGGGAGGGTGCATGGTGTTGCCGCGAGCTTGGCAAGTCTGTCGAAGGCGGTGGGGCCGGCGGTGGCGGGGGCGTTGTTTGCTGTTGGGATGAGGGCGGGCGTGGTGGGGGTGGCGTGGTGGGCGGTGGCGGGAGCGGCCGGGGTCGGGGTTGTGGTTGCGTGGCGGTTGAGAGAGGGTGCAGAAAATGATGAGGATACAGAAGATGATGAGGATAGTATAAAGGGAGTATAACTTTAAGCCTCAGACTCAGGTAATGTTGGGCAAGAGCCGAGCTGGCTCAAGATTTTAGGCGCGGGCTTTATTATCCACGAGCCCAAGCCAGCTCCAAAAGCCCACGTCACCTCGAGCTTTATGAAACATTTGTAATGTGGGTAAAATAGTAAAATGTATGGTTCAAGTAAAATATCAATCGAGGTCTATCCGTAATTAATCGGAATCATACTCTAGCAGATCTATTCCTAGATGGAATAATGCAAGCTCAAGCCCAATTAGATCATAGGGCTCAAAGGGCTTCAAGCCTTTACACCCACAATTCAAGCCGGCTCAAGCTACAGGTCAGGCTCCTATCCATCATTATGCCGTCATCATATGAGAGGTAGAAGTGTCTGCAGTGTTGTTGTGGTAGGCCAGGACTTAACTGGAGGTTTGTGTGGCTTAGATCATGGCATCTCACTCGGTACCTGCCTTCCTCGCCAATCAGCTGCTGTGGTGTATCAGCAACAGCTTGGGATACATACATGCAATCGTAACACCTTTTTTGAGGCGTAGAACGCCTTCAAGAGCATGTTGTATTGCTTTGTATGATGGATTCGTATATAGGTCCACTTCTAAATGGTGTGGAAGCCCCAGGACGCCAATGGATCCCAGAAGTAAAAATATCGAATGAGTTCTGGTCGTCTGGAGTACGAGCCTTTTCCTGGTATTTTATGACCATGAGGCGGGACGTGTCCTTCCACGGTGTATTCCACCGCTCTGTTCGTGCTGGTGGCGGTTGGTGTTATTCGAGGCTGCATCGTGACGCAGCAGGCTGCGCGTTTTGGGCACACAAGATTGGGTTGTCGGCAGGCTATCTCCCGAGCTCTCACCGGGACGCTTACCGGGAATACCCTATGCACTCGTACGAGGAAGCATTAACCCTCCCAGTGTGAATTACTCAACAGAAGCCACACGTATTCGGTCTTGGCTGCAGTCGAGTAGTTATGAGAAGATTATGCGATTTGAAGGAGAATTTACGTCACATTAAACTCTGGCATAGTACAGGGTAGGTCAACTTGAAAGTTGAGCCATTCTTTTCATTGACTATCTTTAAAAACTTTACAAAACTCCGAAACCCAAGCCTATTCCCCCAATTGAAAGTACATTTCTCATAAAATTCGCTCCCACACTGCTAATGACATGAATTAACGATTACTGCGATCCACCACGAAGACGAAGCACCAAGTGGAGAGTAGACTCCTTTTGGATGTTGTAGTCAGAAAGAGTACGGCCGTCCTCCAACTGCTTACCAGCGAAGATGAGACGCTGTTGGTCTGGTGGGATTCCCTCCTTGTCCTGAATCTTTGACTTGACGTTGTCAATGGTATCAGAGCTCTCCACCTCCAAAGTGATCGTCTTTCCAGTCAAGGTCTTGACGAAAATCTGCATACCACCACGAAGACGGAGAACCAAGTGGAGGGTTGACTCCTTCTGAATGTTGTAGTCAGAAAGGGTGCGACCATCCTCGAGCTGCTTTCCAGCGAAGATCAAACGCTGCTGGTCTGGGGGAATCCCCTCCTTGTCCTGAATTTTGGACTTGACGTTGTCGATTGTGTCTGAGGATTCAACCTCGAGGGTAATGGTTTTACCCGTCAAAGTCTTTACGAAGATCTGCATACCACCACGAAGACGGAGGACCAAGTGAAGGGTGGACTCCTTCTGAATGTTGTAGTCGGACAGGGTGCGTCCATCCTCAAGCTGCTTACCAGCGAAGATCAAACGCTGTTGGTCTGGAGGGATGCCCTCCTTGTCCTGAATCTTCGACTTGACATTGTCAATGGTGTCAGAAGATTCGACCTCCAACGTAATGGTCTTTCCGGTAACTATCGGAACAGGTGTAAGTAAACAATCAATCACAATCGAGAACGCAGTAGGTACTTACGAGTCTTGACGAAGATCTGCATTCCTCCACGAAGACGGAGGACGAGATGGAGGGTGGACTCCTTCTGGATGTTGTAATCCGAGAGGGTGCGTCCATCCTCCAACTGCTTACCAGCGAAAATCAAACGCTGTTGGTCTGGTGGGATTCCCTCTTTGTCCTGAATTTTGGACTTTACATTATCGATAGTGTCAGAGGATTCAACCTAGAACATGACACGTTAGCTTGGTTTCAATCAGGAGGTGACGTGCCGATAAGAGCAGTATGGCCTTATCTCGCCACCGATAGCTCTCGCAGCCACGGGGACTAGATAGAGCAAATGGGTAACGAGAAGAGGAGAATAGAAGTACCTCAAGAGTGATGGTCTTTCCAGTGACTGTGACGGGCGTTAGCATCTGTCAACATGAGGATTTTGCCGGACGGAGGCGAGCGTCCGTGGCTAACGTAGGGAGCAGGGAGAGCTTACGAGTCTTAACAAAAATCTGCATGATGGTGGGTATCGAGCTTGAGAAATGAAGGAGGAGGATATATGGATTTTGTGTAGGTTTGTATCGGTGGCAACGATGGTGAGAAGAAGAGAAGGAAGAGGGGGAATAAAGAGGGGAGGGTCGTGTTAAATGTAAGCTCGGGGTGAGGTGGCCCAAACGCCAAGGATAATACTGACCTCACCTTAAGGAGCTCTGATAGGCCGAAAATGGTAACGTGCAGGTGACTCACGAGATGTGAGCGCGCTTGGCAACCGTTTATCGGTGTTTTAGGTCGTACAAAGTTAGGCTCCCAGACAGAGGCAACGTCAAGGCGGCGGGAAAGAATGTTCAAGGCTGTGGGGAAAGTCTCTGCTACTGCATGCATCTACGAAGCACTTCTTATTCTACATTGTCTCGTGGCATTTAGAAGCTCTTCAATTTCTCTGTGATTCGCAAAATAAATATTTACACTAATCAAAGCCTTGCCTGAATTCCCAAAGAATCCTCCACAAGCTTCACCGTCTCCTCCGACATTCCATAGCTTGCCTGATCTAAAAAGCATATCACATTAGCACACGTACCCCAAGTAACATAACCAGTAAACAAAGAACACAAGAAAAGAAACCTACACCCAAAACCCCCCGCACCGTAGTTATGCACTACTCTCAGTCCCCCAATAACTTCCCTCTCTACCCTTGGCCCACCTGTCCTAACCGGCCTCAACCCCACCCCATGCCTCACTACGTCCAACCCTTCGACGCCTTGTCCCTCTTTGACTAATTCTGGGCACCACTCTATTGCTCTCCTCATAATCCGCTGCGCCAGATTCATGTCGGGCTGCGATTCCCAGTTCCCCTTCTGGTAGCTTCCTCCGAGAATTGTCCCACCGCCTGCGGCCCGCGTCATGATGTACATCATGTCCTCATCGCCGTCGTCCGTCCCCGACGTTGTGTACATCGCCGGGGCGGTGTTACGGACTAGCACAATCTGCCCGCGCGCGGGGTAGACGGCCTTGTCAGCCACACCTCCGAGCTTGTGGGCACCAAGCCCTGTACAATTTACGACAAGGTCTGCGGGTTGACCAGAGGAATGCAGTGATGCCGCTTCTGAAATATGTTTCACGTTTCCACGCCTGATGGTGACCCCAGCCTTAAGGCATTGTGATGCGAGGTAAGAAAGGTATACAGGGGCATTGATGCAGACGGATTTCCACTTCGTTCCGTGAGCGACACCAGGAGGAAGCTCAGGTTGAGGGATCTCTTGGAACTAAATCACACTCTGATATCAACATTGAACTCACTGAGAAAAGGAGCTTCGATATATACCCCGGGAACTAAGTCTTTGAACCATGGTGATTGCAGGAGAAGATCATTGAAAAACTCGCTTGAGGTGCTGTCTTTCTCACGGGTATAGATAACCGCATCTAATTATATATAAGCCATTGATATGGTTTATGGTTCAAGGAAGTATGGATATTTACCCTGGACATGAATCCCAGCTTCAGGCACGCGTTCGGCCAGCCTCCAGAGCTCTTTGAATGTTACCGCATCCCAGCTCGCCGCGCGCGAGCCCCCAGCAGAAAATCTAGGAAGATTAGCTGTGAAATTCCGAGACTCTGTGAAAAGTCGCTTACGGCATAAAATTGGCACCTGCCCACGGAGAGGTGTATTCGATATCGTAGTCGCCAGGCATATGCTTCGCTATAATTGTGATATTATGGTTTCTGCAGCGGCTGAGGAGGAGAGCGGTTGTTAATCCAGCGACGCCGGCTCTAGAGAAATAATTTTAGTTCGTCTATACATCTCAAAGAGCAGGCGAATTTTATATACCCTAAGACGACTATGTTTGCGCTTGCGGCCATTATCATAAATTGTCTGGTTTGCGACTCAATTCCTATATCGAATTTTTCGTTCAATTATGGGTGGAAAGTCTTCAGCACTAAGGTGTCGAAGATAAGAATTGGATGGGGAGAAGAAATCACAAAGTATTTATTACACTAACTACACTTTTATCATAAAGGGGCGGGCACTTTACTTCGATAGGTCGGAGGGGGCGGCATCGAACTAATCAGGTTTTGACTGCTCTCGTTAGTTTCCTATCGTGGGAAGGTGCAAGCCATGTGCAAGCCCCATCAACGCCCGGACCATCATCATGCAGGAGTTACTACATATAATCGGTCGGGAGTATATTAGCGGTTACGAAAGAAATCATCCCAACTAAGCTCTCTCACACACGATTGCTGCTTCTCATACATATCGCTACATTCCGAAGGGGTGTGATCTGGCGCCGAGTGATATGCCGTGATTGATAAATATTATGGAGGGGCCAAGCATAAACGAAGAATGCTTGTATCAGTGGTGTGATCTATCAATCCCAGTCAGATTACAAGTGCATATAACTCAGGGCCCAAATAGTTCCACCCAAATAGTTCCACCCAAATAGTTCCACCCAAATACGTGTACTAGCCCGGGATTGTTACGCAGCCGAGATTTGGGCCGAGGAGATTACCTTGTTGATGATCAGGTCAGTTATACATATTGTGGCTTTATAATTTCAGAGGCGCGCGCTGGAGGAAAAGAGAGGTGGCAGAACCAACAGTTGGGACCGGCGATCATAAATACGTAGCCACAAGGGCTGGGCATAGGTCTTCTCCGTTCTTTCCCTCGTTTCACTTCTGCATCCTCTCCCAAACACATAAGGTTGGCTCTCTATATCATCTTCAGCTTTCTAAGTCTATCATAAACACGTATGATGGAATCTCACACTATTGTTTGTCACCAATTGCACCTAATGAATTAAACAAAAAAAAAAAAATCACCAATTGCACTTTAGCCTCACGAGTGATAATGCGTGAACCAGCGATACTAACAAAAATAACAGATTCTATATTACAAAGCAGAAAAATCCCAAACTTATACTTTTTCCTTGCCTTCAACGCTCATCTCCAATCATTCCAAAGGTCCCAATAAACGAAACGCCAAGAATACATCATTTATAGAGTATCCAACAATCCCTCGCTCTCCAACAACAACACAATCTGGTGGACAATATTCCTCACAGTCTGCTTGCTGGCATCAACAACCAAGTGGGGCTTGACTGGGTTTTCATATGGGTCATCGACACCAGTGAAGCCCTTGATCTCGCCGGCACGGGCACGCTTGTACACGCCCCTCTTGTCGGTCTTCTCGCAGTGCTCAAGCGGGGTCGCGACGTGGATGAGGTAGAATGATCCGTACTGGCTGATGGTCTCCTTGGCCTGAGCCCTCGAGACCTCGAATGGCGCAATAGGAGCAGCAATGACAGCGGCACCAGAGCGGGTGAGCTCAGCGGCAACGAATGCGATACGCTGAATGTTAGTGTGGCGATCCTCGCGGGAGAATCCAAGCTCAGAAGAAAGCTCAGAACGCACGGTCTCTCCGAGAAGAAGGGTGGTGGACCTTCCTCCCTGCTGGTTGAGAGTGACCTGGAGGGCACGACCAATGGCGTCCTTGCCGCTGTTGGTGAAACCGGTAAGGAAGACGGTGAAACCCTGCTTGTTGCGGGGCGGGTGGCTCTCACGGAGAACCTTGACAACCTCGGGGTATGAAAACCACTCAGGGATCTGAGTGCCGGTACGGAGACGGCGACGGAGCTCGGTTCCGGAGATGTTGAGGGTCTTGGTTCCAGGCTTGATCTCGTCGACAGGCGCGTACTCGTCGGTGTCGGGGAGATAGGTCATCATCTGGAAGGGAACAACCTCGATTCCAATTTCTTCCTTGTACTTCTCCACGGCGTGCTGAGCGTCATAAGGTCCGTAGAACTCAACGCCCTTGCTGTTGGATCCAGGTCCAGCGTGGTCACGACCGACAATGAAATGGGTCGCTCCGTGGTTCTTACGGATGATGGCGTGCCAGATGGCCTCGCGGGGACCGCCCATACGCATAGCGAGTGGGAGGAGACCAAGGACGGCCATACCGTTGGGGTATCTAGGAAGGAGGGCCTGGTAGACACGGACACGGGTGAAGTGGTCGATGTCACCGGGCTTGGTAAGGCCAACAACAGGGTGGATGAGGACGTTAGCCTGGCGGGTGCGGGCTGCGCGGACGGTCAATTCACGGTGAGCGCGGTGCATGGGGTTTCGGGTCTGGAAAGCGACAATCTTGGACCATCCGAGCTTCTCAAAGTGAAGACGGAGCTCGGCAGGAGTGTCTATGTTTTGCGACATCAGCTTCCGGATCTTCAATGATGGATAGGTATGTTATAAACTTACATCTCAAACCGACATAGTCGTAGTGGCTAAGCCTCTGGATAGCTTGGACCTTACCACCAATGTAAAACTCCTTTGCGGTCTTGTACAGGTAGGCAATTGCAGGGTGCTCATCATCACCACCAAATACCAACTTGGCCTCCTTATCTCTACACACATTATTAGCGCCGCTCGACAATTTAGAAAGAAAAAAAAGGAAAGCTTACTTGTCAGGCCTGTAAACATCATCAACGGTAATGATAGCTAAATGGCGATCATCACGGAAATCTCTAAGTGTAACGCGAGAACCTGGCTTAATCGTAGCCTCGTCGATCTGTTCCTTAGAGACGTCAAGAGTGATCGGCATGGAGAACAAGGTACCGTCTGCGATACGCTCATTCTCAACTACACCGTTGTAGTCCGCCTCGTTCATGAAACCTAACCAATGAGCCCCAAATATACAAAAGAAAAAACGATCATTGACACAGGCAGTTGCATACCCTCCAAAGGAGAAAATCCTCCGTTCATGATCAGTTCCAAATCACATAGCTGTCTCTCGGTCAAGACAATTGACGGCAGCGTCTCACTCTCGGCGAGAAGCTCCTGGTGCTTGGGGAGATCCCTAGCGATCAAGTCCTTCAATACACCACCATGAGGTTCAGGAAGTCCAGCCATTTTTATTCTAAAATATGTGGTTTATTGGATTGGAAAAAGTTGGAGAGGTAGATCGATAGGTGTGGAGAATGAAAGAAGGAAAGGAAGAAAGGAAAGAAACAGAGAAAAAAAGAGGGGGAATAAAAAGAGATCCCAGGGTAGTAATAATTGCATGAAACTACCGATTAGTTCCGGCGGGCCCTATACGCGGGAATGACATTTAGGCCATCAAATAACCCCCCCAAACTACGGTAGTCTAAATGACGTGCTTTTTGAGGCTGATTAGTTTTTATCCAAGTCTCTTGGCCTTAGCTTCCTTTACTTTCTATCACTATTTTCGGGTCGTTGTCTTGGTTACAGAGTTTCATTTTGTTGCGACATACAAAGCCATATGATATGAGTAGGAAAATTTTCTAGTGGGGGAGAGATGGCGGGGTGGTTGTAACCTGCAGGAATAGATGCGATGGCATCATCGGGATTGGAGGACGTTGATTTGAAGAAAAGATACTACAACAGACCGTTATCTGCTCTATCGGAAGGGGAAGCGCAATCAATCAAGCCCTAGATAGATCCTGATCTAGTCCCTGAGTTCCACATTTGAAGGGCATCTGCCATTTTCCCCGGAGAGGGCCCCGGACCCTTAGGTATTGCGGTATTGATAAGCAGGTGCGCCAAGAATTTAATATCAGTAATCTGATCAATCTGATTGCTTGATAAGAAACCGTTGGCCCGTGAAACTATCAATCCAACCTACTGTCACTCGCCGCCTGCGGACGTCATTCCACCAGGCCTCTTTAACAGAAACACCCCAGAATACCCCATCAAGCCCTGTAAAACCATGGCTGATACCGCATTCCGTGCCCGGTCTTTGGTAACTCCCCCCGCACCCCGCACCCCGCCACCCCCACCTGCATCTAGAGTAATTGCCATATGTCCGCTAACATTCAGGAATTAACCAACCCGCAGTACCGCAACCTCCTGCGATTTAGTAACCGTTTCGCGGCATACAACTTTCGCGAATATGCCAAGCGCCGCACGAGAGATGCGTTCCGGGCCAACCGCGGGGAGACAGACCCTGGCAGGATAAATGAGATGCTGCAGAGAGGATTGAAGGAGCTGCAGGTTGTCAAGGTATGGGAGCTACCTGTGAGGTGGTTGCGTGTTGGGAGTGATACGGGGTGGCTAATTGAGCGGCGCGAATAGAGACAGACGGTTGTTAGTCAGTTCTTTCAGATGGATAGACTGGTCGTGGAGGGACAGGCTTCGGTATGTTGTGGTGTTCCCTTTCCCGGTAGTGGGTGGGTGGGGGGGTGAGAAGCGGTGGTGGGAGGTAAAGAGGCATTGACTGACGGGTGTGTGTGCTGTAGGGAAGGCAAACTGGTGGAAGGGGCGACATTGTCAGGCAAAAGGATACTGGGTAGGCTTTCCCACCTATGAGACATCAACTCTCACCCGTCTTTGAGTTCCTGGGCACTAATTTTTCTACAGTTGGAACTAGACAATTTTCTACTACTACAATTCGAACCCTTCCCTCTTCCTTTTGAAGGGGGTTTTCCTATTCTATCTTATTCCCCTCTACTCTAAAACCAATCCATCTCTACGAATGTAGGTAGCCAGGACCTACAATGCGATACAGGCACTGTATGATATGAGCTTGGCTGTAAAATATAAAATGTTATGTTGCTGTTTCAATGGGTTCTTTTCTCGGTTTTTGTTAATCGATGTGATCGCTACTAAGCCTTGTAGCGGCTAGATGTAGCGACTCCGTGGGACTTTTGGCTCCATAGATATAGGCCGAGGATATAGTTATCGTTAAAGGTGGTTTTGTACTGTGGCCTCGGCGGATCCTGGGTGGTCATGTCAGGATGGGCAGTTATGGGCTTAATTCTATAGCTGCGATCATCTTCTCTCATCCTTTCTATACTATTTCCGCATTTCTCTTCCACTATACTATGTCTATTGAATTCTATGCCTTTCCGACTTGTACGTATATACGTATACTATGTACATGTAGCTGTTACATCAGAACTGGAAATCTAGTTGCCAAGGTGTAAGGTGGTCTTGGTAGCTTAGCCAGACGTGTCACCTTTCTATGCATAAGTAGACAAGCTTTCATCGATCCTCCGTCATCATCATATATTACAACCATCCATATTCCGATTACCATTAATTCCATTGCTACACATGGGACTAGTTTTTTTTAACAGTCGCTGTATTATCCAAGCATGCTGCTCCCCACCAGAAAGCTTTCAAGTCAATTGAACTGCAGCTAGATGCAACTCCCAGATACCCCTACTTTAATTCCAGCACATACTCCTCCTCGGCGCACATCGAATTCGAAATCTGCACTCTTCCTGCGAGGATCCAACCAGGCCGGGTAACACAGGCCACATCACGTGCACTCAGCCAGCCTTCTCAGTTCGTCGCGACGTCTCCCGCAGGCAACAACGGACATCGCGCGTTTGCCCACGAAACACTTGGGAGAAGAGGTACAGACAGCTGCACAGCGAGCCATTCGGTCACGACAGCCCCCTTTGAACAAAACTAACAACTATTCTTCCCGCCATATTATATTACCAGCAAAGCCCCCTTCTCCAGTACACGCGTAATAACAAAATTTAACTCCCAATTATGCCTGCCCGTATCTCTTTTGTACGCTCCCCCCCCCCTTCACAGCTCTCCCTCGACCCACAACTAATCTAGCCACAGTACCGTCCCACCGGCCAGTCCCGCCGCCAAGCCCGCTCCGCCCACGACCACGACGTCTTCGAGGGCCTCCCCGTCCGCCGCTGGTCCCGCGACTGGGTCTCCGTCGGCAAGTCGCAGCCCCCGCCGCCCCCGCAGCCTGAGCTACCGCTCCCCAAAGAAACCCACCTCCTCCAACCCATGTCGCAGGCGCTCCTACAAGCCGCGCGCTCCTCCTCCTCAACCACACCTAAGCCCGTCCCTGCCGCGCCCAGCCCCCCCGGCGGACGCAGGTTCATGACGAAGCGCTGGGTGCGCATCGCGCGAAACATGGAGGGGCCTGAACCCGTCTACCTCGCGAAGGTGCCCGACCGCCCGCGCCGCCGCGGTGAGGAGGTGGTCGAGGTGGTGCAGCAGCAGCAGCAGCAGCAGCCGACAGCGGCGACAAGGCGGCGCGTGCCGCCGCCGAAGAGAAAGGCGAAGCCAAGGGGTAGGAAGCCAGGGCCGAAAAAGACGGTGAGCTTTGCCGAGGAGCGCTTGAGGACGTTTCCAATTATGGTGCCACATAATTCGGATCCAAGGGCGCCCGGGGGACCGAACCCGCCGGATACGGTGATGGTGGATGCGGCGCCTGTGGTGGTGGTGGAGGACGAGGTGAAGGGGGAGGTGGGGGAGGAGAAGAAGGAGGAGGAGGCGGGCAGGAAGGAGCATCCGTTGCCGCCGAGGCCGGCGGGACTGCCACCGAAGCCGGTGGGGGCGGCGGATTTGGGGGCGAAGTAGACATTGGGTCTCTGGGAGACTGTTTGTTAACCATTTCTTTTTTTTTTTTTTTTTTTTACTTCCGCTTCCTTTTCTTTTAGAGTCTAATAAGTAGTTATGGAACTCTTACAATAGCAATATATGCCCCTTTTCTTTCTTCCCCCTTGTATTTTTCTGAGTCTTTTCTTTGTATCTGGGGCTGGCTGGCTTTGCTGGTTGGGTAGTTGTGGGGATTTAGTTTCTATAAACTAGTAGCTTAGAAAAATCTTACGTGCAATCGACTTTTATCTTGTTGAACATAAATAAGTTGTCGAAAACTTGGCCGGGGCCTTGGCAGGCGCTGCTTGAAGAACTATCATTGACCCTCATGAAATTTATGGGTGTTGAGATGAGTACTCTCGAACCCCATGGGAACAACTAGCCCATCTACAGTAATAAAGAGATGGGTCCAAAAGACATCCATCAGAAGACAGAAGACACTGTAAACATATCCCGTGAGGACGACGCATACTAGCCGTTGAGGTGGTGATGTAGATGGCTCTGTGGTCACCTAGATACGATAGCTATAGCTAGTAAATTTTCTGCCCTTCGATTCTGCTGCCATGTCTTCATAACCCCCACCAGCTTACCCCTAACCCGACATCAGTAGCAGCAACACCAAGCACGGAATACAGGTTCAATCTACTCAAAGATGTTGATTGTGGTCACGTCAGTCATTGCGGTGGTGGCCATGGATGTTAACAATTGCAATATTGTTAAACGTTCCACTAGCTATGTACTTGTAGTCTGGACGTTCTTCCAAACTATCTGTCCTTTTGCATTAGAGGTATTGGCCTCTAAACTGCTCTCTCCCCCTTTGCCTTCTACTCATCGGTTCGTGCAGTACATTCGCTACGGTTCTTCACGTTGCTCCACGTGCAAAGATCGTCTCTGGGAACAAAAGACACGGACACTCACCGCCCATGTGCCGGGGCTCCTTGTCTTGTCTCTATGAGCTAACCCATGCGACGCAAGCTAGGGTCCTGCTTCACCGAACCAGAAGGCATGGCGCCGCTCGTGGTCGGCGGGCGGGCGGGGTGTTCGTGTATGGGGACCAGAGCAGCCCCAATCCCCCCCGTCTGGTGGGCGGTTTTCCACGCGCCGCCGGACTATTAGCTAAAGGGCGCCCCTAGTTTTTTTTTTTGTAGGCTTAAGGCTGGCCACAACTGGATAGCGGGCGTGTGGTAAGTGTTCACTGTGTTGACTACGCGGCATGTAGATTACTTCCCCCAATACATGGACATTCTGCCACGCAAAGCCACGGGTGCCGGAAACAGGCGAAGGGATGGCGCTTAGTGGTGGGTAGAGAATCACGAGCCCGAAGCCCCATTGTAGCTTCACGTCTTCCGGTATGGGGGGTGGGGTACTTTATGCTGCGTGTACATAAGCTTAAAAGCCTGGTGCAGCTCGGCCCCAAACCTAAGCCTTATGGCCTGGATCGGCCATTAGTTGCAACCCTACAATGACTTGAACACTTGGACCGCGGCGCGTGAGACGGTCTTTCTTGATGAATAGTAGGCTGTTGGGGGGTGTGGAAGATGAGAAGGCTGCCAGATTGTGGTGTTCGTGGGTCGAGTGCCAAGATCATGTGCAGATTATCATTGACCATGGGTCGGTCTGGCTGAACCGTAACTCGGAGGATTTCTAGAATGCAGTGCTTAGGGTTTTTAAGCTCAAATTAACCCGATTGTTTATTCACAAGAGTTATACAAGAGTTATCATGGGCACGATGTTTATTTGAAAAACTTTTATATAGCCAGCTATCCCATGGACCGTAACCTAACGATTTGGGGACATATTTGTCCTTAATTTACCTGTTGACAACAATGAGTAGGGGATATTTCCTAACTACATTTGTCAATATCAGCCTGTTTTCGGGAGCTAGTAGAGTGACATAGATAGGTATTTTGGGACTGTTTAGAATCAATGATTTGCTCCCTCCTGGTGGCTTTATCTCTTATAGAGTAAACCCTTTTTTTCCCATACAAAAACCGGAAATTCACATATATCACAATAACTTCGCAACCACAGCCACTAAGAACTAGCTCTTTTTTATATAGTTGATTTAGGGCTATATGCTCCTGGTTTCAGAAAAACAGACCTATACAGCTGCATTCCCATTTTATATTAACCATTATTGTTTACATATTTTTATGGGAATTATGCAGAATATGGCTCTATAGAATTTTTTGGAGTAACGTCATCATGTAATTCAGTATCGCCACAGTGCAAATAATACTTCTATGTAGTTACAATATTTTTCGTCTGTAATTTCTACTATTTTACCCCAAGGGTGAACTTCGATATATTAACTGAGTAGGCAATATCATTCTACATACAGTTCTAAAGCATTCAAGCAAGATGGCTGCAGAATTTGTATGGGTTGGGGACTTTTTATTGCAAAAAATCACTCCTATCACCATAGTTCATCAAATAAAACAGAAAAAAGAGGGGTTTTCAATCATATTCAGATTTGTTACCACCTGTCATCCAAGCATCCTACAATACACACATTAAAAAAATCACTTTCCCCACTAAATTTTGATAGATACAGTCGAAGGGCTAACCATGATAACACAAAGGATATTGTGTGGTTGCGATTTCGAATCTTTTTACGTCGTTACGGTCCATGGGATACCAACGATAGTTTCGAGCACGGTTACGTCTTGTAGCAGCTACCCTACCTATTTTTTTTTTTTCTACTCTCGCAAGCACAACTAATTTGAAAGAAGAATAGAACAACGAAGAAGACGAAACAGAGGAGAAATCAGCCAACTACAGTAACCAACAACATTCCGGCACCCCCAAAGCAAGCAAGCGTCCTTAGCCACCACTCCCACGGATGCTATCCAGAGTCCCCAACCTCCTCCCCGTCGCGCCCGGCGCCATTCTCCCGGGCCCGCCCATCCCCGCGACCCCCGGCGCAACCGGACCCTTGTCCTTCCTATTGACATTAAACGGCGACTCCTCTGCCGCGGTCACCGGATCCAACTAATCCGCACCGGCACCCATCCATCAGCGCGCCTCATTCCCCTCGCCACCACCGGAAGAGGTAACTTACACTAAACAGGCTCATAAAGTACAGCCCAAGGAACACCACAGCCGCATTCACCCACCCGCGCATCTGCGCGCCCACAGGGACGCCCGCGACAACCTGGCCATCCCTCACATAGGCCGGCTTCTTGGCAGCGGCCGACGCCGAGCTAGAGCCGAGGGTGTAGCCCTTGCCGGAGGTTGCGAACGTGGCGGCCGCAGACTTGGCCTCGGCGGCGTACTTCTCGACGGCGGTGGTGAGGCCACGGACGTCGGCGCCTTGGACGCGGGCGACTTCTTGGCGGTTCTTGAAGATCAGAAACGTGGGCATTCTAGTGTCGCTAGTCAGTGGTGAGGTGGGTGGGAGTGGGAGTGGGAGTGGGGGGAGACGGACGCTCGGACGCCGTATTGGGCGGCGATCTCCTGGGCGGCGTCGACGTCGCACTTTGTGAACGCGACCTTTGAGGGCGCGGCGTGCTTTGCGGCGAGGGACTCGAAGGTGGGTGCGATGGCCTTGCAGGGGCCGCACCAGGTTGCGTGGACTGTGTGTGGTGGCATGCTGGTTAGCTCTGTTTGGGTAGGAGGTGGTAGGGGGAGGAGGGTGAGAGAGGGGAGGGGAGGGGAGGGGAGGAGAGTAAGGAGGTAGGTAGGTAGGTAGGTAGGTAGGTAGGTAGGTAATAATCGGGAGAGCCTACAGTCAATGATGACGATCACATTCTTCGAGAGGGTTGTTGAGAGCTGCGAGAGAGAGCTGAGGGTTTCGATTTTCGCCATTTTGCTGCAAAGAGGTGAGAGAGGTTGAGGTGTGGAGGTGTGGAGGTGTGGAGGTGTGGAGGAAGCTCTTCTTCGTAGCTTGCTCGCTCAGGACGTTGTCCAAGAGCCGGGGCGTTGCCGGGGGGGCGCACGGTGGTTGCGTGCTTATTTATGCAGACGTAGACTCAGGACATTTGTCAGGAGAGTGGGGTTAGGGTTGCGCGACACGCACAAACGATCCCTGCGCGGAACACACCTCGCCTGCCGATCATGTGATTTCTCTCCTGCGACACAAGCAGGTGCGGGTCTGTTTGAACTACATCACACCCACTGCCAGTATAAGTATACACAAAACACACACCCCGGAATAGCCGCAGCTACGATTGCAGTTCCCAATGGCTGATCCCGTCTCTAAGGTATGTACCTGCTCACACTCCCCAATTGCAATATTTGCTATATAAAAAGATGCCTCTACTCACTCCACCCCCAGAAACGCAAAACCTCCCCCACAAGCACCACAACCCCCGCCGCAAGCAGCAGCAGCAGCAGCAGCAGCAGCGGGCGAACATACACCCTCTCCATCGCCGTCCCCAGCACCCTCCTGTCCACCGCCCCCAACCCAGTCCTCAAAACCCACCTCGCCGGCCACCTCGCCCGCATCAGCGCCCTCCACAACGTCGACGAGATAGTCCTCTACACCCCCACCCCCACCCCCACCCCCTCCCCCTCCTCCTCCGACACAAAGGAAGACGACCAACTCCCCCACATCCTCACCTACCTCGCAACACCCCCCTACCTGCGAAAACACCTCTTCCCGAAACACCGCCACCTCCGCCACGTCGGCCTCCTCCCGCCCCTCGACCTCCCCACGCACCCGCGCCCCGGCGCACCCGCCCCCTTCCGCCGCGCCGTCGCGCTCGAAGCGCGCCCTGGCGGGAAAGTGGCCTTCGACGCCGGCCTGGAGCAGCCCGTCGTCATCGCGAGTGAGGTGGAGGTGGGCACGACGGCGCTCCTGCGCATGGGCGGCGGCGGCGGCGCAGTGGAGGCCCCGCCGCGCCGCGGGCGCGGCACGTATGTTGGGTACGAGGTGCGCGGCGCGGAGGGGCTGGCGGCGGTGTTTACGGAGTGCGGGTGGGAGGGCGGGTATGATCTTACTGTTGGGGTGGCGTGTGGTGGTGGTGGGGTGCCGCTGGATGAGGCCGTGCGGGATGGGGGGGCGGTGCCGGCGTTCCGGCATTTGCTTGTTGCGGTGGGGGATTTGGAGGGTGCGGCGAGGGGCGATGCGGGGTTGGTGGGCGTGGGGGTGGGGGGCGCGAGGGAGCTGTTTGATCTGTGGGTGGACCCGCTGCCGGGGTGTGGGAGTGCGGGTGTGAGGGTTGAGGAGGCGCTGTTTGCGGCGTTGGTGGGGCTGAGGAGGGTGGTGGTGGAGAAGGGGGTGAGGTAGGTAGGGGGTCGAGTGAGGTGTGGTGATGCGGGATGGGTTTCGATAGATACCTTTTTTTGGTGTTTGGTTTTGTGGCGGTAATTACGGCTGGGTGGTGGGTAATCTTTAATAGCTAGTGTCGATGGTGCCTACCAATCAAGCTATGGATTGTCATTGGTGGTACATATTCCTTCACCTGCTAAAAACAGTTTATGCAAATTCCATTTGAATCTTGATTCTCATTAGAGTGTTTTTAGTTTAGTGAATCTCTGCACTCCATTCTCCGGCCCTATTTTTTCCCCGTAAAACGGTGTGTCGCACGCGGAAACATGGGCCAAAATATGGGCAGAGATATGGCTACTAAACCCCTCTATCCCGCGGAGCCAACACCACAAAAGACTCCAATTTCCTCCCCCCCAAATCACACGACTTCTCATACTTGCTCACCAGCGTCCCCACACTAGCATAGACCCCATCCCTATCCCAGCTCCTCCTCAGCCCCATCCACCCAATCACCTGCCCGCTCTCCCAGTCCTCGCGCTCCACGCCGACGGCCGCCAGGTGGAAGAACACCTTGTGCCTCAGCAGCGCGTTCCCGCCCACCATGACCTTGCGCCGCATCAGCCAGTCGCAGTTCTGCAGGTCGTGCCCCCATAGCAGCAGCAGGTCCGGATACAGCGTCTCGAACGCCGTCGACCACCGCGGCCAGCACACGTGGTGCTGGAAGTGCCGGCTGGCGGTCATCAGCCGCGCGTGCAGGTGGAAGTCGGACAGCTGCTGTGACGTGAGCGGGTTGCGGAGCGAGAAGGCGCGCACGCTGTCGTAGCCGAAACGGTAGGCTAGCAGCCACGAGGCGAAGAACAGCGCCAGCGTCGGGAGGGCGGCTGTTGGCGGGGGGAGCACGGCCTGGAGCGCCGGCGGGAGCGCTTTGGGGGTTCCTTGTTTCTACGGGTGGGGTGGGTAGTTAGTAGCAGCTTGAGAGCGGAGGTGTAGGTGGCTAGGTAGCTGGCTAGCGACTTACAGCGATCCGCATGCAGTCGTTGAAGAGGTGCTCGTAGTCGCAGAGTTTCCTGGCGTCGTCCCACTGCATTTTGAAGGGGGTGGCTAGATCCCGTTGAAGCCCGGCGATGTCGGTGATTGTACCAGCTGCGTCGTGGTGCCGCCGGTAGACCAGAACTTCTTTGGCGATCTCCCAGGCGCCACTCTCGACCAGTTTCCGAACGAGGCGGCTTGCGCTTAGGCTGGAGAAGGGTCTGTAGGGCTCCGTGTACGCGCATGGCCCCGCGACGAGGGAGCGCAGCTCGAAGATGTCGCCGCAGCAGGTGTATTGGTCCATGAGATCTCCCGAGGGCCACATCCTGGGGAGGTAGGCTGTCTGGCGGGATAGGTGGTGGTGTGTGGTCCTGCGGGGTGGCTGCTGCTTCCCGGTGGGCTGCTGGTCGGTGGAAAGGGAAATGATTGGATTGACGGGATTCGTTGGAGTGGGCCTGAGTGGGCCTGGATGGCCAGAGCTTCGAAAAGGAATCCCCACAGTATGGCCAGAGAATAGCTCTATTGCCAACAGACGGGATTGCCTAATGACGGTAATTTGATGGGTTGAGATTCATCGATCGTTTAGTGGGGCGGGAAGAGGGTGTATATACAATCCCCGTCCTCGAGGGGGCTTGGCCCGATAGCTGTATGTACTTGCGTTGCTATGTCTGCGTGTGTTTTTCTATTTTTTCTTTCTTTCTTGCCGTGCATGCGATCTATAAATCAATCCATTAGTACCAACAGATCTAGAATTGAAAACGCAATTTCAGTTACTCATCAAGAACCCCCTTAAAGGCCCAGAATTAAACACCGCCACCAATTGATGGACATTATCCAGTATGCTATGTGGATTTAAATTCCGGCAGTATTCCTAACGGTATTGTTGGCAGTGCTATAAAATAAAGGCCTGCCTAATGTTTTCTGTGGACATACGTATATACATGTAGTTAGCTCAACTTTGGCCCGAGCAGGACGAGCCCGAGATCTTACGGGCTAGCTCTATTGCAAACTGGGATAGTGAACTGGTCTCCGAAGCCGCTACATACGTATATCCAAAACGCTGTTCCGTTAAAACCATCAAATCGCAATATTGTAATCAAACCCCATCAGAATACCCCGACCCCAATTTGTGTCCGGTTCGAGCGTGAGTTACATCGAGACAGCCAGCCGGAGGAGCTCATGGCCGGCCACCATTAGGATTGGGATATTCGGTATCTCGATCTTTGGAGCTAAAAGAAGATTTTTCCTGAGATCAAGACGAAAGATTGATATTTTCCAGTCTTGCGTTTCATACCTGCACGACGAAAACCCGTGATGGAGGTGATAGGGCCGCTCAGCTGTGGTTCAAGTTGATCAGGGCTTGAGTATCAGCGAAATGATGCTCATGAGGATTGAAGATTGATGACTTTACTAAATAAGTATACATGTATGTATGACCAGTTCTGGCTACGGTGGCGTCGACTTGAACTTAATTTCCACTACACAGATCGATATTTTTTTCGCCGGTTGCATTAGTCCACACTGTTTTGTACCACCTTATCTGAGAAATGGTGTTTGTATCACAGATACAAAAAAAAAGAAAAAAAAGGGGGGGAAACAAACGCGAAGCCCGGTACAAGAGCAACCGGCTGGTACCTTGATGAGTGTTGCATCATGCAATATCACTCGGAACAGCACTGACCCCCAGGTCAAAGAACCCGATAGGCTACAGTCTTTAACTGCCCTCAAGACTCCTATTGGCCCAAAAATTCGCATACTCAACGCATGTACCAGTAGCGCTGTAAACTCGTAATAGTAGATTATACTAACGGATAAATAAACCAGGCGCTCTAGATTGCAGATACTTCTCCGAATCTAGAGCAACCTTTAATATTGCTCTAGATAACAGGAGTACAGAAATCACCATCTTATTCTAATTCGAAACAATAACCATAGATCCCGAAACTAAAGTACACATCTGTAAATCAAGTGTTGAACAAAGTCGACAGAGCAGCTACCCCCCAACCTAAGCCCACGAATTCTAATTGCAACCCACCAGGATTGCTAAAAACCTCTACAAAATGACAAAAACTCAGGCAAAATGTGTTAAACAATCATGATATCTAGCCCCCCAAACAAAAAAAGAAAAAAGAAAAAAAAAAGAGACAAGATGTATACAAAAGGAAGAGAGGCGAGAAAACCCTGCCAATTAATAAAATATGAATCAATACCCAAGTCTAGGCAACTAGGCATCGACGCTCCCTAGCTCCCCGTCCCTAGAGGCCTCTAGGGCAGTTGCGTTCTTGCTAGCCCTCTTCTTGAGAACGTTTTCGATGAAGGCCTCTCCCGCCTTATAGCTACTTCTAACCAACGGCCCACTAGCGACATAGAGGAAGCCCATATCTAAGGCCTTAACTCGCCATTTCTCAAATGCTTCGGGGGTGATGTATTCGGTCACTTTCATGTGACGCTTTGTAGGACGCATGTATTGACCGAATGTAACAACGTCTACGTCAATATTTCGGAGCTCTAACTGTGGTATTAGCATACATCCCAAGGAATATGTGTGGCAAAGCAAACCTTTAAGAGCGTCCATAAGTTGCTCCTCAGTTTCGCCCAACCCGAGCATGATGCTTGTCTTGGTGATTAATCCCTCCTTGCTGGCCTTTGCCGTCTCGAGCACCTTCAAACTCTGCCTGAACTTTGCTCTTCGATCCCTTACAAAGGGTGTAAGCTCCTCTGTCGTCTCGATATTGTGCGCATAAACGTCAAGCCCAGACCTGGCAACATGAGCCACGGCCTCTAGATCACCCATAAAATCACCAGTCAACGCCTCAACAAGTATATGCGGTGCCTTGCTCTTGATCTTTGAGATTGTTTCTGCGAAATGGCGGCTTCCACCATCAGCAAGATCATCACGATCAACCGAGGTCAAAACGACGTATCCGAGGCCCCAGCGCGAGAGTGCTTCTGCTGTATGTTCAGGTTCGTGTGGATCAAGTGGAGGAGGACGGCGAGATGTTTTAACCGAGCAGAAGCGACAGCCACGGGTACATGTATCACCCATCAACATTATCGTAGCGGTAGCAGCTGATTTATCGGAGCCGCCCCAGCAGTCAGAGATGTTAGGACATCTTGCTTCTTCGCATACTGTTTTTTGGGGGAACAATTGTTAGCGCTCAAAGACCAAACTATGAGATTAGATGATGAATTATGCAATACCAGTATGTAGGTTCAACCCCCGCAGATCCTCTTTAATCTTGTTATAGTTCGATCCCATTGGCACGGAAGTCTTGAGCCAATCAGGCAGTCTGACAATTTCTTTTCCATTTTTATCGAGTGCAGTTCGGACTCCCTTGGGTGATTCAGCTTTAGGGTCTATGGCTAAAGCTTCCTCGACAGACAAAATTTCCTCCTTTCCAACAACAAAATCTGCAAACGAAGGTCCGGTATTAAGCTTGTCGGTGAAAGTTGTGGGCTTCCGTCTGGTAACACCCTCTGGGCCAGTCGCTGTGGCAAGGGACCGAGATAGTGCTGGAGCAAGGAATAGAGGGGTTTCGACGTAACGAAAACGAGAGGCAGCCCTCAGGACTGTAGAGCACTTTAATGAAGCCATATCATATATATTGAAGAAGGTATGGGGTGGGGATAAATCCAAACTTAAAGTCGTGATGTGTGGCAAAGAATTATCTTTCGCAGCGGCTAGCAATTGCAATTTGCAATTCATAACCGACCACTGGACCATAGCCGATTAGTCAATCGGAGGGTCTGGAGCCGGGTAACATTATGCCTAGCTTTCCCGACAATAAGCTTTGTTAAGCCGCAGATCCTCTGGTACCGTCTCCGTGGTCCCGGTAAGATGTCCCCCTGTTTCTTCAAACGCACATATCAGGCCACATACGTCCAGCCAACAAAAAACGCATTGATAAAAACATAATCCTTCTCATTCGATTCGATAGTAATTCAGATGATTTATTTGAGGAAGTGGCAACCCTTCTTGCGATCCTGGATTGACTACTAAATCCAGAGAATTCCTCTCATGAGGGTCTACAGGATCCAACGTTCCCTGGAATTATTCACCAAGAAATTAGACAACATTGAAAACTATCGACACCGCCATCACGACCGAGAAGCCATAGGAATTTTTGTGGACCCTTCTGTTTATTCTTTCAAATATCTCGACTTCACGGATTTTCTGAGTATGCACCAACAGACTTTGGCGAGTTATAACTGCCAGCACGATCATGAACGCCACCCGCTTTCCTTAGTATTGGGAGAATTGTTTAAGCCCCCTGGAACCGGAACTGGAAGTAAAATTTCATTGTCGCCAAATCTACCACAAGAATAAAGTCTCCTAGCCTGTGACTAATATATTATGGACTGCAATATTTGTCATATACATACATGTGCAGATCATAGGCGTATGGTTGACTCAGTAATATCTATTTACGTCTATGGTTTCACATGTGGGATAGTTCTCCTGCATAGCCAGAAGAAGTGTTTGGGCCAAATAATATATTCACCAATCTTTTTAACCAGTCCCCAAGCCATACCCTATTACAAGGACATTGGCCAAGCATTTGAAACATTTGAGACTTCCGGGGAATAAACACTGGGAAATGGAGGATGAAAGCTAAGAAGAAGCGAGGCGGGTTTGAGTCTACCATATAGGTAATCTTGGTGAGTTCCTTCATGATTTGGCTATCGATTGAGTCGGCGAGTAGTTGATTAATGGCCAAAGGAGAAACTGTACGAGCTCTCAGGAAAAGTCGAATCACCTACCTTGAAAAGTCGATGCAACTGTCTGCAAGACGAGCTCATTGATTCCTCTTCGTTCAGGTAGGATCTCGCCTATGTATGCTAAATCGAACCGCCAAAAGGGGGCATTAAGTAGAGCCACGTGCATGAAAGGCCGTGTGGCCTTTTGAAGGTCTTTCCTGCAAGAAAAAAGGGTTCATGCTGAAATCTACATACATACAGGTTAGAACTCGAAAAGTGGGAAATCCACACACACACACACACACAAGTTTATGAAAAGAAAGAAAAAAAAAGAGGTCAGTTGGAAATCCTACAACTCACAGTATTGTGAACATATTTATTCAGGAACAATATTCTTAAGTGCAAACCTTTGTAGGCCGGCTTGTAATTATCCCAATAAATTAGATGATCAGGACCACTCACCAGTCAGACAACAAAGATTAATCCAAATATGTATGCTGTACGCACTTGTGGCCCACGATGTGAGTGGTTACAAAGGTCAGCACTAGTCGCCTTTAGAAGCATATTGACTGACTCGGCCCACAGCTAGGCCTCATTCCCCCTCTAACAAATTAACTACAGGATCATAACTAAAACGAGTGAGGAAATCTACCACTCATAAAAATAACGGTTAGGACCTCAATTCCTACCATCTATTCACCTAAAGAATATCAGCAAATAAAGCACCGACAAGCGATGATTATCTTAGTTTATGGCAGGATAGCATCCTCACGAGATTAAAGGAAAATGCACTGAGTCCCTCGGCTTTGATAATAGTCCACGGAGCGAGTAATTATATCTAACCATTGTGAGCACCCTCTCCACTCACTTACACCGCCTAGCTTCTTGGTATCGCGCCGGCATGGATGTACTATGTAATTGTAGCCCGTTTCGAATTGGTCGAGAATTTCGATGATAATGTGATTAAGCATAGGTAGGCCTAAGAGCATTACATACAGTCATTTGGGAAAGTATGGTAAATCCGTTCTAGGTTATAATTTGCTTTTTGGATCATGTTTAGTACTTATGCGTTGTTCAATAGGCCTCACCAGTCAAGACGCATGCTCCAAAAATTCAACCACTGATTTAATATTATCCAGGGCAAATCTGTTCTCTTCACCAGATTCCACGTCCTTGCCCATTCGCTCGCTATTGACAACACTAACCATGACATGAAACTGGTGTTCCACACCTGGGCTCGACATAAATTAACGCACGTGAGTCGAAATTGCATTTTTCAGTCGATGTTTCAAGTGCAAGAAGTCCACCCATAGTGCAATACCCCTGGAACGAATACAGTCGGTAGCAAAAGTGAATCAAAGACTTTCTTGAGTAGGGCGGTACATGTAGTACGTTGCTTGGGTAGAAATTCCGGTTCTCCTTACGTACATGTACTTATGAGGCATAGGTAATGGAATGGTTCATGCACCCTGCCCACCTGCACCATTTTTCAAAGGCAGTGTGAGCTACACTGTAATGACATAGCTCAATAATTACCCGAAAAAATGTTTTGTGCTTCAACAGGGCTAGGCCAACCAGCGGCAGTCTTGGACGTCAATCCTACAAAAATTTACGGCACATACCGCACCACACACTTGAGCATGATAATTCGAGTGATTTTATATGACGTGAAGATCCCGGATTTCAAGGAAATAATGTTCGTTCATAAATAGATATCTATTGTACTAATCACATGCAGCATATGCCATCTCGTTTTCAACTGAACGGCCTACACCTGATTGTATGTGATGAATAAGGTATGAACCCAAAAGATTTCCTCGTCCTGGGATTATATCTATAGGGAATTCCCATAGCTACCACCAGGAAAAATATGTAGGTAAAAATAACTTCGGCCAATATAGTCTTGAATAATACTACAACTCGCAGCAACTCCCGACGAAAGTCACCTCTAGCAAGTTCGCTCAGATTGTTGTCATGGGCTAACGCCACACGATACTCTAGATCAAGCGAATGGGTATAATTCATTGACCGTGATAGGTCGCCGAATTTGTATCGGACCATTGGATCCGTTTTTTCCGGATTCCGCGTTTTCGGCAGGAGCATGGAAAATGTTCCATTCACGGAAGAACTGGAACGGCAATACCGCTTGCGATCCCGATCATCGATCTCGCATCGCTATTCGATACTACTCCTCCTCTCCTCTCCAACTTTGCTAGCTTTCCTAAAAGCGGACCGCGCAGGGTCTAGAACGTGTTAGACCATGGAAATGACAACGAACATATCGCTTATTTCGTTTAAAGTATGTATCAAATTCCAGGGGTGCATTCTTTTCCGCGCTTGTTGTGTCCAATCATGTAAGATCACTCGGGGGGAATCCCGATGTGACCATCTACGTCGACTCAAATCCTAGAGGTGACTTGTGGAAATGGTTTGCTTGACTTAGCCAGGTGCTATGGAATACTTGGTCTTTTGGCCTGATCGCGTGACGGTATTATACCACCTTCAATCTGCCCTGATTTACCACAGTTCTTAGATCCAAATCCGAATTGAACGGTCTGGTTGGAAGGACCTTGAACCCTGCTGGCTCATCGAATGCATCCAACATTTAAGCACTCACTGGTACTGATCTAAGCACGGGTCGCTTGGCGTCCCTGTTTTTGCCAGCAGAGCCGGGGGCCGACCACGATACCAACATTTCAAGCCTGGCAGCTGGGCAATCCGCGACCCCCAGTTCATGGTAACAAAATCCACCTTCACATGTGGGAACACATGTTTGGAGAGCCGAATCTTCTATGATTTCCCAAGTAATTTCCATCTACAGTTAGGGGAAATCTAGACATTATTTATTGCATCACCAGCAATTAACCCACACTGGGAAGGCATTTTCGATCCGCGGCACAGGAGGTACTTATCCGAATACCCTTAAGGAAAGGAACCAAGATAAACGCCTCCATCGGTTATCGCCGTACCGCAAGTGTGGCATGGCGTTTAACCATTATCTAGTCCAAATGTCCGACTTCAATGAATGCGGCACAACGCTTTATGGAACCTGAGTAGGCCGACGATATTCTGCATCCTCACATAACAAATGGCCCAGTGCGTTCAACAAGCGCAAATTTCCCGTGGAGCTTTCTTGGCTTATTTTGACAGCCTTTTTCTGCATTCTCTTTCCTATATAGGGAATTTAGTACAGGTCTATTTCTTGAGGCAGAAAAAGGCTATCAGCTGCTGAATTCTGCAGAGACCGTATAGGTGCGGCGAATATCTTCCTCTCGGAAACGCGGGATTGTGGGAGCTTCGTTTTCTGCTGCTGCATGTTGCATCTCAGCCAATCTAAAGCTAACTTCATATAGTTCTTTGTCAGTTACGACTCGAGGACACGTTACATATCACAAATACCGTGTTTTGGCCCATCTGACTGCCGTCATCAACTTACCAATGATAGTCAGACCAAGATCTTGTCTTCTCGAAAATAAACTTACCGCGCATAAATTTCTTACTCTATAAATACTGTATGCGGTCCATATCCAGTCAATGGTATCCCGTGGCTGGAAGAACTGTTGGTCATACTATTAGAATCATGCCCTGTTGATACAGGAAACATCTTTATTTTGTTTTGAGACCGTGTCTGATATGATTTGTTCCTGATCCGGAAGTGCTCTCCCCCCTTAATCCTGGGCTTTGAATTACGAAGAACTGCCAGCCAAACACACCTGAAGAATATAGACAGGAAAATCTCAACTTCATGACCTCTCATAACTCACTTTTAGGATGTTTGAGAAACACGGCCTAGTCTTGTGAGCGAATTATGTAAATGCAACTACAAACCGGCATTTCAACTTTACCCAAAAGCTTCGATAAACTACCAATAGCTATCTACTGATAAGCTACGCTTGGTCCTGGAGACGTATGTTGATGCAGTTGGCAGTCTGGATCGCGAGAAGGCCTATGCCCGTTCAATTCATTCACGGTAATATCTTCGAAAAACCAGGGATTCTCCTCATTTACGCCGCAATTGATGCTAAGTTTGCGGGATTTAGAATCAGATGGTTGGAGGACATTGTTGGAATCTTCCAAGGGATTCTTGTGGACTCTAATGACGCAAACCTTTTTCTTCTACAGGTGAACGCAAATTCTTTCGTAGTGAAACTATAAAAGGGAACAGAAGTCCTCCTTCTATACACCTCCTCTCAAACTCAGAACACAATCAATCACTTCTACCTACCTCTATATCCACTTGATCATCCTCAACGTCCTTCATTTTTGTCTCCTCCTCTTTTGTCCGATGCAGGGCAAAAGGGGGGGATAACAATCTGTCTGGAGGTTGATGGTCTAAAGTTTGAGGAAAATCCAGAATACCTTTAGTATAGTTGTTCGTGATTCAAAAACAACTATCAATACTGATTCGAGCCAGTCCCAGGAATCATATCGACGAAAACTCAAAAAGAGCTTCAAGTTTTGAAGCAGAAATATCTCTAGGCTCTCCCCCGCACATTTTGAGCTTCTAACTCCTTTCATGTCAAGTTATTCGGGAATTGAGAGACCCAATGCGTTTACTTCCCCCTTTGGGGCTGATTTATTCTCCATCTTCGAATATCAAGTTTATGATCCACCCAGGAACTACGAAAATAAATCGAATTTGAGTGCTAACCTCTAGGTCCAAGTATCTCCTATGCACCAACTCTCCTTTCTAGTCAAGATACATGAGAAAGCCATATGTGAGGGCCACAGAGTTATTCGAGGCCAAACTTCCCAGAACTCATGCAGACTGTTTTCTTATAGGTTAAACTTCCATAGATTTTATTTATGGGCAAGCCTACTATTAATATATTTAATTAACCATAGTATCAATATAAATAAGCGCAAGATATTATATCAGTACAAAAACCAATTTAGCTCCATCACAGAACAGACATTAAAGATACATGTATGCACATCAATGCCTGCCGATCTCCCCTTGAGCTAATCTTACCGTCCCCAAAACCCTGCAGCCAACAATCCTCGATCGTGAATGGTAGATGATTAAAGCCACCACACTAAAACCTTATCCTTATCATTATCCTCGTGACTTTCCCCTCCATTCCACACTCATAATGCCCTTCAACCTGCATGGACCCCACCATGCACCCCCACTCTTAAATCTCATTACGGTACGCGCCCTAACGCTCATCAGTCCTCCAATCCATATAAAAGTGAGACAGTAGCCATCTCCTTACATCACTGTACCCACCAGCAGGAACCGACAAAGCAGGAGCATTAAGCTGTACATCTTGATTGGCAAGATTAGGGTTAAGTCTTCTCTGACTGTCCGATCTCTCCGGATAGTATCCATCCACTCCAGCCTTCTCTGTATATCTATCATCGGTCCTACGACGACGCATACCTGCAAATCTGGAGGTTCGGGGAGTGTTGTCTCGGTATTGGTTCTTATTACGGCTGGCAAGGTAGGCCAGGAGAAAACCTAGTGTTGCCAGGCCAAGGAGAGCTACACATGTCCATGTGAATGCAAAGGCCTGATAGTTTTTGATTAGTCAGTGAGAAATCGGAAGTGCATTCCGAGAGGAAATGATAGGATGAACCAGAACATACTTTGACACCTACACGTGCCTTTCTTCCTGCACGCCTAAATGCACGTTGCCCCAAAACAAAGCAAGCACTGAAAATCACTCGACATCAGCATAACTACCTACCACGCCAACTCAAACGCCAGGACTCACGTCATGATAGTAGCTGAGAATGTCATAAAGAATAACGTCAAGCAAGATAATGCTGCCGCCGCCAACGCTCCTATCCTTGAGCAAAGTGCCAGCAGCCCCGCCAGCAATGCCATTAAAGCAAACCCTAAATCGATAATATAGAAAGAGTATAGGAATCGACTTAGGTAGAAGTAGCGATCTGGGTTATCCAGGAAGTCCCCTGGAATGTTTGTTCTTGTGTTGAAGTTGCGTTGGGGGAGGAAGGGGTTTGCGGCATTGTTGTTTCGGCAGTTGAAGTTCTTGCCATCACGTTCATCGCAGAACTACATGGGAATGAAGTGTCAGCGATAGGTGGTACATGTTCCTTTTCACTTGCGTATCTTTACTGTCCACCATTTGTTTTATAAGGAAACAAACTAACGTTATACAAAGTCCAGTGGCATATCCCGTCTGGAGCGTTCGGTATACCACGAGTATCAGCTTGAAGCCAGAATATTTGGTTCAACGGGCGTCTATCGTATGCGCCGGCAATAATCAATAAGAATAGTAGGACTATTGTCCCGGCGAGTAGGATAATTGAAGGGATTCCAGTCCCAAGGCCTGAATTTTAAGGACCCTTAGCGGATCGATTCTTTTGCAGGGGGTAAGGGCATGTTTCGTAGTTACATACGGTTACGAAGAGACATTATGCTTTTAGAATCCTGAAGACCAATATTGATGAAGGAAACGATGGGTTCGAGAGGAGATTATAGAGACACTGCAGTATTCATGTGGGCTATTTGGGAGCGGGCAAGTGATATAGAATCAAAAACGAGAGGCGTCCCTTGGAAAAATGCTCTGATGCTGGGATGACGGTAGTCAAACGCACTTTCTGCATTATCCACCAGCTAAAGTAGTTTAGGGTTGCTAATAGAGTTCAACAGTCTCCGTCTAGGCGGAAGCGAACGATGTGACGAAACCCGAGACTGGAATCCTTGCCAGCGATCCTACGTCATTCTTGGCATTTAACATCACCAAAATGGATTCTGAGTGGGAAGCATCACGCAAAGCTTTGTTACGAATACCGTTTATTCATGAGCTAAACACAAAGAATTCAATTAATTCCCTATTAAACCCAAATCGCAATCCCAACCGAAACCCCTAAAACCTCCAGGGCCCCCCCGAAAATGCGTCCGGGGTCCTTACGCAGCAAAGAAAATACGCCGGTCCGCTGATAAGTTCATAGGACAATGACCGAAAAAAAAAAGAGAGAAAAGCCGCCAATTCGTCTATTTACTTCCATACGGAAAGATGTCAATAGAAATACCGTTCCCTCCCACTACCCCCCTAATTCCTCAAGAATACGACTGGCCAAGTCCCGATCCTGTAGAATATTCATCACATGAATACTGTTGGCCGTTGCTATCCCAAGATTCGCTCCCAGGTGATGAGTTTGATGTTCTTTTCTCCACAGAAGAACTTCGTTTGGAACTTGAATTAGAGATCGAGGTAGGAGGTTGATATATCTCCGGTTGGAAATTTTCGCTTTGGAAGTGACTAGGATTGAAAGGTGAATTTCTGAACGTCGTTGTCTGGAATGGGAGGGATTGAAGAGGGGATGGCTGGAAAGCTGGTAAGTTGAACATCGAAGGACGAAAGTTCGATGGGCCCGGCTCTGTTAAAAAGTTCATATCTGATGAAGGCATTTGTGGGAAAAACGCTAGGGGTGTTGGTGCAAATGCCTGCTCCGGAAGGCTGGAAAGAAATGACACTTGAAGGGGCGGTGGTGGTGGTGGTGCTGTTGCTATCTCTCCATCCTTATATAATATGTCGTAGTGACCACTAATTATTCAATATCAGAGGCTATAAGAGGTTAAGAGGATCGGGTAAAACTCACGGTCTATAAAGCAACCTCAAAACAGGTGCATCGGCCGGCGTCATCATTCCTTCGGTTTCTACATCCTGAAAGCGATGTACATTGACTTCGTCCCCAGGGCTTCTATCCAAATAGAAGACCTCCACCGCAAGACTGGCAGGCAGTATCAAACAATCGATCAAAGCCATAAGCCCTACATGATCAATCTCGATTCCATATGGCTCGACTTGCGATTCACAATAAGCCTTTACGCTTTGATCAAGGAAGGGTGCGTAATAATCCGGTCGACTTTTCATCCAGGAGCTGGTGAGGAACTAGACGTGGGGATCATTTAGTACAGATGGATATTTATAAGAAGAGTATAAAATCTCACCTTGAAATGTGTGATAATAGCATTAGATAGTTCGGTATCGTTAAAGGCATCCACGACTGGAGAAACGTCATAAGGACGATCAATTACTGGTGAAGCAGAGATTCGATTAAATAATGTGATGGTGGCATCCACAAAATCCTCGAATATGTACGGTTCCATTCCGGCCATGGACATAAGATTGTTGAGTGAGACTATTCTAGCAAACTCCATACCGATGCGGTTTGGATCACCAGTTTTGAGCAGAATCTCAAAATAGCCAAAAGCCATAGCTATTATAACATTAGCGTCGAAACCTCAAACAAAGACAAAAATTGTGGGAGAGAAGATATATACTACGCACCTCTCCACCCACAATTCCCATCTCCAAGTACTGATCGGTAAAAAGGATATTTTGGTGAAAGCGCCTGGGCCATTAGCACAACTCAAAACAAACGGGGGCTCTTGCCTACTTACAATGGTCTTTCTGACAAAGATTGGGTCTGCGGCTGCATATTCGACCTCCAGAGCTTTACTTGATTTGATTTCACCAATAAATGCACCCTAAACATGTTTCTATAAATTAGTAACCGAATGTTTAAAGACAGGTTGCTTAATAGGAAATAGAAACAATAAACATGAAGCTAATACTAGCTAGGAAGAGACGGACCTGGATATCCGGCTGATAATCTCTTGAAAGCTTCTCTAATTCTTGATTCCTGCCCAGGCCTGTCAGACAAGCCTTGACCTCATCGCCACCGATTACTTCTGGTTGTGAGTGTGTTGGTGAGCCCATCGGTGAGCCGTAGTGCTGTTTCGTCAATTGCTGTTGAGCTTTTATATCTCGATACTCTACTTGTTGACTCCATGTATCTAGGCCAGCAGGAAAACCGTTACTCCCGTTCAGTCCAGAAGCACCATCCATAGCTGATTGAGTTGGTGAAGAGAAGCAGAGGAATGGGCGACTGGGGTGAGTAGTGGTGGTGATGATGGGTGAAGGTAGAAGAGTGAGGGTGACCGCCGGAGGAGAGTGATGGTATGTTGAAGATAAGGATGAACGATGGGGACGATGGGGACGATGGGGAAAAAAGAGAAGCTCGGCTGCTTATTGAGTAGTACCTGGATCTTAACTGGCTGGAGGTGGGGCTGGGGGGTCGGAGACACTAAAGGGTTTCAAGGCGGGGAGGAAGCGGGACTTGAGCCTCATGAATGAAAAGTCGTACGTCAAGGGTGCAACCTCAGACTCCTCTGAATCATTATCCTCCGCCCTCCCAGGAATCAAAAGAAAGATCTATGGATGGAAGTGATTACGGACAAGAAGTAAGAGAAGAAAACAGAGGGAGGAGACTGGGGGGAGGGGAAGGACGAGGAATAGGTTTAGATGGAATGGTGTTTGCTGATCGAGAATGAGCAAGAGAATATGGAAAAAGGAAACAAGCACACGGCCGGGAGGAAAGACGACTTGACTCGCACTCCAGAGTTACAGTGGCAGCGGCAGATTAACATAAAGGGTGGAGGGTAGTTAGTAGTAAATCTGACAAGGATATTCAGTGGTGAGCTGTGGAGTTTAGCACAGTGATAGGTACATGTACATAGTACATGCCTCTATGCATGCGGTGATGAAGCATCACTTTCACGGCGAACCCCCGGGAGGAAATATATACACAGGGGCCTGTCACGCGATGGGCTTGAGATGTATGTAAGCAAAACCACCTGCCTATGATACTCTGCCTGCCTTTTCATCCCATCCCAGAAGCCATCCCTTCATCGATCCATTCACCCTCCTTCCGACGTCCCGCTGAGTGCATGATATAATAGCCGTGATGCTTGGTATGGCTGAGCACCAACGAAAAGTCGACTACGGTCCATAATCACAGGCAGAATAGTATGCTTGCTTGGAATTTGCTGCTCCAGATATGTAGTAGATACTCACTCACTCTCATTCACTTCTCTCGGAGTACGTTGAGAGAGGGCATCGGCCGCTATCAAATGTGATATCACATACATATGTACAAACTTAAGCGAGAAAACACGTTCAGTTCATAGCTGATTGCGGGGGTGCAAAAGTTATTCTTTGGGGAAAGTTTGTTTCCCGCTTGTGCAGCTTTTAAAAAATTCCTTCTATGGCACTTCCTGAACAATTCGCAGGATAATCATGGTTGTTTACTGATTATTGCTTGCGCGGTTTCTTTTGTGATGAGAGGTAAAAAAAAATACCTTGCGGTCACCTCCGGCGTCTACTCACTTAGCATCTGCCTTTAATCAACAGTAGCTCCTTTTCAGCACCGCAGGATGCATGTATCCATACTCTACTCCGTGAACAACACAGCAGGAAGCAGCAGACAGAGACGCCTTTCCAGTAGCAGTCGTAAGAATGTATAGAAAAACAAAGGAAATAAGAAGAATTTTGTGTTGAAGATCCCGATAACCCCACTAAAGAGCGGTGTTCATATCGTACGCGATATTGTACCAACTACAAGGGCACCATTACAACATGAACTCACTGTGTGCGACACTCCACCCCCCCATTGGCGGATCGGGGATCGAAATCCCGAGTTTTAAGCACCGGCCAAGCCGGACATGAGGTCGATGATTGTGGCTGCACCCGCGAACACGATCCTTTGGTCGTGGTGGGGGGAGGGCATGCCTGCGAACAACCGCGCGTGGGATGGAGGAGAGAGGACGCAGACGTTCCTCATACCACCCCTTAGCACGATCCACTGTTCAACCGATCGCGATTTTCTATATTTACCGCCAGATATCAAGAGAACGGATTTATCATTGCATAATGGTCTTATGCAACTATAGCGTTTAACTTACGAAGGACTCCTCTGGACCTCTGTTCAGAGACAACTAACAATTTGCATTGCAATCGGCCTTCGTGGTACCTTGCTAAGTTACATGTCAATGCGGTTGTTATGCATCTCATGCTGAGATGTACAGATACTGGACTAGGCCCTGTGTATTTATGGGAATGAACCCGAGGCCAATTGGGAGGAGCGACGTCCTAATAATTTAAATAATTTTTCAAAATCATAGTCAAATGGCTAGCTGCCGAATAGTAGCTTCGCCAACCCCGCCATACAAATAACTTTCTGGAGCTATCCAGGCCAGTTAGGTTCCAGAGCAAGCAAAGCTTCGACCCAGTCACCCAGATAGGTAAGAAAGACGCCCAAGCAGAAGACACCCGATAACTACCGGCGCTAGTAGTATTTTAGGCCAAGTTTCGGGCCAACGGTCATCAGCCTGTTTGCCTAAGGGAACTGCCAAGCTACATCTGATTGTGGTTAGCGATATGGTCGGTCATATGCCGTGAGGGCCGAGTGAGAGATGCTTGAATTAAATTACCTCCTCCTACTTTCTTACCTGCCGCTTCTAATAGAGGGAACGGCGACAGCGGCGGAGAATCGGCTAGAATAGCGACTTTACATGGTTATCAGTCGCGCACACACATGTCTTTGGTCCTTGGGATCGATAGATAA